AGTCGGTTGGTGAAATTGTTAGCGCCATTTAACCCGGGATCAAATTAGAATCGAATTAGAGCTGTTCCACGCGTGATTCAGCACGTAGCAATTCCCACACGAGGCTCATAATCTAGTCGCATGGAAGGAACTATCGCTCGCACATAAAAGCGGCTGCTGGGGCTATCATCCCCATTCCAATCCTCATCTTCATCCCCATCATCATTTCCCTTGCTGTCTGCAGACCGTGGCCCATAATACGGGGTAGCCGGTGCCAGTGTTGCTGCTGCTGGCTGGCTGGCTGGTGCTAGATGCACCGTGCGGGAGCTCATGAATTTTCTATCGCTTGTCGAAATGATTAAATGATTTCACGCCGAAGGGGATGGCTTAACGCTTCGGCTTTTGACTTCTACTACTCAACGAAGGGTGCACCCTATCGAGGGGCACCCTTATCATCTATTATTTATATTAATAGGCATCGTACAAAGTGCAGGTCCTTCCTCGACCCATAAATGACTCGTTTTTGTCACTCGGTTGTTTCGACCATTAAACGGCAATGATATTCATGATTATTGAATTTTAACTGATAATATTAATCAGTGGATCGAAAATAAATTGGACAGATGTTTTATTTGTATCTGAACTTTTTAATTGACACGATTGTCGGAATTATCGAGCAGATATAAAGAAATACGTAAAACTACGATATTCTAAAGTAGTCATCTGCTTGGAGCGATCCTGCGTGAAGTTAGCGGTTTCTCGATCGATAATCGGTCAATGATTTTGATATCTCTGAATAAAAGGAGGGCCTCGTAAGTCTCCGACAAACAAAGCGATGAATTCCGGACGGGCGAGTCTCGCCCCAAAAATTGACCAATAATGTCGCATTGGGAAGGTCCCTCTCGCGGTTAACGGGTGGCAAATAAATAAGGGTGCGGGTTCTCTCGTAAATCTATGGAATATCCACCAATTTGGGCGTTGCGCGATTGTCAACGGGACCGCTTATAAATTCTAATAAACTCTCATGGCTCGTAGAGGAAAAGGGAGTTATAGGAGGTGGTCGGGGTAGGTGGGTGGCAGGTTAGTGGGTTGGCAGGGGGAAAGTGTGTACATCCCCGTACACTCGAGTAACAGATAAATCTCGTATAACCGAATTACGTTAGAAACATGGACCGAGGTCTTGCCACGCCCTCTCTGCCGATGAAACGTTATCGGATCTGAGTCTGCGTGCAGCAAACATTCTCAATGAACTCTCTCTAGTCCGGTTATTAAGTAAAATAGCCTCTGCACGTTTTTACCAATCATCCACTCTCGGTCACCGAAACAGCCATGTGAAAACTATGGATCCCTTGAAACCCCATTCAATGAGCCCAACATTGGCGAGTCCAACAATCATCCCTCGTTAAAAACCCGACGAATCGACTCTGATGATAATTCCACCCACTCTTTTTTTTGTTTTTTTTTTTTGAATACTCAATGGCATTTCATTCGCGAACCTAACCTCCCTTCAAATATGACACAACTGATTTTTACGTTTTCAGGAAAAAAACTGATGCTACCGGTATAAGCGGTATTGTTATAAACAAATTTTTATTTTCTACTCTGTTACACGTTTATTACACTTAAATCGTAATACTGACAAAAAACACTTAACTTTCCAATACAATTTTTAACGGACAAAAATTTGTAGTCGCGATGAATGAACAAGAGTACGTGGACAACAAAAAATGCCCAGTGACAATGAAAATTCCAATGAAATTGACTAAGTAAATTATTAAGACGTACAATGAGAAATTTTGACAAAATGATTGTTATTGTCACGAAAATTTATTTTTGTCCAAATACTAATAATTGTTCTAATAATAATTTCTCGCTTTCTAGAAACTTTACAATTTATCAAAATTTTTCAATTTATTCATGCAAAATTATATTGCGTTTCAATCAGGATTATTGGTATACAAATACCATTGACTGCTCATCAAAGGCATCGACGCGAAAATATCTACATAGTATATGTTGTTGCAACCGTGGCTATAGTACAGGGTAATAAGTGTCTGTAAGGTTGGTCGACCTGACTGAGCAAGTGTCCCGCGCGTAATGATGTTCCGACGCGTGCCGCATATCCCAGCAGGGTGTCCACTCCTCGGTCCATCTAACTATTGAGCAGTGTAACCAGGGGATGAATTCATGTATTACGTGGTAAATAAGTCGGGCGTCAGGGTTAATGCGCTCGGTTCACACACTCGTTACTTATTTGCGCGGATTAATTGGCTTAGGCTTTTGCGGCTGTGGGAATCTAATCAGTCCTTGGCGCACAGAATCGGAAATTAGATTCGGTATCCTTTGATTCCTCCATTCGATTCCATTCAATACGATTCGGATTCGGGATTCGCTTTACTTCGAAACTCCTCTTGTTACCTATGACCTTTATCAGATCCTACTATTTACCCAATCTTTCGAGATCGAACGAAAATCAATTATTTTCAATGGTACCCATCGTCAAGAAAAAATCAATAAATAATCATACATACATTTTTTTTCGAGCATTACATATTTTTATTTTTTTTCTATCACATCGCTTCCTTTCGTCATACATACCATTATCAAATCAGATTATCACTGTAAGATCAGTATCTCGAATAGAGTAAATATAGAGTCTAGTGAATCGACACTGGAGATAGACAGTCAGACGTCTGTCCATTGAAGCGAGTCAAAGAAGAATCTCAAAAGTCTCCTCAGACGAATTCATAGCATTGGCAAATAATAAGAAAGATGCTCCCCCGATCTCATTATCATCCAATTGTAAATTAAGGAATCTCTCTCTCTCTATATATATATATTTTCTTTTACATGAGAAGAAGAATAACGAGATCTCCAATTAGGTTGCAGGATATTAAGCCTGTAAGTATATCCGAACTTACTACCGGCAGGTCATACTCGAACAAATTAAGAATATCAGGTGACGGCTATACGAGAAACACGTAGAAAGATGTAACCGGAGATAATTCATAGGAAATCGGTCGGCCGATTATTTTTTACGACATTACACACGAATCAAAAAGCTTTTCGTAGATCATCGAGGACCCTTGTATCTTGAGCCACGATACTTCAATGTTTCAATACAACATACCGCATCAAGTATCGCTGCACGAGCTGGCAGGTGGGTGTAGTCTCACACTTGAGCTATGAGCTATCATCCTGACTTTAGGTTGCATCGGTGTATTGGTAATCCATTGGAACTCTCTCTCTCTCTCTCTCTCTCTCTCTCTCTCTCTCTCTCCCCCACTCCCCCCTCTCTCTCTATCTCTCTCTCGCTATCAATCTATCTTTCTTTCTTTCTGTCTGTCTCTTTCCACCAATCCCTTCGTCGCGTTTCACCTTCCCCTACCATGGGTCTATCCGTGTCCATATAGATATACCAAGTGCTATATGTATTTCTGTATATATCTATATCTGTATATCTCTTCGGGGCTCTATTGTTCTCTCTTCTTCTCTCCCTATCACCCTCTCTCTCTCTCTTTATTCCCATTCCCATTCTCATCCTCTTGTTTTGGTCCAATAGTCAGTCGCCGGTCTGATCGATGATACGCCAACAGAGTACTGCGCATGGCCGACTAAATACAAACTCGCTCCTTATTATACCGGGTGTACCAATAAAGAGGACCCCCTTTCGAGCTTACTCATCTCGTCGAAGTCCGAGAACCACTGCATTGCGGTCTATACGTTTTCATATTTTTTGCTATTATATGGAGCAATAGCGGATACTCGATATCCACCTGTCTGAACGAATCAACGATTCAATGATTCTTGGTACTCGAGATTTAACATTTTTACAGAGATTCGTACACGTGATATTCAGATTTTCTTTATGCTAGTAATTTCAGTTATAACTATTACTTGTTACATGCGTATCGATTCCACAGAAAAACGGTCGTCATTATCTATACACAGTAGGATACACAGGTGGGCGAATGTGAAATTTCACAAAATTTTTGTTTACCATGTAAAACTTAAAACTGGTATTTGAAAAGGGTACAGAGAAAAATAGTAAAGTTTACAGTGATCTATATATACATGTATAATATACCGTGAGCGGTTCATATATAATAAAATTTTTTGTTCCGTAGAAATTTTTTACCTTCATTCACTCACATCTAATGTAAGCGAAAGATAATTTCAGGGTGGCAGTCCAAATTGACAGGGCGACGTGTTCCCATTCGTTCGAATTACGTTCCAATTCTGCCGGTGACTTTAGCATTGTTGGTGCAAATTGGTAACCGCCCTGGCCTCGGGCGCGGACCCTACTGCGTTTTGCAAACAGCCTAGCTGCCTCCAGCACGCGCGACAATCATGCATGTTACTCTTTTGAATATCGTTTTTGCGAGTCACGTACAGGACATAGGATAAGGACTAGACAAATGTATATGATTCGATAAAAAAAGTTTTTCATATCTCTTTCATATACAATTTCGATCACACTAGACATTTTTTATCTTTTTTCCACTCCTATTTTCATTTCCGCCTATCAGGATTTTTATGCGGGGAATATCGTGTTCTGCCAACCATAACTATTTGAAATCTTGGACGTGACTAAAAAAATGTAGTGATAAGACTCGTATGATTATAAAATCTTGTTACGTTACTTTTTTCATTAATGGTGAATTTCCCTTGACGTTCTTTCAAAGCGATACAAGATTTTCTCATTAAAAAATTCGGTTCGTTAAAGTCGAAACTCCAACGGCAGAACGTGGCACGCGTCTGGACCGTAGGTGGTCCGATCATTGGAATCGTTAACAAGTAGCCTAATGGGATGTTAGCCCGTGAAAAATAGGATAACAAGCCCAAAAGATGGGCAAATCGTCCTAGTTGAGGAGCAGGAGGGTGCACACCCTTGCTCCGTGTCCTCGATAATTGGATAGATAGGGTAAAATGGTCGGCTGGCTTATGTGAGAATTATACGTGGGGTGAACGCCATTTTGTAAATTCAGTTGCTCAAACGTGAATTGTTTCGCGTGTTCCAGGTGTGGTTTCAAAATCGAAGAGCAAAGTGGCGCAAAACGGAAAAGTGCTGGGGCAGAAGTACCATAATGGCGGAATATGGACTCTACGGTGCCATGGTGCGGCATTCTCTGCCGCTGCCGGAGACCATCTTGAAAAGTGCCAAGGAAAATGAATCTGTCGCACCCTGGTTGCTCGGTAAGCCTTCTCCGTCAATCTCGAGTCTTTAAAGATATTGTACACAGACGGAGCGCAATACGTGCAACGTCTGCCTCTTGTGCGTATTCGACGTACAAAATTCAGTTCGAACGTTCATTATGAGAGGAATAGTAATATCTGTTTGTCTACTGCGCATTGTCATTAAACATTTTGGTACCCGCGAGGTGAAGCAAGAAATCTTTAAAAATAGTAACAGATATTTGTCAGTTACAATAAATTCTCAATAATCGGACAAATCGTGTGAATTAGGTTGAAAATCTAAATTGGATGAAACTTCAATATACCAATCCCTTGTACAGTAATTCGATACTCCTGAAATTTCTCGAGCTAAGTTTCCGGCTGGCGCCAACCCTGTAAAGTAAGGAAGAAGACAAATCTAACCTCTGGCAAATCTTGAAACTTTTTCTGTCCGTCTCTATCAGCGCAATCGTCTAAGACAAGCAGCTTTAGCCAAGATTTCGAAAATAATCAAGAACTGATTGACTGTGGGCCCGTAGGGATGCACCGAAAGTCGATCGAGGCGGCGGAGCATCTCAAGTCGGGGGGTGAGGATAGTGGAAATGACCATACCGGAAGCGGAAGCAGCCCTCACCACAACCACCACCAGGGAGGACCAGCCAGCTCTGAGAGTGGACAGGAAAGCCAAGACGGAATGGGACCTTCCTCCTCCACAGGCAAGTAAACCTTCGATTTTCTATTTGCCTGGAGTCTCTGCCATCTTTTCATTTGCTCTTTCCCTTTGTCCGTTTCTCTCAATTCCTTCTTCTCCTTGGACTTCCATCCTATCTCTCTTCATCCGTCCTTTATCCAGCCTCGTCTCCCTCACTGGTTGCATCCCGATGGCTAAAGCAAAAGCATTCTTATTCCCACAGGCGTCCAGGACACCGAACAACTCAGAAACGAGAGCATCGCGTGTCTCAGGGCAAAAGCTCAGCAGCATCAGCTGCAACTGAGCTTGCAGCCCTCGACTGGACCCGGAAACACGTCATATCCGCCGGCACCGCAAACGAGCACGCTCCACGCTTCGGTTTAATCCGAAACCTTCATGGATGGAAAAAAAAGCTCCGAGCTTTTTCTTCCTCACCAAGATCCACTCGACGAACCAGAATTGCGATGATCACCAGGGTTACCTCTTTATGGGTGGGATCAGAGGGCACCTCCTGTCACAAGGATATCTCGAGTATTCTTGATCGCGCCCATCCGAATGACGGAAGCGATCGAAATTCCATTAACCCCAAGAAAAAATGCGATGGATCCTCCATATTTTAAGAGTCTCGTCTCATCGAGACGGAAGCGTTAAGACTTTATGGATCGCATGGACGACCAAATATGAGATTCTTATATAAATAACAAAGAAATCCCAATTCTACTTAAAATAATTAAGGAGCGACCTAATCCTCGCAAGGGCATTTGCGTCGGCGCTGAAAATTAAAAAAATATCCAAGTAGGCGCGACGTTCGATTTCTCGATCTACCGATCGAACCAGAACGGGTATCTATGTCCTTTCTAGACCTAAAAGATGTACGCGACGGCATCGTCGACTTCGCGTGTCTCAAAAGTGCACGTTAAACGAATCGAAATATTTCAACGAACAGTCGACTCCTAATTCACGTCGTTCGTGCATACGACGAGTCGGAAAGAACGAAAGAAACAATGTACCTAAATGGATAGTCCCAATCAACGAAAGGAGACCTCTGTTCGCGAGGTCCAAATCGATAATTAACGAACCGAAGATAGTATTCCTTTTTTGTCTTATTTCCTTATTCAAGTCAGTCGAATAGTGTAAAGTCGCATCGAAACGGCTGAGCATCTAAGTATGCCCGTCTTGAGGTCAAAAGTCTTCAGCCTGTAGGAACGAACGAATCACATATAATTTTCACTGTACTTAGAAAGCGTAAGGGGCAGAACGTGTGTTTATGTACGTAGGAACGAAACTGGTTATAAAACATGTGCATCGCACGGTATGCAGAAGCTTCAATGCAACGACAGAAGGTAAAACGATTGAATACGATTAAGAGAGGAAATAAGAAAAAGCAACGACCTACTTACAATTAGATGTTAGATCGCTTCGCTAGTGAACGGCCCATTGTGCCGGACTGTTATAAAACGGAAATAACGAAGACCGCCTTCAGACTTGACAATGGATAACTAGTCGCAACGAATGCTATACCTAGTGACGAGAGACACATCGAATCGATTGGAAAGGACCTAGTGACTTTATCGAATTTCTCAAGATATATTAGGAGAGCCCGTTGCGCGAGAATGATATAAGTGAAGAAAAAATAAATATATATAATGTGTTGCGTTCTGAGAATCGAAGAAAGAAAGGAAGAGGATGAAGTGAGAAGTGCATTTAATAAGAACGTATGGCTGCGCGTATGCATGTACTGAGTGATTGAAGGTGATGCGTGCGTGAAGGAAGAAAGAATAAAAAAAAAGAGAAGAGTATAGGAAATGGTAAAAGGAAACTGCGAATTGCGAAAGAGGACACAAGGTGTTGGTAAGCATGATGAAAACTTGAAAAGAAATCTTAGCGAACACTTCCTATACCTAAGTACTTAAAAGACGTAACTGTTGTCAAATGTGCAATATATCGATATAAGTTGTAGTACTAAGGCATTATACTTTATTAATTGATACCGAGTGGCTCGGAGAGTCATGGTGCTCTTGGATTTTGATAAATTAACAAGCCAATCTTGGAGTTCCCTGTCCCTTTGGTCCACTGTATATAAATATATATATATGTATATGTAGTCACTTCGCGTTAAGTCGGATGAACTTGTGTAAATTGTCTAACACGTGGTTTAGATTAATTATTATTACGTTGCTCGTGACGGACACGACGGACGCAACGAAGCGTTTTGATTTCGCGCGAAAAATTATTGTGACGATGACGCTTCGGTGCAGTCGGTAAATGGAGCTTAGAATTTACTGGATGATCCTTCGAACGTGACAAATTGGTTAAGCGCTGATGAAATCGTTTATGACGGCAGCTAACTTCAGAATTTCACCGTTTTAACGCGAACGGACTCTAGATTATACACGTAATGTAACGCAGTATAATTTAAAAATCAATTACGGAAAAAAGTAACCATATGTTCTTCAGAAAAAATAAATAATTCAAAGAAACCGCTGTTATTGTGAAGATACTTACGGACTGTTCGGATCTCATGAAAATTACATACGTCCGAGCTTCCCAAACGCATGCATAGTTGTCGACTAGTGTACGAAAAAAAAAAAATAAAGTTTCTGAACAAAAATTTATTTGCGAGTTTTGTTTACCTTTCTTTTTTTGCTCATCTTTCGATATTTGCAGTATGATATTCGAAGGGTTTCCTTTTTAATGATGTTCCAGCAGAATGGATTAATGGTTGATAATGGATCAATGAACAGAATTGTTTTAATAGATATGTAAAAAAATTATATTGATCGATGTATTTTAAACTTAAATGTTGGGATTTTTTCACGACCATTGCATTTTTATTGAAACAAATCTAATTTATGTTAATAGGTAATCTTTGTAAATGATTGAGCTTGATCACTTGGAATTTGTAAGAATTTGTAAAAATCTTTTACAGGATTTTTTAATTTTAAATTGAATATTAACTTCTGAAAATAAATCCACTTTTTAAATATTTTATGCGCAATGACGTGTATCGTCATTTTTGACATCGTTGCGTCATCTATGAGGAAACTTCACTACTTATTCAAATCAATATATTATACGTTATACCATGATGGTACGTCGGTAACTCTGCATGAGATTGAATGTGATCTATTGTATCGACGGAGGGTTTTATAATTCTTATTGCTTATTCCAATCAGAGATGTAACCGTCACTGAAATCCAAATAAAAAACTGATAATAACCGGAAAAATAAGGAACCGAAACCACAACGATTAATTGAAATTTCATAAATGTTATACCTAAAAACGTAATGGAAACCTGAAATTGTTACAGTGAAAAACTGAAACCGAAACTGTTAAATGGAAGGCATTTTATTCATAATAGCAGAGATGAATAAGAAGATTGCTAGTGGGCCGATTTTTAAAAAATCGATTTTATTTTGGCGTCGTCGCGCCACCTGAGCGGAGGACCGTCGAACCATACCCTCAATTTTGATTGGTTTAGTATATATAGATATACTAGGCTTGATATTCGTGACTCCGTGAGTCGCATGCATCGACATACATATAGCATGGAATATACGTACAAGTATAGGAAAAATGGTCGGCTGATAGAAAAAGATGGCGACTAGTGGCGGTCAATCCCTGTCTCTTTCTAATCAGCAGTCGTAGTACAAGAGTATAGAAAACGTAGCCAATGGGAGCATTAAAAAAGGAGAGCTACTGGCCGCCACCTCACACCCTCTTTGTCTATTCGAGCGAACACTTTTTCAAGGAGTTTGAAGTATAGACGCGTAGTCCATGCTATATGTCGATGGTCCCTACCAGTATCTACCGTCTCTACTCATCTCTGGTAGAATCACACGCAATCTGAAAACTGATAATTGAAAACGAAAAAGGAAAAACAAGATATAAAAAATTGTTACCAAAAAATATCTCTCTTTAAAAACGAAACCGAAATTTATTAAATTTGAAAACCAAAACTGAAAACCGTAAACGAAAAATAATTGAATGAAAAACCCAAAACCGAAATCTAAAACCGAAATTCAAGCTTTTACCAGAGATGAGATGAGCTTTTACCATTGTGAACACCATAACCGAACCAATATTTCTTTCTGTTGCTGTTCCTCATTCTAATGCATTGTTTTAAACGTATTCATATCTTATAGGACAGTTATTCATGACTATTATTTTCACTGAACTTAGCCCATACATTTGACTTCAATGGTAGAACAATCTTCACGTGGTACAATCAGAGATGGTACAATACTCATGAATAACTCGTAAACTATACACTTTCTATTAAATTGACTAGACATGAAGTCACACACGGTGATTTAAAAAAATTCTTCAATTAACTGCTGAGAATAAAAAATTAAATAAAATCGGATTAACGAACATATGTAAATTTGTTTTTGTGTGATATATATTTCTTTATATATTAATACATACGATATGAATAGCAATATATTAATCGGACATTAATTTCTTATAAGGTTCTTCCTCTACGGTACGAAGGGGACATCGATATTGGATATTTACAAAAGTACAAAAGCTTAGAAAACATTGAATCCTCTACAGCGGCCTCATTAATTTTTTTTTCGCTCATAAACGTTTAGGACAAGGGTATTGGAGCGAGTTGCAAACTCGAGGCTGCAGGAGAACAAAGTTTATTCCATCAGTGATTTCAACTATCATTATTTTTTTTTTTCGTTTAATTATCTCCTGAAAAGTAAATGATCAGACTTGTCCATTGTAATTGCAGTATAGAACTGCGTATAGGCCTTCGTCATTTTAGTTAAATATAAAATAAAATCTTGCCAATCAGTCTGTATTAATTAAATCTTAATTTATGTTCCCTATTCAAAAAGAACCAACCAAACTTTCTTGGTCCGATTATTGCTGTCGCCTATTTGTCCATATACTCTGTGTTTGAAATATTTCCATCGATATTTTCATAACATTGGTTACTTCTTAAATGAAATGACTGTCTTAGCGCATAAGTAACGACACAACAAAAATTATATAATGACTACTATATGTACAACGTGAAGTATCACTTATACTATCTGTCTGGCTAGAATTGCTTTCGATAGTAATGGAGTTAACGAATGCGCCTATGTGATAAGTTTATATGTTCTCGCTTGAATATTTATTTTTTAATTTTGTGAATCTTTTACAAGTTCCCTTTCCCTGTACCATTTGATTAGCTAACCCCATTTCGTGAATCACGATAAAAGTTCGTGTTTTACTTAAACCGGAAGTCTCCTTTAATTGAAAATGTAGTACGGGAACTGAATATCCTTGAAGCGGCACTTCAAAGAATTTTCAGGAGATGGAATTAATCGACGTTGAAGTTTGCTGCATTTTCCATCTCCTTAGAAACACCTGATAGATCCTTCATATCTTGGCACTCAAAAATCTCCTAGTTTTGGAGAAATTTATGATCTCACTGGTTCCACTGTGCAATATCATTTTTTTCTAAACGACGAGCAAAGTTTGAATAATCAACGATACTTCTTTCATTTCTTTTTTTTTGGACGCAGAAAAGTAAATATTTTGCGAAACGTCTCCAGCACGGCGGGGTTTGCTAGGATAAACGAATAATTAAAATATTTAGTGTCTTTCTCTAGAATCTTCCCTGTGGGCGCTGTGTCTCCGGGATTCCTGACCACTTGGTGTCACTGGTCTGCGTTTCGATCTTTTAAATTTGGCGATATCCTCACCAAAAACATCGCCGGTACGCAGAGCCGATATGAGGTCGTCGAACTCGCCCTTATTATCGCTCTGACCGTTACCGTTGGCTTCATTTTTCTTGCCCAAGGCAATGCTGTTCAGGATACCTTCGCGTGAATTCTTTCTTTCCATAGTTCTCTTCCTTAACTGTAATGAGATTATTATATTTAGTATTTTGATTGTCAGTCAAATGCAATATATTGAAAAACTAAATTCAATTATTAAACTTTTAATCTTAGATAAACAATGTATTTATGAATGTATGATCTGTATAGATCAACATGAAACAAAAGCTGTGGGGACACTACAAACTTTCATTGTAGAGCCGTTAATACATAACAATGTTTTATACGATAAAAACAATTAATAATTTATTTAAAACAAAACTAACCTCCTGTTCCTGCTTAGCTCTACGTTCCTCCTCTTCGATTTTCCTCCTCATATTTTCGACATCCTGTCGTGCTTCAGCAAGAGCTTGTAAGAAATTTTCAAAAATACCGAAAAACTCGTCCGGCTGAACTCCAGCAGAATCTTCACCGAAAAGTCGAACTGCTCTGTCGAACTGCAGCGCGAGCAATAAAGCAAGAAAAAAGCCATTAGATTAAAAACGAATTAACAAAATGGGTTATCAAGGCAATACAGTTATTACCGATACAAGAAATAGTTATCAAACTTACTCTCGTCTTCATATCCTGAAAGAGATCTTCAGCCTCTGCCAATCTGCACGTAGCTTGCGCCTGGAAGTCTCTCATGGCAGGTAAAAACATATCACCCTGAAGTACCTGTGACTGACCTCGATGAAATTCTAAAGAAACGAAAAACCAGATACAAATGATTACCAATTCGCTCTAATCGAAAAGGATGAATTACGAAGTTATATGAAGAACTTCCTACCAATCTCTCTCTGAACATCCTGCAATCCATTCTTAAGGTTGGCAACCTCCTTCTGCAGATCAGCCATGCTGACTCTTGCAGCGGTTCTCACGTGAGGCATATCCTCCTCAATATCCAAGACTTCTCTAAATCTCGTTTCCAAAATTTGAACTAGGTAATGCAGAAGTGTAGTGCCTTTTGAACATGACGACTTAGTATCAACCAGTCGATTCAAGGAAGCCAATCTGAAGCCACATGCGTTGCCACGAGCGTTCCCGCGGTTCACGTAATTCCCAAGTGCCAGAACCAGTTCCAGAAGCTTCCGGAGTCTTCGGGATCTGGCCACCTGTCGACTTGCTTCGAGGACTGCTCTCATCCTCGGCGTGAGTTCAGCAATGCTGGCGGCAAATTTCTTCTTGTAGTGCAAAGACCTCAACCTCTGCTCGTAATGAGGTACCCTGTTGATTCAATTGAACGGTTGCTTTCAATAAAACATTCCCAAGATATAGAATTGAAATAGAATATCTTTCACTTAGAACCTACTTTGATATCTGATAAAGGAAACAGTCGGCTCTACTTTGAAGTTCTTTTTGGTGCATGTCCAGAAGAGCAGCCTCTTCCGAAGATGGAATGTATTTCAGAAGTTGTTCGACCATATCGATATGAAGTATATTTTGTTGATCCATTGATAAAATTGTTCTTGTGATCTCACTGTCAGACATTTTTAATTTTGATAGCAGAATAGTGCAATTTTGTGCTCTTCTTGAATCAATCACTGACATTGTCTTCTTGCTCTTGCCAAGATTACGAAGATCCTCAATGGAACCTTCGGCTGAAACGCCATTCTTTTGGTAAGCACAGAAGATCTTGTCAATCGACTCGAGATCCATCACGTTGTACAGCTTGGTATCATCCAACTCTGACCAAATAGTTCCTTGCAACTTTTGTTCCGGAATCTTAGACCAGTTGAATGACTTTAGAGGGTTACTTGGCTGAGGAACATTTTTGACAATTTCCATCTACAAAAAACATTTGATTATTTTTATTAAACATTCACGTTAATTAATCAAGTCATAAAATTCTAGTTCTCAATTCAACCTAATTTCAATTATCTAACAATTTGACACTGCAAACGAATCACTGCCCCTCACAATATTGTTTTCATATAATTCATATACTTTCATATAGTCATACATGACTTATAGCATCATTATCATTTAACACATTGAGAGCCAACGCAGTGCTAACGCCAATCTGCATAAAGCACAATTATACCCTACCGGCTGCCATAGTCGTGCATTCTCAACGTGCAACTCATTCTTGAGTACGCAATGTTGATTTTTAAATCAATTAAAGAAAAGTAATGTACCTTCATGGGGGGTGGTGCTGCTGGCATCAAACTCGGAGGTGGTGGAGGTGCTAAAGGTGGTGGTGGTGGAGGTGGAGGAGTAGGTTTAGCCTCGACTTTTTCGACGACTTCATCCTCGACTATTTTAATTGTGGCTTTTGCATCATCTGGAAGACTTCCAGAAGCGACCAACTGTTCCAATCGCTTCCGTTCTGATTTTTCGTTGTTTACTTGACGAGATAGAGTCTCCATGCTGTCCTGCAGCTCTGAAATTCTCTGTTTCGTTTCAATATGCATTGACATTTCCTTTTCCAGTCTTTCTTTCGTCCTGGCCAAACTGGCTTCCATATCTTCCTGCAAACACAGCAATATCTTTCTTAATAATACTTCTACTCCACTACAATTTTGTAGGTCATCCACTTTTCCAATAAACATATCATTGAAGAGTATTTAATTATGCAAAAGGAAATGTGCCTAATCATCTGATCATCGAAACTTCATAATTTGAATGGACATATATAACTTATATTGAAGCTTGTAGATGCAGCTTTCTAATAAAATTAACGATGCATGAAATGTGAATTGAAAACAAAAAGATTTACTTTCTCCTGTGTCCTGAGGTCAAGATCCTGCTCCTTTTTAGCCAGCCTGGAGGACATGTCGGAATTCTCTTTTTCTAGCTCTTCGGCCTTTTTTCTGGCAGCCACCAGTTCCTCCTCTTTAGCCAGTAGATGAACAATCTCCTTCACGTTTATCTCGATCGGAGCTACGTCAGGATTCCTCGTGGTTCCCGCATCATTGCCTTCCGATTGCAGGACGATTTGCTGAACGATCCTATCGAAGAGCAACCAGTGCTGCGGATGCGAACCGTAATCCACTGAAATTACAACATAGTACATATGAAGATGATTCCGTTACACTTCAAGGATCTTGATCAAGAAGAAAGAAATAAAAAGCATGGAAACAAATTGCTCCTCAATTACATGTCTTTGATAATAGAATATATGAGGCTTTAAAATAATTCTAGTTTTATCAAGCAACAGTAACAGCAACTATGAATTCTGATACTGCGAACCACCTTGTATTAAGTAAATTTACAACAAACGAAATTAAGCAATTACGTACAATTTTGACAATACGTGTTTGCTGCAATTACCAATGAGTCTGTCATTGGAAGCATAATAGTTTAAAGTAACAAACAATAACATATTCAACCAGAATAAAGAAAATTGTATTACTTACATGGTAACAAGATACAATGCTCGAGCAAACTAAGGAGATGGGGATATGCTGCAGTATGACTAAGTTTTCGTCTCAAAAGATCAAACATGGCTGTGGCGCTTTTTGTGTCGACGTGTTCCTTTTCGAATTTTCTAGCCAATTCCTTTTCGTCCTCGTTCCGTACCATTTCAAAAAAGTCCAAATGCCTGTCCAACGTTTCGTTTTCATATTTTCTTAGCTTCTCAATAATAGGTTGAATTCCAAGCATCAGAAGCTCGTATCTCAGATGTAGTCTGAACTCCAACGTGACTTGGCCCGGTCCATAATTCAGAACGGCATTAATAAAGGACATAATGGCAGTTTTCAATGATAAATTATCTTTATAAATCCCAAAATTCTTATCTAGATCATTTATAATGCTTTGGAAACGCGTCCGCTCGGAATGATATTGCTGAAAATGTAACATGGCTTCCAGGACCTTTCGGTGTCCCCCAGGAACAAGGCAGACCGCGCCAAGTATTTCCAAAACCGAAATTTTCGTTTTAATATTTTCAGTCGCCAGCGACTGAGAAATAGTGTTTATTGCCGTAGGATGAGCCAATACATGTGCTCTGCCATTCTATAATAAAAAACAAACAAGCCTTGAGAATAATTTACGACACTAATAAATTCATTACCTAAGTAAATCATTTGATTTGAATCACGTCAATGTTTACACATTATCACGTCGTAAAGCTTACCGAATTGTTCATAAGGGCCTTCAAGCATCCTATTACACTCGTATGAAGATTACTGTTGCCTGCGTCCGCATCCATAGTACCCAGAACTTGTAAAAGACCATTGAGTCCATCAAGTTCGATAAATCTAAGAACAAAGCTGTGAGGCTGTGTCCTGAGGGCAGTCTTCAGAGCCTCAACTTGTCGCATCTGATTCGAGATCTCCTCGCCTTCCTCAGGAAACGGTGACTAGAACATCCGGAATTGATTTAGCAAACACATGTATCCTAGAAAGAGAATCGTTTGACAAATCCTGAAAAACTCACACTGGCAATTGTTTTAAGTCTATTAATGTAGTCCTCCGGATCCCCACTTAGGTCTGTGGTCCTGAGTCCCCCGTTGTCCAGGGTGCCATTGCCTTTCCGGGAACAATAAATCTGCCATTTCTTATTAGCAGGAAGTGCCAACACCGCCTGTCTATTGGTCTGAGTGAGGTCGAGCTCGTCGACGAGCTCCAGGAACATTTTGTTGAGCTCCTCTTCGGCAGGCATCGGCAGGGTTGGAGTCATTGCTTGAAGCGTGAGCGTGCCCGTGTGTTCCACCACGCAATACGTGATTTCCGGTGGTTCATCATCCTGTAAAACGATCAGAGCCTCGTCAACCAATCAGGTTGAACCTTACGGTCTCGTTAAACGCCACAGCGAACATTGAAATAGCTAGAGGGGTTCAATCGCCTCTCTAGAACCTTGAGAATGCTGTAGGTGTTGATCTAACAGAGAGTTATTGACTGTGTTCACGTTTCTTGGCAAATACCCAAAATACGTATTTGCTCGTTAAACAGTCGTCAGGATACGGAAGTGCCAATTGAAATTTAATGTCTTAACGAGCCAATCAATGTCCGCAACGCTATTACTTTTTTACGTTATTCGAAATTGGTACAGGTCAGCACTTAAATAAGAAGATATTAAAATGATACCTATGAACGTTACAAAATCAATGTTCGATTTAACTTTATGGTTTTCGGACTGTTTTTGTGTAACACATATTTCATCGTGGCCGAGGAATGTTGAAAGTTGCATGAACAGCAGTAATAAAATGGAAACGAAAGATTTTAAATTTGTCATACATTCCGCGCTGAGTTGACAGATAAAAATACATAATTTAGGGAATTTGCTTGACTATACTTTCATACAATATACTGTTATATGCTTTTAACGAATAGACGTATCTCCATATTTTTAATACCAAGTCGGGTGCGGCGTTTGCAATTTCACAAAGGCAACTCATTTTACCATTCCGAATGACCATGAGATATTTTTTTTTCATTTCGTTGGGTACCAAAATATCGTTACAGGAAGCATTAGATATTTTTAATTATTATCGACAATTTATCGTACATTAACATTCATTTGCAATGAACAACGTGCAAGAAAAATGGATAAAACATGCCTTTAATATAAAAAATTATATTCTATTGATTTCTGCAGTTTTCAATTCAATGACTGTAATTAATAATGACTTCAGGATTGATCAGGAAAGTGGCCCATGTCTCGCGTGTTTAACGTATTAAAGCGTAATATTACATTATGCAACTTCTGCTCGAGCGTAAAACCCCTCTATTCCATCCTCAAATAGTAGATCAACTTTTTATCAGCAAGTAAATAAACCATGTAAATCTAACCTTTGCAATATACAATAATGCAGTACAAAGTTTTAATTGAACCATAGAACAAGTTACAATATATATATATATATATATATATATATATATACAAGTGCAAGAAATTCAAATGGAACATTACAATGTCATTGTCATGCAAAGAAACCTTTGCCAAGACACAATGAACGTTCCGTATACATATGCAGGGTGTCCGAAAAGTCCCGTATCAGATATACAATACCGCTATGCTCGCGATGAAGTTTTGAAAAAAAAAAACGGTTTTTTCAAAATTGAAATTATTTAATCGGTTTATAAGACAATTGCAATTAAAAATGGAAATTTTCCACCAACCAAGAGCGTTAGCTGATAAACAAAAATCGGTGAAGTATTGGATTGGTAAAGTATTTTTGCGAATGAATATTAAAATTTCTTTATTCCTCCACGCGCTCGATACATCGATCGTATTAAGCTGAAGAATGTTTCGTTTTCCCTGTCATGTTTCTGTCATATTTTCGTACGATTTCTTTGGGTTTAGGAGGCCCTAATTCGACCGATGTACTCATTAGGGAAAATACTCCGCCATCCCGATATCTCACTGATTTTCGTCAACCAGCTAATATAACCAGATTAAAAATTTTTAATTTTGCAAGTACCGTATTCTTCAGAATTCATCATGATTGTAGCGATATATGTATATCTGATATGGATTTTTCGGACACCCTGTGTATTTCAGGCTAATGCAAGCCAGATTTCCACAGAACAAAATAATAAAATGCACCAAATAATTCAATTCACCGATAAATTGCTCGTGATACATTATTACAAATTTTTTTAAGCAGAACTTTCTCATGATTTCGTTATTTATACATAATAATTTTGTTTTCTCAACGACCCACTACAAAAACATGTGAAACAACCATTTTAAGAGTGCTAAAAAACAATTTTCGGAATGCAGTACTCTGTAATACTCTAAACGCATTAGGTTCAGCATGAAAAACCAATAATATACATTTTCATAAAAATCGAATCGAACATCGAGTTAAAGTGGAAAATACGATACGCGTCAAGAAAACTCATTGCAAGTTGGTGAAGACTACCATTAGCAGCACACTCAAAAAACAGTCAAAGAACTTCATATTTATCTTGTCGCAGCAACATGCAGAGTCGTTGATAGAATTGCATTTAAAGTAGCAAAAAGATAGTTATCCCAGCTTCTACAATTTATGTAATATGTATTCTAATATCCTTCGTCTCAAAAGAAACTTGCCACCTTCTTGCAGTCTATAATAACCCCTAACCGTAAAGTCAGTAATACGTAAAAATAAATGCACGTGTCCTTCAAACAACACGGCGCAGTTTAAACGGTAAAAAATATCAGTTAAAGAACTTTATACTTTATTCGAACAGCACTGTTAACACACAATGAATTATTAGTACAAGATTTTATGATAATGCCTAGGTACGTATAAAATATTAAGCAGCTCAAAATTACCATCTGAACCTGGCTTTATCATAGAAATCAAATAGACAAACTAACTTGGTCTGGTAGCTCTGAATAGCGTAGCGCCCTATGTTTAATTTCGATATATGAAAAGTAATAAGTACGAAGACGCAGTATGTCAGCTCTTCAAAATGTGTAACGTGTTATCCAATTTTGAAATTGTTTAAAAAAAAAAGAAAGCCAAACCACACCCCTTTCATTAAATCGCATGTAACAGATTTCCACTTTGCCATACGATTGTACCGATTGCCGATGAGCAATCTGGCACAAAGTGTCTGCTGGTGAAGAGTAGGAATATACTACTATGCAACAAAGTACTAGAACCGGAGAGTCTGAAAGGAAGACGCTGCTGTCTACTCGGCCGAGCAATAAGGCAATAAACAACAGCAAAGGTCAGGGGACCGGCTTGGGCACTGGATTCCTAAGGTACTTTCACACGTGACTAGGAAATTCCCTATTCGCGCATCACGTCGATTTATTGCCTGCAAACATCATCCTCGACCATTGGTACACACCGGGGTCATTCTCTGGAGGAATGCCAGCTGTACTTTTTTTCTCACATTAATCGTACGCATACCACTGGATTATAGGTAGGGGCATGTCTTCAAAACCTACCTATCTATTTTTGAATGTTCTCCAGCAACGACCATACACTCAGTACGTGCAAGAATGTAATGGTGCGGTACAACCATGGAAGAAGTCGGTCTAAATCATGTCGAAAACGCCATATATAACGACCAATATCCATGAAACTAGTAAAAACACTGTCGTTACGATCGCAGAGTCGCGATCGCTACTTGGAAATGCCTCGTGCGCTAGGAAAGTTGCCGGGAAGATTGGTTGCCTTTCGGTTGGATTCTCCAGGCAATGATTCCATGGTGGTCACACCCAACGCTCTCCGAGGATCAGGGACGAACAGAATAAAGGAATATCATCCGGAGCCAAGATCCTGCGCCAAGGACGACTGGACTGGAAATTCTTACGTTTCCGAAGGATATCTTGCTATTTTCTTCTTTCGACGACCGAAACCATGTACCTTTCGCGGTCGTCGTGTCAAGGACCTCGAAGATCGCCATTTCGGATGGCCAGACAGACGGACAGACGGAAAGTACAACGCGCGACGTGCCGAGCAAGTCCCCGTGACATTGCAAGGCCCCTTCGATGCAACTTCTGCCTTCTGCGCGCTGAATATCTGATTTTTTTTCAAGCCGGACCTTGAATTATTTATCATACAAGCGTTTCTCGGAAGAGGTCGCTCGATTAGAATTTTTCAAAAGACTTCGTACACTGTTTGTATATACTTTTACCTACGGACGAATCAAGGCCGCAATATCTACGGGTCACGCAACGATGTTCAAAATTGATACTGCTCCACTAATAAAACTTTTTGAGTTTGGTTTATTGATTTTTTTTTACATACTGGTAAAAACGTTCCTGATTCGAATAATCAATCTTAACATTAGATTTACCAGACCAGTCATTTTGACTGGTCGTGCAATTTCAATTCAAAATTCCTACTACATATATCATTTGATTTCAGAAATGATGTTATGACTTTTGTAGCTATAAGTAGAGAATACATTTTATAAACTTAATGTTATTATATATACATTAGTAACAAATATAATTTTTGTTATTGACATTTATATCAGTACCAGTCAAAATTAATAAATAGATGGTAAATCTAGTGTTAAGAAATAAAAAAAAATTTGTCCCTGAACTTACGTCATGTTCGTTAATTGCGTGTGTTCTAATAAATCGACGTGAGATCGATTTCTAAAGAATGTACAGTAATTACTGTTACAGTTTTGCAATGTCACCTCGTGCTCATGTTTGCTCGTTCCTGACAACATGACAGTTATCTTGATCAAAACATTAATGTAAAAAAAATATTCTACCTGCGACGCCTATTTTGATATTTGAATAAGATTTGAATTATGGTAACCGAATGCCTCAGTTACTAATGCTAATTAATCCATGAATTGTGGTCCTGGAACGCACGTAGGTTGAACCTGCATCGAAAGTGTCGCTTGAGTTCGCATAAGGAAGTGGAAAATTCCCTGTACTCATGGGTGTGTACCGGCATAATAATTTTCCGTGGCGTCATTGTTACCCGGACATGCCGACTATTTACATCAGTATGGTACTGTCAATTCTTATCATTTTTAGGATCACCAGAGACATCTAAAAATTTACATGAGAGCATAGTATACACATCTGTGACATATGCCTGACGTTTTCACGCGAATCAAATACATATTTTGGATTAAAATGATTTATTTGTTGCCAAAAATAAAGGATGATCCTAAGTATCGTTATATGTCATTTAAGAATTTTATTAAGTGTCCGCTCTCTTCTTCAATTTTTTGTACACTCACCTGGAGACAGCCGCAAAACGATTTTTTAACACGGGACGGCATCGCTTGGCAGCGACCTACAAACTCCTTCAAGGGTTGTGGACTTTTTACGGGACAAGTTGGAATCCTCTGAAACAAAGTAAAACAGGATTATTTAATTTTTCAAAATTTATTCCCTCTGATCTTTAGAATCTAAGGTCCTTTTGATCACGCCGAACAATTCATTTTAAGGATATCTTTTAAAACCATGACGCGATCTTTCGCAAAACATCTTGTCTGTTTGAGAATTCGCAATGAGTGAGTACGTCATGATTTTAAATAACAATGTAAAGCATGAATTCCAGACGACCACTTTTCCTTGGCTAGTCAAAGTGACCTTTCAATTTTAGTTTATTTTCATTCACACGACAATATAACCAATGAAGAAGAACACGGCATGAATTATCGTCCAAGTCCATTTTTATCGTCCCGAAATAAACGCCAATTATATGGAAGCACTTATCGCAAGTGTATATATGCAGTCTTCTGTGTATAACATCATTAAGATAAAAGCTGAAATCAGGTTTCTATTACAGAACTAGCCGTTCGGAACTTGCAACTATAATTCTCGTGATTGCCACGTCTCGTTTAACGAGTTTCCTTTACTAGAACAGCCCTAAAATACGTTCAACTTTCGTCTTTCTTGTTACTCCTGTTTTTCGTTTGACCGACATAACAATTTTACACTAGTACTTCCATACACTTTCCACCTACACGCTTGACTCGCGGTAACTACAGTTAGCTTTGAAAAAGACATCTCCAATTAACTTTACGTTACGACTCACGTATGTCAAAGAAAATTTCAAAATGTCAAATAAACCGTACAGTACATTCAAATACCTGGGGATAAAGACTAAATGGCCTAAAATTTACAGTTGATAATGAATTTGAAAATACTTTAGACACCCGTTACAGTCATTAACGAGTATGTACATATGTTTCATCATAATCCATCAAGAATGTCCTCAGGATCTGTTTCGGGAAAGAATACAAAAATAAAAGACAATCACAGCGGCCATAGATATCATAGGTGTGAAAGCAATGAAATTTAAAAAATTTTACATAGAAATATTATATGTATTCGACTACAATTAGCCCCTAGGCATTTACGCACTTTTTGTCGACATTCGATTTTGCACAGCATTCCGTAGCGCTGGAGATCACTTCCTCGTTGATATACGAGCAGTCCGATAAAAAAGTGGTGAGTACATTTTCTCCGAGGCTCGACTACACTGTCGGGAAAGCTACTGACACAGATATGCTTTATCGAAAGTGCAACCGAGATCGATTATGGTTAGCGTAAAGTAGCCGAAGTCCGGTCCATAGCCCGAGGCACGCGTGAACTTTCAATGCGTGGCATACCGAATATCCATACGAGCCATATATGATTTCAAAATGCACGACGTATGTGCCTACGAACTCGAACGGGATCGGTGCACGTATCTGGCACGACGTTAAAATCTTGATAGCAGTTAGGCAATTGTTAATTTTTCGCCGTTAATCACACGGCAAACTTCAGGCACTATTTGGCAAGCCCGAAAAGACCTAAAAGCCTGACAGTTCGTTTTACGTTTCAAATACGTGTACACGTTTCGTATCTATTGTGACTATGTCTACACTGGGTGGTGATTGTAGCATCGGCAATCGCTGCTGATTTTTGCACGTTGGCGCACTGTGATTGTATCGCGAAAAAATGCGTTAGAGATCAGGTCACTTTCGAATTCATCGATAGAATCCGTTGTTTTTATGTAATTTCGAAAGAAAAAATTTTACTTTGACTTTGATACAGATACCGTAAGCATTTTTCTGGACATTGAAATTGTGAAATTCTGTAGACTCTCAGCGGCAAAACATTATTCCTCGCCGAAAGAGCACAATAGCGTATGTAGGTTTCACTTTTTAAATATCTTCGGTGAGAGTCCCACGAATGAATAATTTCGTTATTTTTTTTATTCTCTATGTATTATTACGCCTTTCTACGTAGGCGTGGGTATCTGCGTCTGCATGCGCGCCCCACGTAGCGTTACGATAATTATGCAGATGAATCGGAATTAATGCCGAGGAACAATTGGTTTCGCGTACGAGACCTAGGTACCGGTACTAGACACATGAGTGCGCGAGGAGTCTCGTTCGGTACAGCAAGATGCACGCTCCTTCGCACGTTATTCTTCAAATTGGTTTAATGTCTTATAATCCTTTTCACGTAACCCATAATTAGGCGTGGATGAGCGCCAGTGGGAATTTTTGCATAATTCGCAATTTTCTTACGCACCTTCGGTAACACTTAGGAAATTTTCTTTTCATACAAATTATATCGCATCTGACTTCCATCCTCGATGAGGAGCGGCCCAGACTCGAGCGTGCAATTTTACATGCTAATAATTTGCAAGATTGTTCACAGTAATTTGACCAGCACATACGTAAGATCTGTATGCATACTCATTCCGGACTTGTAATTAGAAGGGACAAAATGCAATTGGAATTTTTTACAAACCACTATCTAAGTTTTATGCTAATCATTCTCGGGTCAGTTAATAATACCTCGAAGTAACTGAGCCAACAATGGGGTATTATTCAGAGCTTATGGACGAATGTGTTATCGGGCTATAGATAGATACGATATTTTTTTTACACCAGATGATTCGACCACTCGTATCATTTTACGTAAATATGTATATATACATCTGTTTACTTAAAATTGCAACAATCTTCCTAACGCCATTATTTTACAATATTCCAAATTTTAGTAAACGAACGTGATCTAAAGTTAGAATCTACATGAATTTTCGGCGATAAAGAAAATTCGCATTACCGTTATTTTGACGTTTCGAGTAAAACTGCAAAAATAATATTACCAGATTTAATTTTCCCATTTTCTCCAGCACGGTATCCATGTCGACGAGGTGTTGATCTTATTTCTTCCAACGATGTAAAAAAGAAAAAAAGGCTGTCACTACGTGTAATCGATGAACGACACCAGCGTTGCGTGTCTTCTGCCTTCCGAATGCCTTCAACACGTGACTAGTGTCAATATTTGAGGAACACTGTCAAATTGTACGACAGACACATCGCACCTACGAAGAGGTTCTCCGATTTCTTTCGAAAAAAAAGTTTCTCGAGGCAAGCCAAAGCTGTGTAAACACGATAGAAGTGATAGACACGGCAGATCCAGCAAAGTATCGGGTACGTCAGGACGTTTGACGTAAAATCAGGCCAAATAGTTGCACGAGTAATTTTGAACAAAAAAACCGTTCGAACAAATTCAAAAACAGATTCATTTATTCCGAACGAAAAATTCCACAGCGTACAGGTAATAACAAACGACAACAATTTCCAGTACCGCGATAAGTTGTTCACGCGAATTGTTTGCTCTTGTTATTCGATCAACGGACTAATTGACACGTTATCGAGCAACGACTTGCATAATTGCTGCAGTTCATTTGTCATTATTTTGCCTTTGACCTTTTCGGCTAACGCGCTGTCTCGAAAAAGTATCGCGACGTACTGAATGTGATTCGCAGCGTGACAAAAGTTCACGAAAAACATGCGCGCGACGAGAGCGCTACGTGCTAAGAACCTCTTGGCTCGCGTTTGTAGCCTGAACTGCCAGGTGAAAACACAACACCTCTCAACCTGCACAGGTGCACCGGGGCACTGTCTCCTCTCTCTCTCTCTCTCTCTCTCTTTCTCTCTCTCGATCTCGATCTCTTTCTCTTCCTCTTAGGGACTATTCCTCGCTCGCGCTCTATCTCTGCCGACTGGACCTTCTAGGAAGGGGGGCCTACTTGGCCTCCTCAGGACTCGTGTTCCGTCACACTCAAAGGCTAATGCTTACGACGACACCGATCTTCCGATGTACCTACGTACCGGTACTATTCAGAGCTAGATCCATCCATGCTGATGATGATCACCGCGACTCTGAGTTTCGCGAATCAATTCAAACTTACGAGATTACGATTTCAACGAAAGATAATTTGCACTGGGGAGAAAGGTTTGACTCGGTATATGATGATGAATCTCAGTTGTCTGGTATGCATGGAACGCAAAGAGAACTCATCGAGGACCTTTTATGGACAATAATTTTTTTATTGGTATAAAATTATAACTCAGAAATGAGAAAACACCGACGTTTCAAAGAATATTTTATATGCTAGTGATGTTGATGTTAGAAAATGATGTCAGTTATTTCTATTGAGTGATTTTCAAAATTCAAAATACTTTTATTCAATTTTTTGAAATCCACAGGAAAAAAAAAGAAATATAAAAAATTAAAGTAATACGACTATCATATACAAAAAATTATGTGAGAGTCACAAAAATTAAAATTACAAGAAAAAAAGAGAATTTATCTACCTAAAATAGTATTGCAACATTAGGAACGAATCAACGAATCATTCTTCTCGACCTCGTCGGACTCAAAAGGGTTCAAGTGAAAATCACTTTTCAAGAATAAAATACGTGAATATCCTAGACAAATCCAAAGTTACCCAAATTATCGCAGAAGCCATACATTGACCTTTAGAGGGCCGGAAAAACCCGGAGGGCAGATGAACCCATGATAGGAACATTGCATACAGTAAACCCATGTTACAAGACTCAAGTTTGGGTCGTTTTAAAAAGACGTTCTAAGATCTCAAACTCCGGCCCTCTAAAGGCTAAAGGCTAAAGGAACTCAGAGTCTATTGTATACAGATACGTATAAGCGCAAGCTGAAAGTGCAATACATTCACTATGACAAATGCATCCTCGGTTAACCGAAATAACCATGTAAAGGGAGCAAGATCTCAGTTAAACAGCTCGCTGGGTTTACGCCTTGTGCACGCGTGGTGCTTGATGCGTGGTGCTACGCACGTCTCACGCTCGTGTCCGTTAAAGCGCGGAGAGTCCAATGGGCGAGTTTAAAATACACAAAACGAAGCGTATCCGCGCGATGGTGAAACTGGAACGCGATCATCCTTGTTTGCCTTGCGCGAGCCTTGCATCGGAATGCACTCTGTCTCTCGGCGGTAGTCGCCGGCAGGTTTTTAGAAAAATAAAAGTCACCAGTTAAGTTTTTCCATAAACTTTATCGCCGGTCCTCCCGACGTCCTTGGAGGCAAAGCGGCCACTCCTACCAAGAGTCTTTCAGAAGTATATCGTCATTAACGTCGCGACGGGGCACGACGATCCTTCGTCTGCCGATGTCAAGGAATGCGAAACAAAACAAACCCCCCAGCTTTCCCTTCCCTCCCACAGAATGTCACATCCGTGTACACATGCTATTGCCTGGGTAGTTCGTTGAAAATCCCAGCGGCTGATATTGTTACTGTCTTTGGAATTATTTTTCCAACTTGGTACTACACACCCTGCAGCCTGAGAACTGTCTCGGATTCGGCTTGGCCACCATTAAGAAACCGTTCGACGATGACGACGTCAACGAACGTTTCCATCGTCACAATTCATCCTGCTGACCCAACCTCGAGCTCTCTAATTCTTATCACTCACTATCAGTGCCATTTCGTAGATACTCACAAGTACGTACAATCTATATATACAAATGTCACATACGTGTCTCCCTCGCTCTCTCTTTTCCCTATCTTTTAATTTATACCTTGGAGATGATAGTCTGCTCGTCGCCTTAACCTCAAAAAACATGACTATAGCGACACACCCGATAAAAGTACCCTGAGTGCTGCACTTGAAAAGTTTCTCTTGTATACATACGTCTACGCGATCGAGATAGGACTGAAATTCCAGAGAGACAACAACGACGCACGAAACTCGGTTGGATTAGCATATAAGTTAAATGCAGATGATCCGACAAGCCGTGGATGAACTCCCTAGAAATTGTGTTAAGTGTGGCGCGAATGGAAGATCAGCAAATATCGTCGTGTATAGTCACTGATATCCGATCCCGTCATTCCTTCGCGAGTTTACGGGGCTATCCTCGAAATTTCGAAAGCTATCCATCTAAAAGTTAAATGAACTGGCGGAATGCCGATCGAGAAGAATACTTGCGTGGTCCCCCGTATCGATCGAAGTAAGGATGGTAATCATATTTTCCGCTCGAGCGATGAAGCTCAATCGTAAAATGATCAGTTCAAAAAAAAAGCATCTGAGTATTAATTTATGCGTTTTTCTCAGTGTTCTAATCGGTGTCAATCGCTGCACGTATCGACCTACTCAGAAAGAGCCGTTATGTTGTATCTCTCACTCCTAGCTTTTAGACTACTACGACATGCTACAGTACCGGTCCGATGCATCGCTATGCCAACGTCCTTAGGTTATTACTTGGCATAGCCTGTCCTCGTCCATAGTATAGTCTCCTCGCCTAGCATTCTACGTAGGCGTAAAGCCGAACGCGTAGGCTCATTCATAGATTATTTTTATATGTCGCTTATTCAGGCCACCACGAACCGATCCTCCACCGAAGAACAAAGGAAGTCACTTGTAAAATGATGACAAGCCGAACCCTATCTTTAACACCGACCACGTTAATTGCTTCGAACGTAAATATACCGTTTCCGTGTGTCATCGAAATTCCTTCCAATAAGTCCCAGTTATCGATTCAGTGATCCCGTACAGATCAGCAATAAATCAACCAAGCAGCGAAAGCCGACAGGGAATGCCATTTACTTTTATTGGTAACCATGCGCACTTGGACTAACCACCTTCATCTAATCCTTTTAGATCTCCACTGTATTTTAATACCAGCATATCGATGCTTACTTACATATTACGCTGTTTTACAGTTTAACGCAAGCTTTACAGTTATCGCGGCGTCGTCATTTTTCCATAATCCTATAAATGTCATAATCGGCTTTTGACTTGAATGCGGATGCGGAAGGTGACTGGGACAAAGATCTCGTGAAATCGCTGATATATTTTTGGTGTGTTCGGTGATCCGCGATAAAAATCGTGGCACACTGACCCGGTGCGTGTTTTAGAATAACTTTAGAGCTCCGGCAATAATGAGACCGACTTGATGTGAGACGTGCATTTTAATTTTCCAACCGGACGGGTCCGCCGATATCTCATGTACCTACGTACCCACGTACGTGCTCCAGTACCGAAAGACATTGTTAATGTGTCGGATTCGAACGGACCACTTCGATTTCAGCACACGTATTACAGGGACAGTTGTCATAGATGTTTTTACAATTCGTAACACATTACCATGCCCGGAAAGTACTATGAGTATAGCGCCCTGACGTCTGACCGATCCATCAACAGGATGTTAACGGGTATTCCAGATACATGATAAACGGGGATGAACTCATGGCGAACGTGAAAATCAGAAAACAACGATTTAACAAAAAATAATCAACTAAGCTAGGTATAGACTAGAGTCTGGTACAGGCATATAGAAAATGACGTGTAAAAGGAGTTAAAATTAAATAAAAGGGAATGGCAGTGATAAACGAGCCTGATATGGGGATAATTTTTGCTTAAATATTTAGGACACATTGTAGGTCAGTATGCCACGACTTTTAGAATCCAGTATCCAGTAAGTTCCAGCTCTGAATTTTTCCTTCTTTTATTAGATTCTCAATAGTCGAAGTAAACGTCACGCATCGCGGAGCTTCACAACTTGGAGCGATCGCTCTTCGTAAACGTTATAGGCGAGTGTTTCCACTGGGATCTTCTAACAGTAAAGATACTTTTTATTAGAATTTTGCTTTTCATCTACGTCAGCGTGAGATCACCTCGGAGGGCATTCTTGAAAAAAGACAAATCAGCGACAGTGACGAGACGAGTGCTTGACTCCTCGTGTATCTCTCAAGAGGATAAAAAGTTGCGACTTTTACTTTGACGATACGTGACATACCCGCCGGCTGCAGTTGTAACGTGAACAATCGCTGGGTTATGGCTGTATGTCAAATACCAATGAGTTATTAAGACTTCACTTTGGAGTGACGTGATGCTGCTAAAGTATACGTTAAATTAAATATACACAGAAAATACACGGACACTCAATCATACAAGGAAGTACGTAATGATTATTCGTCCATCTTAAATTTCTAAAAGCACAAAGACCCTATTATGACCCTAAGACCCTATGATTTCTCTAAAAAAATTGTACTAGATATAAGTAGCAAATTTCAAGGTAATTTCGAGAAGGTATCTCAAGCGAGTCACCCTGTATATTAGACGGTTAGTGGGAAACAGGAGTGTAGGGTGCGAGCCTTAGGCCCAGACGAAATCAATAGTAGGACAGGATAAATAGTACGGTTAAGTCAATGGACTTTCTTCTTCCTGTTGTTTTCAGAAAGAGAAACAACTAGAGAGAAAGGTGAAGGCAGGTTTCGAATACAAAGGAAAGTAAAGGATAAAAGTAATATCAAACATCTCTAATCATATAGGGAACTTTCTTTATGTCTCTATGGATAAGTAATTGACAGCTCTTATACCCATAGACAATAGAATCAATAATGAAATACTGTACTTGAATTTAAATCTTCCTTCACCGTGAACAGTCGGTACTCAAGTAAACGCCGTGAAAGACCGTCAGTGTTTAATAAAGTAACAGCTTGATCATTCGAGTCATTTAAATAAATCCTCCATGAAGCCACAGCGAATCTTGGCAGCCGTTCAAGCATTCATTATTCAGTCCTCGATGCACCCGTGACGCGAACGGGTACCAGCAGCTTTGTGCTCCTCGTAACCATGGTGCATTGACTCTGCTTAAGACTAAACCATCAGCTTCGGCTAGTTAATCGAGATTTCCTGAAATCGCCCTAACTGTGAATACGGCATTGCCATTAAGAAAATTCTTCCTTTTACCGGCATGCGCGGCCGTTTTTAGTAAATGCGAATAGGTTCTCGGCTACTTATGGAAATAGGTTTATTGGCCGGCTTTGCAGTCTACATAAACGGAAAACGGCATTTAGCGCACCCGACTACTGTTGCAAACGGCTGGCAGAAGTAAAGTGAGTTAACGTAATATCCTTGCTCGTCGCGGAGTAGTATATTTAATATCCTTTAAATAGTTGCAAGAAAGATCCTACTTCCTTAGAAGAGTTCTGGCAAGCGAACATAGAGGAACTTAAAGATACACATAAACGGTTTAGATTCTACAGAGATTCGAACTGGTGATTGCGTGGGACGCAAACAGGTACTGATCTACCCACTAGAACGGAGCTACAGTTCGTTTCAAGGAGGATAGTACCTATTCCTACAGAGAAAGTGTCAAAGAGGTACGTATAAGCAAGATGCCAAAAGATTAAATTCGTAACTGATAGCCTTAGTCTTTTTTTTTCTGCAAGAGAATGCGGAACCTTTTTAAGTTGCACAAACGAACGTCATGGTAATACTCACACGTGCACAACAGAATTCAGATGAATCGAGGCGACATAAAATTTCGCAAGAGTCCACCAAACAAGTTTCGGTAATGGCAATGTCTTGCGTAACGTCAAAAACGTAAAACGCGAGTTTCCGGTAAGGACGAGCTTCACTTGAAATCGATGACGACGTGTTAGATGATCTCGACTTTCCTTTTCGCAGCGATCAATAAATCTGTCCCACAGTCTTATCCACAGGTAATTCACTCCCAACACTACATCTTCCTACTTTCTGTATTACGTAAACGTCTCCCTCAACGTAATTCACCGTTTGGCCAATTCATAGTTTTCCTACCACTAATGGAATCTCTTTCGATATGAACTTTTATCAGTAATTAATAAGCTTTGATGTCACCTGAATAAAGCACTGACGATCATGACTATACCGCACTGCCATTCGTTAAAATCTTTTTTAGGGCATCGCATTCGAACACAAACACTCCTCCGACCTAAATTCAAGTTCCAAAAAGAATTCGAGGAATTCTTGATAGATTCGATAGGACCGAAGAGTTGGATTATGAAATATCAATAAATATTAGAAAGCGAGTCCACGCAATAAATTCTTAAAAGCATTCAGCCCTACGTTCGTGTCTTCTCCGATCACGTGCTCGCCGGTTCCAATTCATTTCACAACAGGAGCCCCTCGTGCCCGTAAAGATGCTTCACAGATATTCAAAACGCTGCCGAGCACCCGCGTGTTTCACTGCTGCTTCCAAGAGTATAAGCCAAGGGTAGTTTCTGGCACGGCACCCCATGGGGGACTGAGCCCTCGTGCACCCTCGTCCCATGGACCAAACCATCTGTCCAACAACCCCACGCTGATCCCCACTCCCCACCACAACCATACTGCACGGCCACGAGGTCCGACTGCACTATTTTTTCGTTGTGGTACGTGCCAAAGTTTAACCGAAGAAAATAAGAGGCGACGCAGCGCGTGGCGCAGCCGCATTCACACCGGAAATACCATGCTAATTTAATACGTCTCCCTTATTCTCCCTTATTCTCTTACGTTCGTCTCCCAGCCTCCCCCCTTCCGTTCCACGAAGACCAGCCTCCCCCCCGTCGACTCACACCCACGCGCTTATACGCATTATTGCTCAGCCACGCCGCGTTACACAACTCTGGGTATGCGAAGATGTAATTAGAATTGTTTCACGGATAATTAGAGACGAGCCTGCCGATGGGTGCGTCTATACTCGGAGAAATAACTGCAAACGTCGCCAAGGGATATTTTGTCGTGCACCAAACAAATCGAGCGGAACTATTATAATTAAAGGCAAACTCGCAGAATCTGCATGTTTTTATGGATAACGTAAAAGTTCATGTAAACTTGGCACGATACAATTTCAGCGGAAGGCTGACGCGATGTGATGCTTCTGCGGCGACGCTGGTGCAAATTGCAATTCGCCGGTCGAGCGCTTACAATTGGTCGAAATTGACGGCAATTAGGGCCAATGCACGTTGGAACAGTGATTTCGCGTCGCGCAATTCGACGAAGCGCGACGCGCGGGATCGGGGTACCGCGCGACGAGACGAGTGGGAACTGGGAAGCCGACGAGGGAATGACGAGAGAAGATAAAAAGACTTGGCCTTGAGGTCCATTTCTCCTTACAAGGGTTGCGAGAGAATCGAGTGGCCTCGCGAAGTATCACGTAGCGTCATGACTTTAGGACAATGTATGTACTACGGCCGAGTAGCATAAGCCGCACTTTGCGGTAACGAGAGATCTTCGTGGCATCGGAGCATCGATGCGTCAAAACGTCGCCGGGGAAGTTCAGATGACGGCAGAAGGTCCAGTGGGATGAAATTTCATAGAGGAAGGTAATGCCGCTTTTCAACCGCACCCCTCTACCTCCCTACCTATATATACTTCTTATTTGTACTTGATCTCTGCATCGTCCTATATGAGTCTGCGATAAATCGATTACCGTCCAAGATGATAGCAATGTCGTTATTACGTATTACGTCCTGAAGAAAGCACCGATTAACTTGGCTCCTCTAGACCCTTTATCGTGGTCTTGCTTGAATGACGTCATTGTTCTATGTTAAAGTGCACGCTAGCGAGGTTTAGTACAATATTTTGGCAGACGTGGTCCTGTACTGCGTGACTCACCGAAGCCAGAACACTCGAGGCATTGTATAACGATACATGGTAAGGGTGCGCTCACATGAGTAACTGAGTGGCTGAGATGAGAGAAAAATGAAGTAATAGAAAAGCAGTAAAGAAAGTTCTTATTATAGGTAATGGAGTGGTTGGCTGAAAGAAAGGGTAGTTTCTCCCTTATCGAATCCTATACGAGCCCCACTTAACGGGTGAACACCCGATAGCTGGGACTATCGCATGGACTGGGAATTTTCTATGGGCTTTCGGTGTGAGGGTTGCCTAACGGAACAATGTGTGCATAGGGAGCTGCCAGCTGTGGACGATAGCCCACATGGCGTTATGCTCTTGTCGGGATGCGAGTCTATCGATTTTATCACCATCGTTTTGCCAACGCAATAGAGGCTATCGATTGGATGGCTAGACTTTATCAATTGCAATCATTTATCTTTCATTCGTCCAGATGATTTGTCTTTTTCAATGTACTATAATTTTTTAAGAAAAGATTTTTTGTACTTGTATATATGTATGTTATAAAGCATACTATTGGATTCGATCTTCTGGCTTATCAATTCCTATCTCCTCGATCCTTAACGTTTCCAGGATTCTCTTTCATCCGTAAAATGGGCCTATATGCTTCCCTGACCCACTAGTATTTGAGAAGAATGATCTATTCATATCCGCAAAAAAAAATCAGTGCACTTCGCGGCATAGCACTCGAGAATCTTATACTTGAACTTTAACAGACATGCAGTTATTAGAAACATTTTGGTTGTGATGACTATAGGCGCCATTCTGTCGGGTCTGTGACTCTTTTCTAGTCGTGCTGCTTTAATTTCGATGAATTATTGGTTGCCAACCACGCAGAGGATCTTTAGGAAGACGCAGACTCATCCTGGAACACGAGACACAATGACTTCGTCCCTGTCATATTTAGAAAGAATGATGAGAGTAATATTAACGAAGGGTCTTGAATATATACCTAATTAAGAGACAAGAGCCAGCAAGAAGTGCCAGGAAGTGATGACCTAATACACCCAGTAGGGAATATGTCTGACTGATAAGATTAATCTTACCTTGATAAGAAATAATTGTCAATATTGAGTATTCCATTGGAAGGAAACGTTTCGAGCTTCACATGGAATTCAGAGTCATTCTAAATATTTAGAAAAAGACTTCGGGGTACTGTCCTCTCTTGTCTGGCCTGGAAATACTCGTACGTTTCTTGTAGGAACTATTTTTGGCAGTGCACGTAGTACGTGGTGTATTATCGCAAGGTTATCCCTCCCTGAACATCCTTGCAATGACGCCTGTATCATTTTAGGAAAATTCACAGTGATCTCATACAGCGTTCACAAGAGGACCACGCAATTATGCATGTTATAAAATAACAAAAACAAATTTTAAATTCACATGTAGACATTTATAGGCACCATATTCTTCATTGCATATAGTTTTACGTAGCGCTATTTGAACATGCTTTCTCCAAAGAGAGGTTAGGTGCTTTCAAAGCGTGTCGATTCATTAATGTATCTAACAACGCACGACCGTCATATTTAACGAGTGCAAATTACGAGTAGGTATATCATAAACTTTGCGCTTATTTATCATGAAAATTGGCATTGGCGTTCTGCTGACATTTATGTTTATATAATGTACACTAAAATTACTCTATGAAATACGAAAGCGTGTGTCTAGGATCCATAAAGTATAAGTTTTGTAATTGGATAAAGAATGCTCGCGTCACGTTTGCTCTAAGATTCTTTGGCGAAGGAGCTCGTGCACAATTGCCAGAGTAGTGTAGTACGAAGTAAAGACGTAGGTGAAACTTATGTAGGAAGGCACTGACATTTTCAAATGCCATGGACCTCGCGCAATGCGCCGTTTATCATTTAGGTTACAATGGAGCTTTGTTTTGTTCGATATTGTTAGCGTTCACGTACCCTTGTCTGGAATTAATGGTGGCTCGTGTAAACTGTCCGAAGTCCAATCATGCCCTTACTTTGACACTTGATACCTGCAAATCGATTGTCAATACGTTTTCGAGGCTTCGACCAAAGACAATAGAACAATATAAAACTCCATTCACATTTAATATCATCGGAACACAATGAACCGCACGTTATGTTATCAAAATCAGTATATAATTAACACAACACCAGTAATAAACATAAGTACTGCACAGAGAGACATATCCCACGACAGATCTTGAGAAAATAAAAATAAATCGAATACTTTACCCTTTACCAATGCATGCCATTACAATTATGGTTAATGCATATTGATACGATATACACAAATTCTTTGTTCGCAATGTTAAGTACTGCATTCATAAAGAAATATTTAAATTTATACCTAAGGTAATTATGAAAGAATCAGTCCACTATTTTTAGTAAATAAGTGTTGCTTCAACTAACATGTGTACCGAAGATGCTATTTTATTGTAACGGAGTCTGCTAGCGTACTTTATATTTTGTAATATGCCATCTGTATTTTTAATCGAAGACAAAGAGCATATCGTGCTAGAATTGCTTCATGGATTCCTACGCACCGGGAAATTGCATTATCTCAGTGATATCTGACTTACTAGGCGCGTGTGAAATGTCAAATTTCTTTGTAGCGTCGAGGATGGAGATCAATACACGAAAAGCCACATTCGCGGAAAACAACACAAGTCGTTGGGACGCATGATGTGTGCCGATCTGCGTCACCGCCACCGAAAACGAAACAATCAACAACGGACCGAACGAGAGAACGACTGGTTTGGTTACAGTGTCGTCCACAAAAGAAAAAACGCGTGCGAAAGCAGAGAAAAGTCAGGATACTCTGTGTAAGCACGAACTCTCGACTTTAACGACGTTCTGCGCCGGTCCGTCGACGTCGTCGTCGTCGCCGGCGCCGTTGTCATGGCAACGCGATTCTAGCCGGGATCGATTGATCGAATTCACGTGGTGTTACTTACTCGAGATATCGAAAACTGGGATGCTGCGCATAATGCATCTGCGACTCTCGAATGTCGTACGTACACTTTTTTATTACTATTAATCATAACTGTTTCTCACGTTAATAAAAAGACAAAAAACAAAACGTAATTATTTGAAGGTTATTCGGTAGATCGTTTTAACGAATTTTGTCACTCCAAGCAAACGTTACATCGTAACTGTCTTTTAACGAAATAATGTATATTTTCGGGAATGCTTTGTTCGTCGATGTCACGATGTGCGTTACTTAATGTTTAATCTGTTAAATATTTTTAACTATATACTTACACGTATTACTTTTCACGTATAATATATAAGGTATGTTTGAAATTTACTCACAGTACTGCGACTAGCGCTATTTCCTTATTCATCTATACGTATCTGAGAGAGACGTAACTATTTTCGGATTATTGTCAATTTCGGAACACATCCATAGTCGGTTCACGAGTTCAATGTGTTTTATTGATAGTTTCCAAACAATGTGATACTTGGGAAATCGTACGTGGCTTTCCATAAAGTCAGGTAAACATATTTTAAGGTCGAAAAATAAAATATATTTCAGTGCGAAACCATCCACTTGTATAATCTGTGACAATACTGTTTTGTAGAACCACGTATGAATTGCTAAAATATTCATTGTTTTCATATTTAGCTTGTGGACCGACTGTCTGCCGTAATGATACGTATCTTACCTTGTGAATCTTTCCCCTTCAGCGATTCCATCAAGCACGTATGAAATTTTGGAATATATTTATGGCTTAATTTGCAAATGGGGTTTATATTATATAGCGAAGGTTATATGTAAAATACATGCAATATTGATAGCTTTCATTGAACTCAATGACACGTTGTTTATATCGAAGCTAATGACCATGAACATATCGATATAATGCAAATAACTGTATCACGCTTTGCACATAACTTTACATCAGTAGATACGAAGTCGTGATGCATATGCGTGAATTCTTAGGAAAATGGTAAAAAATGAGATCAAGGTATTTGCACGGCTTAAGCCAGAAAGAAGACGTAATAAAGCCGTGGTAAATCTTGAAATTCATTAATTCACTGATGAGACAGTTATAAACTTTGAGATATACGTCATAACCAAAACTACTTTTGCAGAATTACCAGATACATCGCCGACCAAAAAGTCACTCCGAGGAGGATTTTTTAGTATTAACAGCACCTCAAAAGTCATTCAACGAGTACATAGATAATCGTCCTGAGTCATGGAATTTCTCGTACGCATAAAAATACATATACAAATACATCTACAAATTGTGAACCAATTACTTTTTAGATTTTACAAAATTTTCCAAGAGGATTCCAATCAGCAAGAAATTTTTGAAAATGTCGCACGACCCGTAGTGGACAGGTTAATAATGACTTCAATAACGCAACATCATTCGGTAATAAGATAACAATTATTAATAGATCTTTCGATCAGTGTTCTCTGTGGCTACAACGGGACAATTTTCGCATACGGTCAGGTGAGTAACAAGCTGCTTTACGAACGTGCAATTTTTTACGAGCGATTTAAAGGCAAATAATGTAGACGGGGAGTGGCAAGACCTACTCGATAACGGGTGACCAAAGAAAATACAACGATCGTGGAGTACTACCAAGAACGCTGGAGTATCTCTTTGACGTAATTCGAAAGGTGAGTTTGTTAAATGTGAAAAACGTTAAGAACTGTTGCGGGAAAGGTCGTAGACGTTGGTAAAGGACGAGGCCTTAAGCAATGCCGGCTTAGTTAAAATGGATGCGAAGGCGGAGGCAATCCTTTCGTCTCGGCGACAACGACAAGAAATTACGTGCTCATTTTCAGAAACCGGAAAATCTCTACTCCATAGAAATCTCATACCTGGAGATTTACAACGAGAATGGTTACGACTTGCTCTATCAGCGACACGAAATCGCTACGAGATCGGACGATTTCCCGTAAGTCGCTGCATGAGAATTCTTGACATTTCGTAAAAACGAGATTGCCACGACAACGAGCCGTTACGACTGTTACGCATAGGAGTAAAGAGTGAACGAACGAGTGAGCGAGAGAGAGAGAAACAGTGGGAGACAGGGTACGCGAGAGTCTAGACAACTAGTAGCATTAGTTGAGCCAGTAGCACTAGCAGTGGCTCGACTACTTACTTCCAACTACTTCGCCAATTGGAAATACGCGTAAGGAATGTCAGGAGATCCGGAGAATGTTCCTTTTTACTAGAGTTCTCGATCCCGACTTAATCCTGGCTTTGCACCAGGTTATTCGCTTCCTCTAAGGCTCAATCCATACCGTCTCCACTGGATTCCCTATAACTCTCCTACATAGTTCACTATGTGTTCTGTTCAAATATAAAATGTTCTTCATGACTTCTCATACGCTTCGATAATATTACAGAAAACGCGTCACTATTCAGGAAGACGAGACTGGGGTTCTTCACTTGAAGAATTTAAACTTTCATAATGTCGACAACGAAAGCGATGCTCTCGATTTGTTAGCCTTAGGTGAGACAAACAGGTAAAGCGATATTTATTCGTTTCGTAATTATTCGTATTCAAAACTTTTATAATGAACTTTTTTTTTAGAGCCATTTCCGAAACGCCTATGAATCCTCAATCTTCGAGGTCTCATTGTATATTCACTATCATCGTGTCTATGAAGAAACATAGTTCTGATCATCATACTAAAGCTAAAATGCATCTTGTCGACTTGGCTGGGTTTGTTTATTCATAATAGACGTATTAATTGCTTGAAATATTTTTAATCAGTTAAAACCAGTCCTACACAGGCAAACTCTACACAACATTACACGAATAATTCTACAAGAAAATTTAATGATTTTTATACTAATCAGTCTACCCGGTAATATTTAAACTTCAGACGAATAACGACAAGGAAGCTAACAAATTTTTAAAATAATTTTACTAATTCAGGATGTCTAGCATTAAAATTCTAATCTTGTTGGAAGTAGTTTTTAAAATCTCTACTTGTTATTAGACATGTATATATATACATATGTATGTGCGGGAACCTGTGCATGAGATGCGCGGTAGACACGGAGTCGCCTAATTTTAGTCAGTATTCTGTTAGAGCTCAGTGGCTTCGCATTGTGTCCCACCTAATGCACATGTACAAAGTATACTCAATCATAATAAATTTTAGCAGTACCCTATTAAATCATAACAAATCTGACCTAATGTAATGAAAGATTAACTAGTTCATTATTAGCTATATAGAATGTTATTGAATCTCAGTGTGAATGCCGCTTCATAATAGTGTAGAATATTATTGTATAGAAATGTTTGTGCAGCATATCTCATCTGTAGGATTGACTAATGTTGGATCGAAGCTCCACAGGATTATCCATGAAGATCTGTTGGTACTATAGAACTTATAGAATGTTCATGTAGAGTTATACATTTGGCTCGTATAGTACTGGTCTGTTTGCTTTTCAACTACATATTATTCTAAATAGATTAAAAAAATTATTTTACCGTTCGATGGTAACGAGAATGCTGTTAATCGCGCCTAACAAAGAGCAACCATTTATGGTCTTAAATGGAGAATGTGATTTAAGCAGGGGGCACAATGCATCATCTATGAGAACAATTTTAAATTCATTACGCATTAAGACTTTTAATGTCACTTTTTTTTTACAGATCCGAACGCGTATATAAGTGTGCCATCACCGGGACTATTTTAACGGAGGCCAAGCACATTAACCTGAGCCTACATTACTTGGAGCAAGTCATAGTGTGTCTGGGTCAGGACAACATAACTCACGTTCCCTACAGGTGGTGTACGGATGACATTATAATAAATGTGAAATGTGAAAGATACATGAACTTGAAAATTTCAGAAATTCTTTGTTAACTGCGATTCTTCGAGATAGCCTTGGTGGTAATTGCCTTACGACGATGTTGGCAACATTGAGTATTGCTACTTTTAGCTTTGAGGTATTTCAAGTAATTCTTTTGCTTAAACTGTACTCTATTGTTGATGAAAAATTATAATCTTGTTGTCTACAGGAAACCATATCTACTTGTAGATTTGCCCAAAGAGTTGCGCTCATTAAAAACGATGTTAATCTTGTTTTTGAAAAAGACGTACGGAGCGAAAATATGTTTTTGAAAATGGAAATCGAGAGACTCAAGCTGGAAATTAATCGTCTATCCAAGAATCAAGTCCGTTGAGACAGTATTTGAATGTTACTTTGGTCAATTTAATGTAGATATTTGCGTAGATAGAGTCAACAGAATTATTATCCGAGGATGAAATGAAAAACTTGGATCATCAAATCAGTAATTTTCTCGTAAATGGATCAAACGTAATGTGGGATAACGATCCAAGAAAAGTTCAATATTGTTTTGAAGCAATGAGGATGAGTATAGAAACTGGAACGAGGCATAAAACTTCTTCAGAAATGTCTTCAACTGCTTTAGAATATTACAAGAATTTGGTTCTTCAACGTGACAAGGAAATTTGTATCCTTTAGAAATAATTAAAATTAACGCGAACAAAGTGCCGCAGCTGTCATTTCGATTGCTGAATATAATATTAATTGTATAATTAATTTACCATGATCCTTAATATATTCTCAGCATTGTTAATTGAACTTCTCAAGAAGGAAAGGGCGAATAATGAGGAAAAATTGAGAGGAGTCGACAATCAAAAAGTTTCGCAACAATTGAAATTTGAAAGAAAGTATAAATCGAAACCTCCAAAAGAAACTTTACATTTAGCTACTAATTCATTGGAAAATAATTCCACTAAAAATTCGAATGTATCATTAATCGCAGTACAAAGAAGAGACACTCAAATTAATGCGACAGAAATAGATATTTCTCCGCCGATAAAATTGGAACAGAATTGTTTCAAAAAAGAAATGAGCCCTGTTGAAAATAACAAAATTTCTACATTTATGGAGTCTAAAAATATTTCAAGTTCTTCGCAAAGAAGAATTTCTTACTCGAATCCAGTGATTCCTGAATTAGATTTAAATAAGATTACTGATAATTGTGAAACAGGTAGGAAAGGAATTGAAGATAAAACTGAAATGAATGAGCAATTTTCAGGAACTTATCCAAAATTGGTACTTCAATCAACCAGAAGAATCGCGGTTTCTGATTTGAAAGAATCAATTCCTCAGTATTTTAGTTCAATCAATGAACTTCATAACCATGACGGAATAGAATGTGCAACTACAAAGAAAACTATTTCAGAAAAAGGAATTGAAAATCAAAATATCGGAATTCTAGAGTTTTCAAAATCTTCCAATAAACCAAGGACTAGGATAAGTGAAAATAAAAGAATTGGTTCTAAACAGAGTGAAAATTATCTGAAGATGGGATGCAATACCACAAATCGTCTAAATCAAACTCTTCCAATTCATTCACCAAATACTGAAATACCGATTGAAAAAAACTCACCAACTCATACAATAACTTTGAAAGATCAAACTATTACCACACCTATCAATAGTGCAAAGACAATCCACTTTCTTAAACGTCAGAGTGGGCAAGACCAGAAACAAGACAATGTTGAATCGAAGTCAATCACACAAAGTACAAATACAGAAAATAAAAAATATTCGTTTAAAACACCATCACTCCTAAACAATATGCATTGCGTGAATCTGAACAAAATTGTGGAATCAAATCAAAATTCTGAAAATCTAACAGAAAATTCGATTTTGACACATAAAATGAAGCCCACCAAGTCTACAAAAAGTGAACGAAAAACTGTAGCTGATCTGATAGCAAGTTCAAGAAAGAGCATAGAGTCAAAAGAGCATTTATCAGAAGATAAGAAAGTAACGGAAGTAGCCGACGTCAGACAAGCAGTTAAAACAGATTATATCGATTCAATGGAAGAAAGTACTAGAAAGGCTTTTGAGAAATCTTTACCACTCACGGGGGATCCTGAGATCGACGAGGAGATAATCGCATTTTACAAGGCGAAACGTTCAGGAGGAACATATTGAATTTAGTCTTAGAACCCAATGAAAAACGCTAATTTGTAAAAATCACTATACGTATTAGAAATATATTGTATAATTTATATATTAAGAAATGATGCCTTTTGATAACAGTAACTGGAGATATATTAAAATTTCTTATAAATGGGTTCGTTTAGTAATTAGCTGTTATATACATATACGGTTTATGTTTCTCAATATATACAATGTCGATAATAAATAAAGTAATAAAGGTGAAAAACTAACATCTTAACAAACTGACTTTTCTTTAATTGATTAAATGATGTTTCTCTTAGGAAAAAATATATAATATACATATAAATATATATGACAATCTAACTCAGAACATATATGTAATAATAAATATTAGAATACACATAAATCATAGTAATTACACGTTTACAAGACCAAACGTTTGCCCTATACCAGTATATTAATTGTTACAATCTAGTTCATTCATATCTAATTTTTCGCCGTACATCGTTGATTCCAATATTGTTAACCTGTTATTGTGTATTACACCAAGGCAATGCCTTTTCGAAAGATTTTTATGGATTCGTAGTTTAAACGTGAACAATTTTTGTGCTTCCATTTTTATGCTTTCTCTATAAACGAAGCCCTGTATGCCTGTATAGAAAAAGAAATTGCTTTGAGATTCAGAAAACTATAGATCAAGTATATATTTTAAAAAACAATACTTTACCAAGGTATTCATATATTTGTAGTTTATTGCCATTTTCAATGAAAACCAGAAAATTTTCTATAAAATCATCAAAATTCAAAATTGAAAAGGACTTTGGATTGTGAGCCCGTATCGTTTGCTCAATTTTTCTTCCTGTTGCATCATTATCGTATATCTATTGAAAATATAAATAATATTATAACAATGCTACTCAATTATAAAACAAAATTTGTTATCAGAATTGTTAAAGTACATACAAAAATATATTCAGGGCTGATGTTTTCATCGTATGAAAGAAACATTGTCCTCTCAAAAACTCCTAATTTGAACCCAAAAGTTTCATCGTTCCCAAATTCATTTTGAACATACGTATAATTCATAAATTCGACATTATACTCATAAATTGAACGTTCGTCCATAAGAAGTACTTTTTCAAAATTTGGAATAAATTTTGAGTTTTCATCGTTTATTGGATACGATTTTGGAATTACAAAAGATTCCTGATATATTTGATCGATAGACCATTTCTGCAAATGTTTATCAGCCAAAACCAAAAAGTAGTCCATACCAAGTTTTGTTACGTCAGTCACATTTCCAAAATAGTAAACATGCTAAAAGAAATCATAAATAAAATTCAAAATCCAATGTAAGTTTGATATGTTTCAAATCAAAGAGATACGTACGGTGAATTGATTATTTTCGAATTTCCATAAATTTCCCCCGTCTCTACGACAACCGGATTTCCCCAGTGTCAGGAAGTATGGAATTTTTTTATATGATAAACTAATCCATCGGTCGATTAATCCAAAATCCAAAACATTCGCTTCTTCAACGGAATCGAATGTTCCATTGTAATAGATAAATGTCTTCACGTCACAAGTACCGAAATTAATAATTAGATAATCAAGATCGTTATATTCAAACTGATGAATGCTCCATACAGAAGTATCGAAATTCAATATACGAAGGTATTCGAAATATTTGAATTGATATATTTGGGTTGTGGCGCGATTTCGTAATAACTCTAAATCATGACAAATGCTCTTCATATCCGTCTGTTAAAAGAATGTTAAATTCACGATATTAATTTTAGTTACATCGTGTTAATAAAAGTCCGAATTAAAATGTGCCAACTCGATCACCTTTGTCTCAGCAATAATAGCGTCCAATGTTAACTGTGCCTTTTCCACTTTATCTGCCAATTTCTCCACGTTATTTCCATTTACTATTTTATTGCCTGTTACATCCTTCTCAAAATGAACGTTACCATGTACCACCCAACGACCATTAACTTCTTGGTTTATAGGAAAACTAGTGGTGACCGCAATACCTTCCCATCCAATGGGATTTATCACATCATTCAGCAAGCCCAAAATGCGCAGGCTACCACTTAAAGTAATTGGTTGTTTAAAAGTCAAGTTTCCTAAAACAATTTTCAACATTCATAGCGTTACATGCAAGTTTACAATTTTGTTAAAAATCCAATATATTGCAAAATAATAAATTTTTTACCGAATACAGTATCATTTTCATTCACGTAAACGTACTGTGATGTGCTTATCTCATTTATATAGACCGCATCAAAATTTTGAAGTGTGTACACTGGACCATAAAACGTTATATGTCCCGTAACGTTTTGATCTCCTCTTAACTAAAACAAAATTGGAGATACAAGACTATTCGAAAAATTATAAATAAAAGAAATGATTTAAAAACTACCATGAATGTGTCTTCATAGATCTTGTTCAAATCGTAGCCATTGACAAAGCCAGTGATTTCTAAATTATTAACACTGAAACTTGGACAAGAAATACGATCAGCAATAACTTGCTGCGAATTAAGCGTAATCAATGAATGAATATTGATCCCATTAAGAGTCTCCACGTTTATACCAGTATCAAATATGACGTCAGTAAACGCGATTGGACCTAAAACAATTTAAAAACTCCAGAAGCTTAATATAGATTTCACCACAAAATTTATCATTATCAATTTCTAGTAATGCTGTATACAAAGTGTCCAAAAACAGCTGTGTCAAAATATTATTAAGCTACTTCCTGCAAAAGATTAAATTTAACCATAGGAATCTAGTACTCGATCATTATTTATGCCACGGAATACTTTTTATAATACCTGAATTTCTTTACTGGTTTATTGCGTTAAAACGCTGATGGATAAAAAATCAATGCTATAAGAAAGATAAACGCGAACGCGCCAAGTTTCATAAACAGTACAACTTATTTTGCTGCAAACGTTTTTCAACATTTTGTATAATTAATACAGTATAAAAATTACCGATTATATATGAATTTCTATTCAAATGTACAGCATTTGCTTTTAATTCATCAATATCAATTTCCATGATGAATCTTGTTTCCATTCCTCGATTTGCACTTATATTCTGCATGACGAAGACGTCATCGTGAAAATTAACGTCTGACGTAATAAATATGGGCTCGTCGATAAACACAACATGCTCGTAAAATTCTTTCAAATTGACACTGTTGTATTTATCCAAAATCGTAAAATTATTCTCAAACGTTACAGAACCCTGGAAAATCTTCGTTCCAGAGATACTCATGTCGTCCTTTGGAAAAATGACAGTGTCGAAAAAGCTATCAAAAGGCATATCTTGAATTGGCCCATTGACGATCAAATTTGTTATCCTTACGTCATTAGCAAATTGGAAATTACCCCTAAGGATAAGTGTATTATTTTCTGAATATGAAAATCTATTTATCAAATCCTTAAACGGTATGCCATCTATTTTTCCATTGCATTCAAAATTGCTCTCAACTGTAACAACTCCATTCACCGTTATAGGTCCTGTCAGTTGCTGATCTTTTTCAGGATCAAGTATAGAATTGATCGAATATCGATTTATAAAGTTCACGTCGAATTCTTGACACATAATCCTATCAAACGTTTTCATTCCGGAAACAACAATATTTCTGTCGGTCTTAAGAATTAAGTCGGCAACACGTTCGTTGAAATCGAAATCATTGACATGACCCAGAACTATTAAGTTCTCGATGGAAACGTCAGTTTCAAAAATCACCATACCCATTTTTGCCGGGGTAAATATCTCATTCACATTTTTTCCGTTGATTTTTGGGGTCTGGACGTTTCCCGTCACCATCAGGAAATCTATGGCCGTACTTCCGTTCAAGATATTATTGATCAACGTGTCCTCATTGAATCTAAGACGCTCTAGTTCTTGTACGTAAATGCCATTGAAAAATTGTGCATTCAGATAATTCGTTTCCAAATTCTCAAACGTAAAGTTACCTGTCAAATTTTGTGCTACTGACTTTGACAATCTACGTTTTTCAAAATCTGAGAAATCAACACCATTAATAGTATTAGCGACAATATCCGGAACAATTAAATTTTTCATTGACACTTTATTAAAGTTCATCTGAGCAAACGTGCGATTTAATCTGTTTGAGAATTCTGAATGAGAAATAAATCCGTTTACGGTGTCGAAGTTCAAGTTATCTATGACTGGAGTCTGTTCAAAATTAATTTTTGAAAAACATTTTGCATTCCCAAATTCATCGACATTCTCGTTTAAAAAGTTTTGCAGTTCTGTCGTGACTCCTTGTTTCAATTCACCGAAAGAAACATCCGAAGAAATTTTTGTTAAATCTGAAAATATATTCAGTCAATGTATTTAACTTGAGAATAATTATTAATTATTAGAATGCTTGCAATAAGATTGAATATCTTGATACTATCATGCCCATACATTATAATAATACTTAAAAAGAAAATTTCAAAATCCAATTAAACTCACAAGGAAACTCCTGCTCGTCGACGATATTAACGAATTCATTAATTGAATGGCCATTGATTTTCTGAATATCGGAAATATCTTCATTATCAATATTTATTCGTCCCAAAAAGGTCTTTTTACCCGAAATCTTAGCATTAATGTCATCATGAAACACTATGTCATCAAAATCCGACCATTTCCTCTCATTTACTGATTTTTCTACTATAACGTTTCCAATAACTTGTAAATTTGTGAATGTCACGTCAGATGTAATTACATTCGACTGTTCTAAATTTGGTCCCAATTCAATCGGTTCTACACGTTGATCCGTTATATTGATATCGATCTAAAATTATAAAATATATTTGCATTTTCTCATTTTCCTACAATATTAAGAAAATAATAAAATCACAGTTACCAATAGGTTCCCAGTAACTTTTAAATTATCGAAAGTAATTTCTTCAGTCAACGATTGATTTCTGTCAATAATGACGTAATCTTCAATAGGAATTCCATTCAGATATTTAATACCCGAAAGTTTCGTGGCTGTCAGCGTATCAAAAGTTTTTTGACCCGTTACCAGTACCATACTTGTGCTATTACGTAACACATAATCGTTAGGATATCGCAGACCATTTACGTTGTCAACATTTACGTAATCCGCAACTATTTCCTAGACATGCAAATTATTTATAAAAAAATAAGCAAATAAGGAGTTGCGTAAATTCGACAGTTTAACGTTGTGAAAAGTGAAATAACTTTCTTCTACATATTAAGTTATGCGAACAAGAATCATACCCCATTCACGATTGTCTCTCCAGGTATAACATACGATTTGCTTTTAAAAACGATATTATTCAACAAATTTTTCCAATTTCTAGAATTTATAGTTGAGAAGCTGAGATCACCTTCCACGATTAGATGATCCAATTTTGAAAAATCAACGTTCTCGTAGTTACTAGTCGTCGTGTCAAAAACTATATTTTTCATAGGAACATCATTTACGAAATATATTTCTAGTTTTTCAAAATCAATATGTGGGAACCATTTTTCACCCTCTATGACGTCATTATCACCGTATATGAACTCTTGTAATATTTCAGTATGTTTCACGTGATTAAGATAATCCAATGTCAAATTATTCACGCTCAACGTTTCGCCGATTTCAATATTTCCTTCGATTTCAATATTCTCATTTAAATTAAGTTCCGTTACGTGAGCCGGAATTGCATTTGCCAGATTGGAAGCAATTTCCTCCGTTTTATAATAAATTTCCTTTAATACATCTATGGATGAATTTATATTCGCATGCATATCTTCTACTGTAAGGAACGTCGGACCCATCGTTATAGAATGACAAGTTGCATTCTCATATATGATTGCAGTTTCGGTATGGACTTCAGTGAAATTCCAAAAACCGGTAATTTCTGGATTATTGAAATAACTATTGTTCATAAGGACTGCTGTCCTGTCGAGAATTAATTCCTGCTTTTCTAACACCCCCTGAAATTTTTATAAGCATATTTAAGAATTGAAAAAATTATGTACTCGAAATGATTCATGAAAAACTTGTAGGTATTAATATACACAAATATACCTCCAAATTACTTTTCAGTTTTAACAATTCTTCCATTTCGTCGCGAACCGGTTTTGATACGTCTTGCAGTTTGGTGTCAATTTTTACGAATGTATTTTCGTAAAGAAATCCAAATTTTGGAATGGGAATGATTTTGGCTAAATCAAAATGATCGATATTCTCTGGTAAAGATATTTTTTTGAAGGTTTGACCACACCAAGAGAGAGCTATTACCGACGAATTTTTTGATTGGATCAGTAGCAATGATTCATCCTTATAAGAATCAACGGGTATATCAATCATCCGCGTGACCTCGTCTATTTCTAAATTACCAGAAAACAAACTTTATTTGAAAATTGCCTATTATTCGCAACTTAAGAAATGGAGTAACGACATGACGATCAATTATATAATATAATGACAATTAAAAATATCTCACCATTAAGCAACTTTTCAGTTTGAATATCGTCAAGAAATTCATTTTCAGAGAAAGTAAGTATATCCGGCTCCTGACCGGAAATACCTAAATATTGCATGTATCCACTTTCGAAGCAAATAACATTATTTAAACCATTCGACGTGACAGATTGTATTTGTATAAACCTTCCCATTTCCGTTATTTCATCTTTCAGTTCATATACAAACACTTCATTCTGAGCTTGCAGTATAACAACAGTATTATCATAAAACGGACAAACTTCCAAGTTGAGAACATTTGAAACGGGCAGTTTTTGAATTAACCTATCGAATCACAACGTAAAAAAGTTGAGTACGTGTCAAGAGCAGTGTACACAAAATTGGCATGTACTTACCAAGAGAGTGGTAAATTTTCATCTATTCTAAATCCATAAATGTAGATGTGAGAGGAGTATTTCTCAGGATAAGATTTTGCCTCGTTCAACAGAACTATGATATTTTGATCCTTGTGACGGACAATCTCGAAACGTTCAACATTTTCTTGCACTGGCCAGGACCAAAATTCTTCAACACTGTTATTGGATATCGTGTACCACTGTAATTTCGTCACGTAATTCAATTCCACGCATAGAATAACAATTAAGTCGCTTGTATCGGTATCTGATTTTGGCATATCGAGTAATTTGAAAGTCACTATTTTCAAGGACGATTCTGTCCTGCTTGGAAATTTTACCAAGAGCTTACTAAACATATGGCCATTTTGCAGATCCAACTTGTACAGATATAACATAGAGCCGTCTGTCCCGGCTAAATATCTGCCATTCATTGTCTCTAATAATTGCCAATTGTTTATGGCTATTTTCAATTCTACGTCCACTTGCACTTCGACGTCCGTTACAATTAATTCTAAAAAAAGGTATAGTTTCACATTTTTTGTAATTAGCTAATGCAAAATATCGTCTTACCGTCTCTATTTCCAGATCCCGTGCCAAATTTATACTGCTGCCAGATTTGCGAATCGTCGATATTTCGCGAATACCTCGGCGCTTTTGTATCCAATAACATTTTGTCTAATTTTTCCGACATTTCCTCGATGTACGAATTGCATTCTGCCAGCGAGAATATTATTGACAATAAAAATATTACCTTATAACGTGCTCTCGTTGCCATGACTAGACGGTCACTGAACGTGTAAGGATTCATTAATTTAATGTTATCGTGTCTGTCTCGAATAATAATGACACCTGAGGTCAATTTAACGTACAAATATTTTCATTCGTACATACAATCAATGTACTAACTACATTCAAATCCTCGTTTACTATCGTTTAATCTCGTTTATTCTCGATACGAGCAATACAAAAATTATATCCAAAGATACATATAAATTATTACACTGGTATTACTAATTGTGACAAATTCTCAAACAAAGTTTGGTTAACGTACAATTAATTTAAATTATATGTCACAAATAATATTTTAAAGCACTTAGGTAGTCATACATTTTTAAATAAACTTTATCCAATTGAAGCACCTAAACATTATTTTGTACAACAATAATGCGTTGAACGTAATAAATAAATTTAAGAATATACAAAACCACACCTAATCCGATATCCTAGAAGAATAACGTGGACGACAAAGATATGTCGAAGGGATTACCTTTGAACCAGTCATCACATTTGATTAAAATCTTCCGAGGCTGGCATATTCCTCGAAACGTCATTATCTTACGTACACACCTACTTGCGCACTCGCAGCAAATAATTCAACATTTTTCATAACAATACACACCGAGAATTGAGCATAAAATAAAAACTCTGGATCGTAACCCAAAAAATCATGTTCAACTTTTTCATAAAAACTAATAACGATTCTAAGGAACGGTCACAGGAATAAAACGCGTTCTGTCACCCACCTTAGGTTGGAACCTTAAATTAACCTTATCCTTACCTTCCTCGCCAACCTCGAGGAAAGTGTTCCAGTCGACGAGGAAATACAGCCCGCTTCGTCGCCGTGTCGGTAAAACAGGATCCGGTGCTGCAGTAGTTCCTCCAAAGGAATCTGCCAAAGCTGCCAAGTTCGTCAAATCCACTGGCGCTGTAGTCGTGGTGAATGCTGGGTCAACCATCAAACTCGTCACTGTCGTCGTCGTAGTTGAAGTTGATTCTATAAGGTGGGTCGATAAGTTCCCTTATATATTTTTCCGACATTTCATTCCTGCAATTTCGTACATTCGCGCGACAGCACGTCCGGCAGAAGAAAGTATGGAATTATATGGACGCAGAAATGGATCGAAGCTTGGGAAATCGATACTTGACACATGCAGTAATTTTCTAATATGAAAATAAACAATGCTCAAACGTCACTCTCGTGTGACAGAGTCAGTTCATCGTGATAGTATGCGTGACTGTTGAAAGTGGAATCGAATCTAAATTCCAAGAAGATAAAAAAAGTTTCTTTGGTATAAGTACCATGTGGACTCTACTTTAAAAAAAAAATCAACAAGATTTTGTTCCGCTAGATTTTTCTCATAACCAGTTGAACTCGTCGAGCGCCTATCGTGTCGGAAGTTTTGCAATCCCGAAGTTATTAGCCAACGATGAGGTTTTGCATGCAATGGATGCACGCGAACTTCCATTCACATGCAACATTTAATATGAAGGAATGGAGTGCGTGACGTCTCCGAGAAATGTAAGGGGTAAGAAAAAAGAACAGGATGAAACTATTCTATAGATATCTATACCATGGATGGCATTCGATTGAAATTGCATCAAAGTGCAATGGAACGTGAGTGGCCGTTATAGGAACTGTACTGTCGTGCAAGACAAGTGACGCGTATCACAATGATAGGTTATGTTTCAGATGCGAATGGCACGAAGCACATTGAACAAGCACGAAGCTCATGGAAGCATTAGAAAGAGAATATAAAATAGCGACAATAAATAAGTAAAAGTGAGAAAAGTTGAAACAATGATAACAGTATAAGAAAGCAAAGACGGAGAAGGATGGCAGCTTTGGTTTCAGCTTTAGTAGTGGTTTTAGTAAAGAGATCGAAAGTCAACCGCCAGCAGCGGAGACTCTGAGTTTATTCGTGGCGTTTGTTAGCACGTTCTTGATCCTCGTTAAACCTTGAATAATCCTTCCAACCCATAATTCCGAAGTGCCCAAGACATATAGCATTAATTTCTTAATACCCGTTGCGGCCTCGTCGGCTAGCGATGGCTGTTCTTGCGTAGATTCCTGCCTCTTCACCTCGTTCCTTATGTCCTCGTTGTAGAGCTTTAGGATCTCTTCCAGGCTCAGAGGATCTGGTCCGTTCTGCAACGATTTCGTTGACTCCAAAAGATCATTAGCTACCTTCTGCACGTCTTGAACGTTGGCTTTGCCATCTTGAACCTGCTTGACCGTGTCTAATAATTTGTTAATTTTATCTCTCTGTTCTTCGGCGTGTACGGAAGCTTCTTGAGGCTTGAAGACGTGTAATTTTGGCGTCGAAGTAGGAGCTTTTTCGTGGACAATATTTGTCTTCGCAACGACTTCAACCGATTTTTGTGATCTACCGATCAGACCGATATTTTGTAAAATCTTCTTCATAGAGTCGGGTATGGCTTCGATTACAGATGGCTGCTCGTCCTGCGCGCTCTTATTGTTCATTGCTTTTTTATTTCTATTCTCGATAGAATCCAAGCCGAACTTTGCCAAGAAATCTCTCATATCTTTGTCCTCGATTGTGGATGTTGGCAGCGGCTTGAATTTAGCGTAAGAGTCATCCTTCACGGGTGGCTTCGTTGGTTTGGCCGTAGTCGTTTCCATCTGCTTCAAAGACGTCTGCAGACCGAATTTCTGAAAGAGAAGTTGCACGTCCGGCGTCAGATTTTCCACCCCTTTTTGGAAATCCGGCTGTATCGGCGCAAAAGTATTTTGACTAACGATAGATGGCAGTAAGTCCGTTCCCGTTGCTGACAGTCTTGTCGCCTGATTGTAAATGACATTATCGCTATTTGGAATTTGCGAATTCGCCTTTAAAGACACATTCTCCACAACGTCATTGCTGTCGGGACGTAGACCAATGGAAGCCAAGAGATTCTTCACTTCGTCACTCATGGGCATCGGTGTCGTAGCTGTCAAAAATCCACCGGATGCCAAAGTATAAGTCGAGCTGTACTTTGGCTTCGTTGAGGTCGCCGTCGACATCGGCGTAACGTAAACTGGTGCTGGTTTTTCAGTCTTAACAATTCGAACTGGTCCACCCCCCGACTTTACGTCCGTAGAAGATCCAAGAATTTTTATCCTCACATCCGGTTTTCTCGTGGTCGCCACGTCGCCTTCCGCCCTGTTATTCATTGAACCAGGTGCAAATATCGATTTATCTGGAACAGTCAAAGTTACTCTTGTATTTTTTTCAGTAGTAACGGGTGGAGCATTGTATTGCCATTGATCCGAAGACAAAATATGTTGCGTTGTCTTCGAAGGAATTGTTGTTGCCTCTGTGAATTTAGAATTTTGCAAAATTTCCGTAGTTGATTTCATCATTGGTTTTCTCGTGACACTGGTACTATATACAATTTCCAACTTTGAACCGGATACTGCATTATCTTGCGCTTGTTCAGTTATGTCCTTGAACATGGAATGACTAGTTGGAGTAACTGAAGTTCCACTAGATTCTTCGAAAACGTCCAAATTGAAACTGAACTTCTCCGGCGCCGGATCACGTTTTCTTTCGTTCTTCATGAAACTCTGAAACGTCCTTTTCGGTTGGGATTTCGTTGTCACATCAGAGTAAGTGTCTCTGTGGTTTTTGTAGACCGTTTTGGACTTTTGACTCTCACTTGAGTCAGTATATGAACTATCGGAAAGTTGCGTTGCGACAAAGTTATTGGAACTTTGTTCGGTGCCTTTAACGGAATCTGTCTTTTTCAATTCCTTTAAATAAACGACACTCTCTATTCCTTTATTTTTTAAAATGATCTCAGCTTTCTCCGTAGTCACGCCGTCGTTTAACATTTGAACAACCGGCGGCTTCGTGTATAAATCATTAAGATTTTCATTCGATTCCTGCGGACTGTAAGGTAAAACTACCATGAGTGCTCTTTGATACTCATCTCTTGCTTTACTTGAAAGATCCTCGTCGCTGTGAGTACTCAAGTCCACTGATGTAATATTACGCAATATCTCGACGATCTCAGGTCTCGTAAGTCTTGGCAATTTTGGATTCTCACGTATCATCCGCTCGACTTCGTCGATCGTTCGATTGATGGACGTCTCGATCTCCAGTCTGGATGGTAACAATGATTTCTCATTATGACAGTGGCCCAGGCCAAAAATGACCATCAAGCACAGTAGTTTAATCTGAAAATAATGTTATATTAATGCAAATTTAATTGCGTAATTGTGTTAAAACAAAAAAAATTAATTACAAAAATTCTATTTCTAGATAAAATTGCAATTGATAATACAGAAAAAGTATTTGCCCAACATCAAAATTACACATTGATACACGCGCGAAGCGAACAGGGCATTCTTGACGAAAGAAATATTTTTATTTTAATTTAAAAAAAAAAACAGAGGTGTACCATTATCCACTATGTGATTTGAAAGGTTCTACGTTCTAAATTTGCTATTAAAAATATGCCAGTTAACATGAATGAACTTAAGGATTTATAGTTGTGTTAACAATGAAACTACACTGCATATAAGTACGCTCTGACTACAAGGCCGCCTAATTGTATGACCGGTGATTAACTAGGCACGACTTCAGTAATAGGAAAGAAAAACTGTGTAAATATTAAAAAGAAAAAAACACAATTTCTGTCAATCACACCAAATGAGTAAAAAGCCATGGCCTAGAAAATTTTTGGGTGTTCTTGAAACCTCATCAATAATTATCATACAAATGAGAAATGACCTCAATTCTCAAGCAACGTCCGTTTCTCGGATAAACCGTTAAAGTGTACCTTGTATGCAATATATTTAAATTTTGTTACGTAAAAGAGTGACTACCCAGTAGATTAAAAAAATTTCCCTTGAAAGTGAAAGAAGAAGGGAAATTCCAGTTACACTTCACGCGTGAAAGAAAACGTAGCAAATTTGATAAATAAGAGAAGAGTTCGGGAATTGCATAATGAAATTGTAAGGACACGTAGATTTAAAAAACCATAAACATGATTACAGAAATGTCCATATTCATAAAGGAGAGTAGCTAGAGATCCTTGACTGACTTGACCGATCGTGAAAGTCCAGTTGAGCTAACAACGTTGCTCGTGGCTTAGACGATCGGTTGCTATAGCCAGAACTTAGAGTCCGAATTGTGAAGAGATTCTTATTTCATGACACTGATTCAAACGCTTTGATTCCTCTCGCTGCATTATTTATGCAACGTTGCACTTCCAACCCGATAGAAATCAGCTGCCATCTGGCAACACGTAACCGTATATAAAAAATCCAACGATTTCTTACTTCGTCTCCCCGAAGAAATAACATACGCATGTAAATTTGGAGAAATTCGAAAAGTCACGTTTTGCCACAAAAATTTGTTCAATTAAATCATCGGATACATCGTCTGATTCCACTGGCTCCATTTTGAATTGGCTGTCGAACCGGCGATCGTAATCTTAAATACCGTTGGCCACTTTTTTCGCGCCGTTTTTAACACGTTAGTCGTACTTTCCTTTCTGGACTTTTTCTTCGGGGTGGATAAAAGGCGCCGAAAATCGTTTGAAATAATGTAGAATTTACTTAATGAAATATTTTTCAAAAATGCACCGGTACACGCCTTATGCTACTGAGCGACGAAAAACAACTTGAGTGATGATGCATAGATGAAAGTTACTTTTCTCGCTGAAGGACGTGGCTCGCTTATGAGAATTTCAATGTATGCTCGAATTATCACAAGAAATATTTTTCTCCGTAACAACTGTAATGATCTTTTACGAACTTAAAAAATATAAGTAACCACTTAAAATGAATTTCAGAAACACAAAATTATTTCCTGTTCATAACACTTTCGATTTTTCAATTGCGTCGTTTCACGATGGTAAAACACTTGGAACGATTGATCATGAGCATGCTAATGATCATAATGATAAAGGTGATTTTTCGCTCTGCTACTCATTCTGTCTTTCACTGTGGATTCACGAAGTCACTCGCAACTCCGTCGATTTATTTCTTATTAGAATTGAGGCCAATGATCTATAAATATCTATATAGCTATAACACCGTGAAGAATATAAAAGTCATGAAAATTAGCCACCGTCAGTTAAAAGTACAGCGCTCGGCAGAAGCGTTAATTATAGAAAAGTAATATAAATTTATGGTAAAACTTGAAAAATTACAAAAACCCATTATATTCTTCAATTTTACAACACAAACCTCAAAATTGTTCATTGCAAGATAATAAATGTTTTTCAGTGAGTAACGACTTCTAATCGAAAATAAGGAAGTGATTCGTTGTACAATCGACTGAGTTGAACGAATTAAACACTTGCACCGGTTAAAAACTCACCATTACGCTATCCAATCGCCCGGAGACGCAGTCAACAACTGACTGAACGACGAAGGCCTACTTTCGAACTCTCTCTCTATCTTACTCGCTTAACACTCCTTCTGTTCTGACGTGCGCCCTCCTGTTATACTCGATTGATACTTCGCTTAACCCTACCTTACCTTTACCTAATGCCTTTCTTGAACACACGAAGATCTCAGACTAGACTTTCCTCTATTCTTCTCACGGGAGAGATCGAAAGTCATTCGATTTTCCAAGATCAGAGAAATGGAGAGTTGCAACGGTGCGCGGGAACTGGGACACAGATTCGTACTGCCTACCTCTGAAACAACTGACCCTTGGAAATCTTGACCTTACAAGAAATCTTTTTGCACTTTGGGAAAGGTGTTATCCGATACTATTTTAACATTTGTGCCATACAATTTTACGGTACAGTTTTTAGCCAATTTGTTGAAATAGGAATAGAAATATTAATTACAAAATAATAAGTGTATTATTCCTTTTGTTAATGAGATTTTGAAATATACTTACTCAGTATCAATATTTTTCTATAATTATGTATAGTACGGATGAATTTCTGGTGAGATTATGACCAGTAATTATTATTCTACGAAAAGCTTTTCTCCCACGATTTTTATTGGATAATCATTTTATCCTACTTATGCATATAATATTCATATGGTCAACCTATTACTTTGACCTTAATTCGCAAGTCATTTCACAATTCGTATGAGAATATCAAAAAGTAATGAAATATTTATACGATCGGCTTAATTATTTATTTATATGTCTCTGATCAGAGTACGGGAAAACAAAACTCTTTAATAATTCAACCCTAATTTGATGATCGTTAAAAATTTACTAGGCTATTGTTGACATTCGGTCGAAGAAAATTCTACTAATCGAAACCGCTATAAATTTACAGCACATAATGTCATTAAATACGATTTGATGAGGAGTTTCACTCGGGGGATGCTACAAGCTGCATTCAGTGTAAGACAATTCTGTCAATCGAAACATTGTTAATTTAATAAATTAAAGATAATTTATTTCTGTATCAACTACTAATAACTCGTTTTTATCGATAAAATATATTCGAAACATCAGTTGATAAAAAAGAAATCTGCACGATTAACAGCAGCACGAATCAGTTGGTCATTGGCACAAATTTCTTTACCGACCGTTTATTCCATGATTAATGTATTGCATTCTAACGTTTGACGCCTCACACAGACATTGTGAAATCATTTATAAATTTATTAATTGGAATTAAATGTGGCATATGAAAAAATATTTTTAATAACTTTTTTTTAAATACTTGAAATAACTTTCCGTTCTTATGCCGCACCATCCTTTAATCTTTTTATTTATTCTAACTTTCTCGTAAATAAACGTAAAAGAAGAATCTGACAATACTCTCTGTCTCCTCAATCTATAGTTGCAATAAACAACCGCTGCACAGTAATAAGAATGAATGCTCAAGTTAAAATTACAACAAAGAGCGAAAGTGATTCTTTTAAATTGTAAATTATAGGACAATAAACCAGGAGTTTTTTTTTAATCAGTGTTGTACTTTAAGGTGAAGAATTGACTCGAAAACTTACTGATTGACAGGGTTTTCTCTCTTCTAGATATATTAAATAAAAAATTTTTACATTGTTTTATTCTACATGAGTATCACTATGGCGGGAACCACCACGAAATACAAATATTCAAAATAAGCAAATGACGGACGCTTGGTGATCGATTTTCGCCTAAAACGTTGTCGTATTTATAAAAAATTTCAAAAACAATATTATATAAATTACTACTGATTTTGATTCAGGTAATAAATGCAGATGAAAATTTCCAGTCGATCGAATAACGAATTTCTGAGGAAGCACGTCAACGCGATCAAAACATGTTTTGAGAAAAATACGTTTAAAGTATTAGAAAGAGATTACAGGTATGTAAGAAAATATTCCTTGTCTGAAGTTAATCTTAAAATCTGAGCCTTGCCTAGAAAAAATTTTTTCATCAAAATCGATGGCTTCTCATGATCCTAGAAAAATCTGTATTGACTCAGTGAGGTTCTAAAGAGGCTCTGGCTTTACGGAAGGACATATCCATTAGATTGGAGATATCGATTCATAAAATATTATACAATTTTTCTAACAAATCACAAACGATAAGATAACTTTATTTCCGCAAACACTTAAACGGGTGACATCAATAATAATATCCTCAACACGATGATACAACAAAATTCTTCAATTTAACGAATTTCCAAAAAATCCTATTAGAAACACATTCTCCGCATGTACAGTTTTTAAAAAATGTAAACAAACAAAAAATTCATTTTTTCAACTTCACGAACCGTACACCTCCTTAAGAGACCCGTGCCCAATGCACGAACTTTTTTTTAATATTCGTAATTTCCACTAGTCAAAAATAGTAAAACGTCTCAATATACATCAGTTTGTCAAAACAATTTTTTAAAATAATTCAACAAACATCCTAGACAGTATTACCCATAAGGGCCTATTATTTTTCTACGCGAAAATTCACAGCGCTGTATCTATATAAGCCGTATGCAATCTATAGGTCATCAACTATGAAATGTCCGATTTCGAACTGATAGTACTTGAATTAATCGGGCATTTCATGCTTGATGACCTAGTATTTCGTAAATGCCTATCCTGTGCTCGAGAAAGTGACTGTCAGGTCGTTCGTTTCTTTTCCCTTCGCCGAACATTTTGTCAGTAAGATAATATGTTACAACATCGATCTAGGCTCTGAGTAAAAGTGGGGACCGACTCTCACTATCTGTTCAGCTATTTGCCGCGGTCGCCCTCTTGCTGCAGTTCAAGCCTCACGTCTTCCTTCGACCAGTGCACTAATCATTGCTATCACTAAAAAGCGTATAAACAATAGTTTACTTTAATTATTTAATAATAATGGGTGACGAGGATATTAACAATTTTTATCTCAAACGAGAAATGGATAATTATCGATACAATACTTGTGACTATGCTGCTATACCATCTGCTGCCAAATATATGGAAAGTGAGTAGAACAGATTTAAGCTGAAATTAATATTTAATGCAAGATCTTATAAAGATAATTATTCAATCGATAAAACATAGCGACCATTCAGTTTTACCTGTTTAAGTGATTTTACAGTAGAAGCATATGACAAGCATGATCGCTGATGAATATCATTTTCCAATCATGACTGTACAGTCGGAGTTCTCAGAATTCGAAATTCCTTAATGGTGAATAATACAAAAATTATATTTACTTTAGTTCCATAAAATATCTTAGAAAGGAATTTTGTGTATAAGGAATAATCGGTCTAGTACAGCATACATGACATATACGGAACTTATGTGCCTTGTGCATATAACCTGCAGGAGCGCTTCGGTGAAAGTTTAACGGGTAAAGTGTTACGCGATGCAACGTATGCAACACGATATACCCAGCGCAAGGTTCCTCGTCGTGTAAATCATAATAATAATATTGGTGCATAAAAGTATATTGTATATTATAAAAGGTAGATATTTAAAGCTCTTCAACTTTTTTTTAGAGGAAATCTTTTTCTTTAAAATTATTTTTTAACATCTACAATGGCAGCTTCGCTTCAGAATCAAAATAGAGCTCGCAACTGGTTTGAGAATCCTTGACACAGTCAACGAAAATTATCACGAAGAACTTGTTAATTGAGATTTAGAAACATTCATATTCGCCTTAATTTATTATATCGGACTTAAAACAGTTCGAGAGCAAATGAAAAAAAAAATGGATAAATATACATAATTTCAATTGGTAATGAACACTTGAACTTGACATGGCTATTTAAAATAGCCAAGAATTTACATAGGTGACTGTACCGTCATCGTGACAGGTAACTTTGCACGAAATTATTATGCCTGCTAGAGACACGGACCAATGGCTCTTTCGTACCTGTTTGTAATTTTGTATATGAATCATCATGATGTACACATCTTGTAGTGTAACCCGTTAGCAGAATTTTTGTTTAATGTTTGACACCTTAGATCATTGTGCAATAACAATATACTAAATTTGCAATTTTTTTTATTATAATTGAAAACTGTACGGTATTGCCAATAGAAATGCGGAAACTGTACTTTTCATCGTTACGTGTGCAAAAACTGGGAAGAAATTTAACAATTCGAAAGTAAATTCTCTAACCATATACTGTAATCCCTCTTTACTAAAAGAGTCATATCATGATATATTATTGAACCGCGTGGAATGATTACTTTTCCGCGATGTTGACTGATCAAGTGATGTCTGTGTATTTTTGCTGTTTTTGACAGCTGGGATTACTAACGGCATGACAGATATTGACAGATGTCAAATGAACAGAAACGTATGGCAGTAGACAATTTTAGTTACATCGAGGCGAGTTGATATCAGAGTGACGTTAATGCTTTAGTTTATTCACGAGTGGGACTATTTTATACGTGAAAGTTATAGTTTTTTTTAGTATGTTTGGTTTGTCGTGGGCGAAGCATGCGTGTTGCTCTAGTATTGCATAAACATTCCAAAATCAAAAATTCTTCGAATCAGTCAGCTACGGTTATACACTTTCAAATTTATTTATCAAGTTGTTTTCGAGTACGTGAATCACCTGAGACGGTTTTGAAATTAGTCTTAAGTTACTTTGGAAAATTCGCAATACGCTTGAATAGTCAACGTAACGGGTGTCAGCGTAATTCCTCATTTAAGCAATGTGTTTTTCAAGAGTTTTTCTTCTATTGTATAAACATGAAGAAATCGTCAGTCAGCCTTAGCGCACTGTTAAAAAAATGTCACCATTAAAGTACTTACCTCTTTTGCAAACCACGAGTTGGTAGTACGAAGGAAAAATATCAAAATTTATTCACATTGATGAAATAGATTTACTACCACTTTTTTGAGCAATCAAAAAATGTAAAAAGTTATTAAATCAAGTCAAAACCAAAATGGTTACATATATCCAAATATTAGAATAACATTATTATTTTTTTTCATTGCATGTCAATTTATAATCCTTATTTCCGTCTATAGAATATGGGTATTGATTTAAATGTATAAAGGCATATGGCTAAATATAACGTACAACCGTCCCATTTCCCCTCTACCATTCATAAAAATCCAGTAACATATAAGACATTCAGTCTTTATCAAGATCCATAAACTTTTCTTCAACTGTGGTTTTTTTATAAGGAATACAAGTTTTTTAGTATGAAAGAGGAAAAGGCTTCCTTATATTAAAATCATGCCCTTAAAAAATTGGCGTTAGAAAATTGTGCGTTTAGCGTGAATAACCCTGTATGTATATATTTACGCTTCAAAAAAATGTATAAATGTATAATAGTTGAATATTATAAAGAAAGGCAAATTTTAAAATATATCAATTACGATATGTAAAATTTCCATATCACGCGTACATACCCTTGACAACAGGCATTCATCCACACACCACACGCATACACACATTTCCTTATAGAGTCGCACAGTATGATTCTATCACCGTCCATTCATTGCACTGTAGAAGTCCATATCCATATGAGTCGCTCGTGTAGTACAATAAGCTATGTACTCTTATGTAATCGAGAATTTCACGTATCCCATGCAGAAGCTGCCTTCGCGTGTAGTTTCTTGATTGTTACAATGGATCGTACAATATGATATGCCCTGTCCTTCTGGTATCGAGATATAAGAGAAATATACAGTGAAGGCCCGTTTATAACGATATTCAAGACATGGAAATGGCATGGTAATAATTGGAAGACATGATAAGCAAAATGAAGATATGTAGTGATGTATATTCATATTCTAACTAAACTTCAGGAAGCAAGTAGAATGCAATATGCGATCGATCGTTATAAGCAGAGTCGTAATAACCAGACTCCACTGTATAATTATTATAGAATAAAGAGTCTTGTGTATTTATTTATTTTTTGGAAATTAATTTTGTCTATCACATATATTTCATAGGTGAATTTACCTCTATATTGTAATTACCATGATAAAAGTGTACCTCTATAGCCAGTAGCGGTTAATTTAAATGGTCTGAATTTCTTAGGTACCAAGTTACAGTAATTCTCAAATTTATCAATCATTGGTTACGAAGCTGTATGAACTATACTATCGATTTATCATGCCAATAGTTATTGATTCATAATATTCATCGACTTGTAATTATATAACATTACTATAATTCGTCCAAGACTTCAATCCATAGAAAATAGTAGATTAGCAGTATAGCAAACTGATTAATTCAAGAGCATCATTCTGATTTAGCAAGTACCGTCTTATTCTTAGTAGAGATATCGTAAGAAATAAGTAAAGATGCATGATTAAAATAACACAATAATACTTTTTAAGAAAATACGAATACGTTTAACGTTTATTAAATATAGATTTAATTAAATCATGAAAACTTTAATCTGATAACGCAATCGATATTTTAGCATTTCTAAACATTCTGGATCTTAAAGAATCGTATATCAATTACATCTAATTATGCTTAAAATAAATAAATCGGTAGCTGAATTTCTTAAACGAGTATGAAGAACAGTTCCGTATAATAATGTGGCCGAATGAATAATAAATGGTATAGCAGTGACAGTAGTCATGAAAATAAGTTTTCTTTATTTTGACGAGAAAGAATTTTCAAATAAAAATTATCATTAAAATTCATGATGATCGTAGGATACTGTGGAATTTCGAAACGCAGTATCCATTTATTTCAAAATAATTTACCAAAAACGCATTAAAATATGAGGCATAGCATATTCGTTTTTATTGAAGTACACAAGAAAATTGTTACCTCATTTCCGATGACATCACACGATGTAACATGGCACAGTATGATCCCTCAAGATCCATAGCTTTTACCAAAGAAAAACCATCAACAGCTCCGAACCGGTTATTGCGATACCATATTATATTACAACACATCGAATAAACCTACTTTTAATAGTTTCCCTGGTATGGGACCATTTTGAGATGATTTCGAGATGATTCAAAAAATACCTTCAAGGACTACCTGAAATTAATTTTTATCATTCGTATTCCATGAACCATCGAAATATATTCTTGCAACGAGGTTACACGGCACAGGAAAAAGTAAATCAAATTCGAGCAATCCTTCTTGAATGATAAATCACAGAAGATAGATAAAAGAAAATAGAAGATAAAGTAGATCAAAAGGAAATTGTAACTATCTTCAAGGATGGATCATTCAAAACAGTGATATTAATTTAAGCAATTTATAGTCATCAATAATATTCATGATACATTGATTACCCCTCCCATCCTTTTTTTAAAGCTGCATCTTCTACCTAGTATAACGTATGTACATACTGAATGTTCAAGTGGATTTCGAGAGAATTTATTCATGAATTATAATGCACGTGATGTTTATAGGCCTGGGCGTTTCTGGGGTCGGCATGCTCAGCATCGGATCACTCTTCTCCGCCATAACTCTCTACATAGCCATTGACGCCTGTTACAATGTCCTCTTTCAGAAGGAAACCACGTCCTACAAAACCAACAGTTACTTCATACTCTTCGTCTATCCAGTCGCCAGTTTAAGCAGTCTCCTGGCTATTGCGATACCAAGGTAAAAAATTAAAACGAAACAAGTTACATTAAAATCGAACAGTCTTTGCTTCCACCCTCGTAAGAATAATTATTTCAAGCGACGTAGCGACAGAAACTTTATCTTAATCAAAATAAAAAAGTTTCAATATCTCTATCACTTTTTTTTTAGTTCCGTCTGCCCCATTACATTATCATTGATCAATCAATGACGGTTCAATGATCTCCATTGCTTCGCGATAATAGATCTATATTTCCGTATATATCTGTCTGTGATTGCAATTAATAAAAAAAATAAAAAATATTGCACGAATGATTTTAGAAAATAGGTAATATTACCTTAGCGAACCTGTTGTACCCATATTGCGAAATCTATGTGTCTAGTGACGTCATAAACCGAATTCAGTACTCCGTAGGTATATTTAACCTGCGCAGCGTCGTTACGGTGCGAAAGTTGGCGTTAAGCTTTGCTGTGATTTTTTAACAAAGACCAACAAGGTGAGGCTCAAATAATTTCGAAAGACTAATGATCTCATTTTTTTTCTCCAGAGCCCAACTTCTGTCGGAGGCAGTCACTCAAATCTTCTTGACGATATCCTTGTATCGGCTGTTTCTTCTGCTAATTGACGTGGGACGCAGAAACGTCACGAAACCGCCACCATTAATGCTAAAAGTCGGACCATGTTGCTGCTGGCCTTGTCTGCCCTTTCCTACTCTGGAATTGTCTACCAGCAATTTGTCATGGCTGCGCGCTCTCGTCCTGCAACTACCCTTCGTCCAGGTATCGTCTTTTTTCTTCCCTTCGAATTTCACGAGTCGACGAGCAAACGTCAAGTTCCTCCTTGAAATTTCCAGAGCGACGAAATCGCTTTCGTTGAATGTTAACAATGAAAAACTTTGCAGGGAATCGCGTACTGCGTTCTTCTTTTTCTCGCGGCGGAGCAGCCCACACTTGCTGAACGGTACGTCATTTATTTGCAACCATTTTGCGTTGTCAGCATACTCCTTGGAATATACGGACTGACAGTAACTACCAAGAGTCTACAGGAAATTGCTCCAGGTAAAATACTCTGTGCCACTTTCGAAACGTGACGATCTAGTTGTTGTTCAGTAAAGTCGGTAATGCCTATCATGCTATCAAGCGTCCAGTAGTTAAAGATTAATACCACTAATTCACTAGTAATCGTAGTTCTTGGCATGGCGACCAACCAAAAGGCACAAAATACGACTAACGTATTCATAAGAATTTTTATATAGAAATTATATCTGTACTTTCTCTCTGTCTTACAGAATCTAACCTGCATTACAGGACTATGGTTAGCCAAATAGTCTTACTGTTTACGAAGCTTCAAGCGGCTCTCATAAAGAATCTGCCAAGCTTTGGAGTATTTCCATGCAAGCCGCCACTGACTCCACCGATATACGCTGGAGGTAAACATTTCCTTGTTCTTAAGATAAGTATCGAGAAGCACGAAGTCTAGGTAGAATGTAGATAAACGTGGACTGGTTCGAAAGATCCTTGCGGCAAGGATACGTGCTGAGCATTAATCGAGATGGTCGTCGAAAATTTCTTTCTCAATTTCAGTGACGTACAACGCGCTGATGTTAATCGAAATGCTTCTGCTATGCTACGCCGCAAGTCTCATCTACAAGGATTCTGAAAAACAGGAAGACTGCCAGGAGTCGGCAGATAAGCCGAAAGTCAAGACGACACCGGCTGACGTAACGAATAACAATGAAACAGTCAACGTACAACTGTCCGTTCAGGTTCCCGTGACGACGTCATGAATGCACGAATTTTTATTCTTGCCGAATATTCGATCGTCGCCGTCAACTGGTGGGATCGCCTTTATGGGAAATTTTAGAAATTACATCATGTCATTCCAATGAGCCAGGATTCACACCGAAAAGGGATAGTACGATTTATCCGGAGGATTAATGTATATTCCTGGAATGTCAGTGATTCTAGCAGATACTACCTGCATGTATTCTAGAAATAGGAGTAAGTGTTAAATAGTTGTTAAAACTTTAGAAATCCTACATAAGGATATTTCGTGTACCAGAGGGACAAGAAAAATTTCACTCGTTTTAATATCGCACTAATTCACATTACATTATGTTTTGGAAATTCGATTATTTTCTCATACGATATTCGTATACGTGTCGCATGACGCAATGTGGCGTAGTTACGAGTTGAGCACGATTAAGAAATTATTGAAAAAAATGAAATAGTAATTTCTAAGTGATCGATCGACAAACGGAACATTATATGAGCTTGTACTGTAATAATATGTCCTGGGAGGAAAAAAAATGAAGAAGCAAGGACATACAGCTTCGAAAATCAAGCCTTGGGTTTAGTTTCCATCGTGCAGAGTTTAAACAGAGTTAAGCAGCCTCATTGGTCAATTCCATTCGACTCCTATACGCGATTGGTTAACTCTGTTAAAAACTCTGCACGGTGGAAACTAAGCTTTTGTTCTTCAGTTGGAAAGGAACTCTGCAGTCTTCTGCGTTACGTCATATGCGACTGATGACGAGAAACAGTCTACTGCACGGATGACTTGGCACTTGCGATGCTGAAGAGAAGGAGATAGGAAGAAAGTGAGATAGAAAGTAAGGAAGGAGAGAACTGGAGGAGTGAAAATCAAAAGAGTCTTCATATCTTAAATGGAGGAGTTCACTGTCAAATTAGTTTACTGCCGGTGGGTTCGTGAGGTAAGAAGGGAAAAACCATAAGGCTTCGGTTGCATGAAACGTCAACGGTAGCTCGACGTCGGGACGCTAAGTCAAAAAATCAACACAAGAACTGAGGCCTCTTCTGTCCGGGGGTCCCTTCGAGATCAGGGCCGCTCGGATGCTGGTCAATGAATCATTCGACGCAGATGCACAGACTCCCCCAGTGGCAAATCGAAAGTGAAACTACCAGTGGATAGATTTTTTTCGTTAACTTTATGACAGAAGCACGTCACGTGTTTTGTGTTTGATACAATTGAAAATGTAAAAAACGTATATGCTAATGTTACAAATGTTATTGGCCTTATTGATTTTCTAACGTCATTTATCACTCCTGATATCATACAAAAATACTAACAAATTTTGATCCTAAAAAAGAGTCATATTATAGTACAACTTTTTTGTGAAATTCGTTCATGTTATATTTAGTTGTAATATTGGTACCTGAGTGTGACTTAAGTTTGGTATTATTTTCATGAAAGATGAAATCAGATTAAAAGAACGTTCATAGAGAAAATGGCCAAGGGATATGCTTCTTAAAAATAATATTTTTTTTTAAAAGTAATATCTTCATTTTTATTCCAAAACACGTGCCAGTAGTAGGTGAATGGGGCGAGAGGCAGTAAACTTTATCAAAAAGATCTGAGTCTGTTGCGGCGGCCCTGGCTGCGCTGTGCCCCCTCATTTTTCGAACGATTTAAGGGGGGGCTTCTACCTGCAAGCTGGCCCCACTAAACTACAAACATGGGACCTCGCTTCGGGTCTTTTCGAGTCTAGGAGATCACGATCGGGCCACGGAACCATAATAGATTTAACAGTTTCCTTGGTCTATTCTTCTCGACTGCTGGCTGTGCCAAGGGTAATGTTAAAAGTAAAGGTAGACGTAGACGAAGATAAAGAAAAGCGGAAAGTTGAAGAGGAGGAAGAAAGTAGAAAGGTCTTCGGTATATTGTTATGCCGCAATGGACTATCTCGTTGCAGTCTCCGAATCGCGACACCCAACATTCCACCGCTGTGGCTTCGTGTACGGATTTAATAACTTATGGAAACAACGTAAAACAGAAAATCTTTATTTTCTCTCGTAAAAAGTTCTCTCCGCTCCTGCCAGACTTACACTGACTGGATCTTATGGTAGTACTAAAATGGAAAACTTCTTGTAATGGTGAAAGAGGAATTTTTGGAATGAGAGAGGGCCATGGCGATCGGTTGTTTGGAAGGATTGAAAATATCTGAAAATTCGAATTCAGAGGATAATTATTAATTTGTGTGTTTTTAGGGTAGAATGCAGATTCAAAATTTTATAAGGACTCGTCATAGGGAGGTAACGGTAAATTTATCGTTACAATTCCCACGATAATCATCGTTTCCGACGACAATTGCAGGATGAGTTGGAGAGTATGGTTTGGCGGCAAATTTGAATGAGTTTCCTCATATCTCGAAAAACATCAATTGCCTTTATAAAAAGAAGAGATTCATTATCTTATCTATTGTAATTATAAAATACTATTTCCTTTTTTTAAGAGTGCAATTTGCAGCATATAATTAAATCACGTGACTCACTCAAACTTCTCCGTATCAGACTATGTCTAATTATTTAATTGCGTCTTGTGCTAAAGGATCACGAAATATTTTATGGGTTAATTCCGAGAGATAAAATTCGAAAAAAGGATGGCGAATAACGAAACAAAGCAGCTTCGAAAAGACGGACCGAAGGCTTTGAACAAGACGAATACTGTATTCTGGTGCCGGCAGACGGTAAACGACATAAGGCCATGACTTGAAATTTCCTTCAGTTCGATTGTTTCCAATAATTGAGAGAAGTTGGCAACGTTTCTCTCGGGAATACCAGCATTTTTCTACGCTTACCTTTCGTCCGTTACGGTAAAGAAAAAAAATTCTGTACTTAATTCGTTTTTGCTGCTGCCCGTTGCAAATCATTGCACGAGGATACATTGCGAGGTACGTTACTTTATATAGTATGCATTCAAAAGCTTCCTGAAAGGCAGTCGGCAATTCGATGTATTCATTTATTTATGACGCCAATTTATTGTTTGTTTGCCATTCGCCGTTCTTTCAGCACAATACATTTTTATTGTACTAGTTATTGTCGCCGTTCGATCAGTAAATACATTGTTCGAAATTATTATTATGATACGATCAGATAAATCTAGATACGAGTCACGTGGTTAAGTAATAATTATTTGTACCAGTAGTAACAATGGATTCCTAGTAGTGCGGCTCCTTTGAAATCGAAGAATAGAGAAGCGGAAATTGACGAGTCGACAGAGCGAAGCAGGATTAGACGCGGTTAGATAGTCAGTTGGGCGAAGGACGAGCAAGGACGAGTGAAAAGTAATTACAACGTTTACGGTCCGTTAGTCCGCGTACAGTTTTGAAGTTTTACTGTCGCTCTACCACTTTTTATCGTTTTAACCCCCGGAGAGAAGGAATCGTTTAAAATCTCGATAAAAGCCTCGTAAGCCCTTTCGTACTTGTACCGGAGATACTTAAAAAAAAAAGCGTAAAAGATATTCGAATGGAAATAAATATCAGGAATTAAGATAGCCCTAGGGAAAAAGACGCGTCCAAGTCCAGAAGCGGATTCCCCACGTGGATATAACCATCTCTAATTAAATAGTCAAAGGATACGGAACGAGGAAAGTTTCATCTACTTTCCGAGCGTTAAAAATGGCACCCCACGTGAATAGTCTTTCTTGGATCTTGCCGGTCGTTAATCCGTCTAATGAGCTATGACACACTTATGATTTTAAAAGTCAAAAAAGTGGCGCTCATTTACCGTGTGTACCTACTAAAAGCAATGGGACACACTTCTTCCATTTACGAAGTGGGTACTTATTGTTATCTTCGTGCTACTTAAAAAATTTGTTTTGATAAATTACTCGTAGCTATCTTACCTTGAGGAGGCAGCTGGAAGACAGAACTCACGGTATCGCCCGCACAATTTTGAAAAGCGTGGCGCGCGTGGCCATCTGGTTCAAACGAGAATTCGGAAAACGCTTTTCGTGGTAACCGACATATGGCACTCGGGCGGACTTTATCTTAGAAAAAAATACTTCCAAGACCGAGCAGCAGCAGTTTGGATGCGTTCTCGGTCCAGCGACCAGAAACATCCCAAAAGAATACCTTTGGCCTCTTCTTCTTTTCCGGGGGCAGCGAAGGGTTGGAACTAGTTTCGAAAATGACCAAATTACTCGACTGCTATTTCCAACGTGGAACGCTCGCTGCTGGTGTTAAACCCATTTCTATTGGCTCTTAAAGAGAAGGGTCTGAGCCAAGGAACCCTAAATCCCTTCCCCATATATTATCCCTGTGCTATTTTTGCCAACTATCAGCTCGTATGCAAGTTTATTCCATATTGAAAATTCACTGTGGCAAGTTTCCTGATCGAATCGATCAAAAGGACCCTAATGCTTTGCGTCCTTAGTCAATATGTTTTGTAAAGATAGCTAATGAAATATAAAATAAAATCCATGAAACGGAAGACTTTTGAAATCCAAATACATTGAATTGGTTAGCTACCAAGTGGTAAGAAAACTCGAGTGGGCTCGTATCGTTATGGGGCTTCCGCGGTGAAGATAATCTGACATAGAAGGTGAGATACTCAAGGAGTTTACAGAAGTACATTTTGGGTCTTATATTTCGCTGGGTGTATCGTTCACGACCATATGGTTGCCGACGGCAGGTCATTATATTCGGACCCTTCAAAATTGCCCGAAAATTGCTCTTGCCCCGACCCGGTTTCCAGCATAATTTCATAATTCCGGATTTTTAATTTGAATTTCAATTCCGAGTTGCACTATACGGTGGAATAAAATGCGATGCCGGTCCCGAATGGGCCCGCTCCATCTCCACCTATAAAATATGCTAAACGCCATGAGCGAGGCGCCCCCATAGCCCTGGCCAACACTGTTATTTACGAATTACGAATGTTGTAAGATGAAGTATAATAATCGAGGTAAAGCCAATTTTCGGCGTTTAAAGCGAACTTTAATGTGTCGATCGCGCCCTAGGAATTCTAGCTTTAATGAGCTAACGTTCTTTATTATAAATTAACTCGACCCTTCGTTACCTATCAAGAAAAGTAGATAGCAAAATTCCAAGAACGTCTTATACGGTTTACGTTGTCTATATAAAAAAAGGGGGAAAAAATTTACTTCCAAAATAAAAGATAATTTACCCACACATGTATTTGAACTCACTTCTTAAAAACGGATCTGCCATAAAATAAAAGGAAACCGCAGATGGTAAACCTCACTGAAATTCGTAAATTGACCTTCGTCGTTTAAAAGCAAAACGACCGAAAAGTCATTGGTACTTCGTCCTTGAGGTAAACCCAAAGTTAAAAGCTCGCCGTAAACTGGAAACTGTACTCAGATTTATAACACTGCACAAGTAAAAGGGGAGTTTCTAAAACTTTCACCCTATTCATAGAAATTACATTACCAAACCGGACTACTGGTTACTTCTAAATTTTTGGTCGTAGGTAAAAAGACAAAAAAAATTTTTTAAGGGAAAAATGCATATCCTACATTTACAACCTCAATAGGTATCATTGAGTCGAGCCAAACTTTCATCTGATTATGTACCTTGGATGACAATAGAAATAGCAGTATAACTCCCTGGGCAATTAACTATGTTGGTGAGGACCTACAGCGAGGACGAGAAGGATAAAAAAGGAAAAAAAAAGAAAATATCAAGTCATAAACCTTGTGATCTCTTCTCACTTTTTCGTTTCGCATCTCTCTCACTCTTATTCTTCTTGCCTGCAAATTCCAAAACCGTCCTGTGGGTATAGGTAATAAATTTTGGTTTTGAAAATTTGTCACCCCCCTGCACCCTTCGACAAAGGGAAATCGTAGGAAGGCTCAATACCCATATAGGATCTCCGGTTACCACCTGTCCCTCGGGAATCGTTTAGAACTTCTCCAGGGACCTCGTGCAAGATCCCCGTTAATGCTGACTGGCACAAAGAAAATTTGTCTCCGACGTATTTGACGCGAAAACCGCTTTGAATTCCCTGACACCGTTCCGTTCTGTTCAATACCGCTTCGTTCCAAGACACGAACGTAGAATGACAATTTTCTGCTTTGTTAGGTCGCTGGGATTTTCAATTTTTTCTGCACGAAAGAAGAAGGTGCGAAGCGGCTTGTTTTCCTAGGACCGATAATCCCAAAAGCTAGTTTATCGAATATTTGAGCAAACTGATGCAGAATAAACATCTCTCCCTTATTTTCCTACGATTCATTTACTGATTGACAATCACGATCGATACTTTCTATACTCGCAATCAGTTCTTTTTCCGTATTGAGAAACGCACGAATTTACGAGGAAATATTCGTCGTGTGAGAGCTACGTGTCTCCGATGAGAATTCAAATATCTCGAAGAGATTTTACGAGGATCTTCAAAAGCATCGGTACCCGCAGACAGACGCAATCTTTTGGAAAATCGAGACTTTTGTAATCCCTGGTTCAGAGGATTATTACTGATAAACAGTCCTTCCCTGTATAAGGGACAGAGATGCTAGCTGGCGATAGTTTGAAAAAATACGAGGTAAACCACCCCTGGATTAGATCCTAGAAAAACACCAGGTCTCACACCTTCCCGTCACCCAGCGTCCCAAAGACCTAACAAAGCAGAAAATTTTAAGCTCCGAGCACGAACACCATAGGGACCAGCTTCGGCAAATAAAACAGGACAATGCGATGACGCCTCGACGAGCGTCCAAACTTTGATAAAACTTCAGATCGTGCTCAGTAACAAGATGGAAGCTGAAAAATCTATAGGATTTTCATTGCTATGGGTATAAATGTTAGCACTGTCATCTCTACTTGATCCACAGCCAAAGTCTCCAACAGATTCGAATTCATACCAGGAACGTGGTCCAGCATCTGACAACACGCGGTTCGACGTATTTATCGTTAGCCAGAGCTCCGCTCGTGGGTCCAGGTGTGAGAAAAGTGCACAATAAAATGTCTCGTCTATTGAGAGATTTGAACAGCGCCACCCCTAAACGTTACCTAGATGAATGGATTCTATTCTGGGGTTTCTATGCAAGCCGAGGGATGCTAGGACTCGTTTAGCGTCACGTATATTTCACCCTACAATCAGCTCGCGAGACAAATACCCTTATTTGTACACATCCTGTCCATTGTCATGAGACTGGGGCACCCTGGCTTCCAGAAGGAACGCCGAAATACGCTCGTCGACTTCCGGTGTATTTCTTCTAACGTAAGATCCACGGTCCGTAGGCGGAGCGCCACGTAAGATCAGGTGCCTCCTTACCGGATGAAACGCATTGGATTATCCGTTCATTGATAGTTTTTCGAATTGCGATCGGACCTCCCTCTAGGACCTATCTTCTCTTCGTTCTATTCTCATTCTTTATTCTATCTCGAGGATGCTTCGTGATTGAAACGGCCCGGATGTTAGAAGGGCGGAGCACTAGCCTAATTTCACTAGTGTTTGGACCCTCCGGTTGTCGTCTTGAAGGTTCACAAAAGTGCTGGCTGTTTTTTTGTAAACGTCTCCTTATAAAACTCAATATTTTATAGACTCGTCTATGCCAAATTCAAAGTTTATTCAACGTCGTTAACCGAATTTATCTACCAGCTGGCTTTTTATAAAGATAATTAATTCGTAAAATCTAAGCAGTAATCAGATTTAGAGAGGAACGTATGTGTGCTTTGTTTATATTTTATATACATTAAAAAAAAAAATTAAATCATTATCGTCTCGTTCGATCACGAGGACAATAAAAAAAAATTCATAGCTTTGTAGAATTAACAGTAGAACCAACGTGAAAAATCATTGAAGTCTGTCCGCGGGTTAATTAATTTCCTCTTTCGTATCCATATCGCAGTAGGCACAGTCAGAAGAATGAGAGGAAAAAGTCTATTCTAGATGTTTTAAAGCGACCATCCTGCCACAATGTATCACGAGATTGAATTTTTTGTGCACGTCATCGCATCTCTCCCGGTGATCACCGATGCCAATTAGAAAATGGACTTTTGTATCAGAAAAATAATTTAAAAGAAATAAGACTGGCCTGGCTCGCCATATGCCAAGGGACGGAGCTGCTCACTGGCAATTACAAGGGATGCTCTGAGAGTAGGGCGGTGGTAAAATTTCGGTGGTGGGGCGACTAGGTATATAAGCTACGACCCAACCTCCAAAGGTCACAGTTGCCTCAAAAATTCAAGGGTACCCACTCGTGGATCGTTCCTCGACTCGTCACGAGCTGCACGCATACTCGGTCGTGTTTTTACTTTCCGCCGCTCTTTGGTCGTTTCCGTGTTCAGTCGAGCGACTATCTTCACTTCTATCCGGGGAAAAACAATCGTTTCCGGTGCAAGAAATTGAAGTGCATTAATCAATAAGCCTGTGAGTAAAATCACTGCTTGACGATGTCCGTCATTCGCTTCTTGGTGTGGACGATGTGCTGCGTTACTTTGGGTGCAGCCTTCAACTTGGAACCCTATTTATCAATTGCCCGATGCAAATCATCTTGTATCAGCAAATATTCCATCGATGGATCCTGCGATTCGGAGAATTCGGAAGAACTCTCTTGCAGCAAAGTGAGTACCTTGCCCATATTCTTATCCGCCCTCTTTATGCACGTACTATAGCGCCCTCTCAAACCGATTGAGAATCCCTGTCGGCTTTCCCAGCTTTCCGCTTGGTGAAAATCGATGCGAGCACCATGAAAACATCCCTCTGTTAGACTCTGTTAACTGCATCATAGGGGCACAGCATCCTAAAAGTTACCCCAAATCAGGGGTTTGTATACAGGACTGGTATTCAGCTAAATCATTAGATTTTTATAAAAGTCACGAGTCCGGGAAAAATTGGTATTGATTTTGAAAAAAAATTCTACATCTGTTTCCTGTCATATCTTTCATTTATCTCATCTGTCTGAATCAATATTATCCCATCGACTATTAAATATTCTCGTAAAAGTTCTCTGTACGATTACGTATCTGAAACCTCTTACAAGAGAATCATCGCTTTCGTCACTCATTACCCCTAACTATTCCTTATGACAAGCCACCCTTGAATGTAGCGATGATAAATAATCACGTGAACCAGAGAGCGGATACGCAAGCATGAGTATTGTATAATGCATTTCTAGAGAAGGGTGGAGCAAGCACACGAAATGCGCTCTGTCTCCAGATAACCGATCTCTGGAAATCGGATAGGGTGACAATGGTGATAAATCTTTGTGTCAGTTTTATGGGGCGCCATGGAAAATCATGGTGGTCCCCCGTCCCTGGAGACACGTCGCAGACGGGTCTAAGGACAGATGGGACCGATGATGAGCTCACGTACCTACTCCTAGATCCCTCACTATATGCCTCAGGGGCGTTGCTCATTTGCCATACCGGACGGGGGTGTCCATTAATTCCAAAAAATCGATTCCACGACGAGGTCCCCCTACGCAATGATCTATTCAAATTTATGCTCGTTTGGTGCCGGCACTCTTTCGGACGTCGATTGAGTCCGATCATCCTCGCTATTAGAATAACAATTTCCATAGGACGGACGTCGAGTAGGTGGCTTACAAAAAGCAGATGTGCGTCTCTGTCCATGGAATAGCACCGGCAGTGATGCAGCGCGTACTCTGGAAACTTTGCATCTCAAAAGATTCGTTAGGCTGACTTAATTATCTTCCTTCGAGTTAACAATACCCATTCTTTTAATAGCACGCGATAACCCTCCCACGAATATTATATGGAAAAAGACTTTTTGGTGCGAGACAAATTTGAACTGTGAGCTTATTAAAATTCCCCATTCAAATTTAATTTGACGCGAAGCATTATTCACTGTTATTTTCTTAGGTCGTAGTATACGAGTCCTGGGGCTACGAGTAAATAAAATAGGTTAAACGGGAAATGTAAACTGTACGAACCTTCTTATTGATTACCCCTTCGTTTTCGAGTGGATGTTTTATCGATGCGTTATCTTCCTATGTGGCGTCGCCTCTCGATATACATATATATGGTTGCTACCGTAAGTAACATTTGACGTCGTTACGTGCCTGCCACGCTGTTTTTCGTGTCTCGGACGATCTTTTCGGGTGTCAGCACGAAACGCCATAAAACTTTCCTCGAGCCGAGAAACGGAGCACTTCTCTCGGCTGTTGGAAAATAAATGAATCCTGCGTTAAGGTTACTCGAGCGTTTCGGAAACATCATTAACGCGGCCCCTCGGCATTTCTACGAAGCTGGGAAAGAGTCTGGAAAGGCGTTCGTGGCTACCCCAATAAATATAGAGACAACAACGACGGTGCCTGTTATGCCGGGAACAGGTTGAAGCTAATTCGTGCCCCCGTTCACCCCCCTGGCTTACCCATCCACCAGCAGCGTCACCACGAATACTACTACCATCGTCATCGTCATCATCGTCTCCTGTCTCCTTCGCCCCTCGATTCGCCCCCTTAGTGCCCCATTGCCCGGGCCCCTTTTCGGCTGAGCTACAAGCATCGCTCGATTCACCGCCCGAGTTTATCGTTTTTTTCCTGCCCCCCTCCTGGCCTTCTCCCTTTTTTTTACTCTTTACCTCTTTTAACCAAACGATTTCCTTTTTTTTTCAGTGCTGGTACAACTGTGAGTCGCTCCTGTTCGAATGGGATGATACGCGCGACATGTGTGAGAAGCCAAATTGCATCAAGGTGAGAGATGATTTTCATTGATTACTGCTTTGGAAAATATAAAAAATTTCGTCTGCTGGATAATATGGAAAATGGATGACACAACAGTATCAAATCTATCGATTGTACTTGATTCAGTGAAATTGTAAATATTTCAAATTGAAATTGTAGCAGCGACAGTGCTAACGTCAAAATGAAAAAGTGAATTATGAAATTTTAAAAATTTTCGAAAGCCTCTATCGGAAGAGAGTTACATAGTCTAATAAAAATAATGAATTTTTGGATTTCGAAATTTTGAAAAAAGCTGTTGCGTAATTATAATATTTGTTCGCCACCATCTAAATTCGTCAATGGTTCTATAGAAAGGCATTTCTTCGTGATGGATTTCTGACGTTTCCAAGAAAGGAAAAGCTGCCAATGTCACTTCGCATTAACCCAAAGGGTCCGTTGATCCTATGATGAGGCGCGAAAAAATGTCTCGACGATTTCGAGATCGCGAGGAAAATTGTTGAATGCACCGATCCGTCTTATACGTCGAGACGTATAAAGCATTTGGGCGTCTTTCAAAGAAGGAAAATCTATCGAAGCCGAAACAGCAAAATCCTCAGAACCCAGCTACCTGCTGATTTTCACGGAAGATCGACTTGGGGCAAAAGGCATAGGGGTCCCGTCCCTCTTTGGCCACCTGACGATAGGAATCTTCCTCAAATATTTGGGAAAATATACTACCGTTACGGCAGTTATATAGGCCCAATTTCACTCCTACTGTCAGTAACGAAAAAGTTCACTTTGGGTCTGTCGCATGGACCTTATCTTACCTTGTAACGGAGAATACATGACTTTTTCTCGAGATAACCATTCGATAATCTTCACTAGGTACCTGCATAGACCTTGGAATTTTAAAATTGCCCTCATTCGAATGTTCCATTAATTAACGAGGGACCCTAATGGATAGAATGTTCGTGTCTTCCAAAAACCACAAAGCCCTCGCTGACAATTTTCCCATTATTTCAATTCGTTTCCACGTTTCTGAACAATGCTTTCTTTTTTTTTTTACAGTTCCCAGAATGCGTGAATCCCTGCTACTATTATAAGTCTCAAGAGCCTAAATCGGAGTACCTGCCATCCATGTTACCCGCACCGAAGAGCGATAAAATTACCCTGGGAAGATTCGACGTAGGGATAGTCTTCAAGAGGATGAACGTCGAATGGAAGAAATATGAATGGTTTAATTCAAAAACGATACCAACACTAGACCTGAACTCTTGGATAATTGTCGTAACTCAGAGTGGCGTTGAGCACTGGAGTAAGATCAATTGGTCGCCAAGCTTAGTAACTCTCAAGGAAGGACCACTTTACGAAGCTACCCTTACCTGGAAAAATCCATCGAACATATTCATGCAAAAATTGAATCACGTCAAGACGATGCTCAACAGTGAGACAGAAATTATCCATATGGACGCTGATTATTTATCATCGGAAGCTTTGAAAATTGTAGTAAAACCTACCTTATCTACAAAAGCAAGTACTGGTTCGCTATCTCCAGAATTGTCTCTCGATCTTCCAATGACCACCGAATCCTTCGACTACCCACAAGCATCTGAACTTACGTATATCGTCTCTTGGCAACCGGAAGCTGGTGGCCTTATGGGAAATCAGGTAACCAAGTCCAGCACCACACAGATCTCTCTTCTACCTGGTGTTAAGTATCAGGTTAGGATTGCCACGAATGATGGTCCTGGCAGTTATGCTATTGAAGTGGACACCACCTCTGGTTCTCAACAAGTAACAAGCAAACAAGACGACTCTTTGGATACGGACGATTCCTTTAAGAGGAAGGAGTTTGTTCTCGTGACTAAAGAAATTTCTCTTCTGAAGGTAGCTTTGAAAAAGATCTTTTTACCGACGGAATTAATTTGGCCCACGTCCGCCGCTATCGTCTCTGCTTCCCTTTTGATTCTCCTCATCGTACTCGTCAGGAGAGCCAACAGAGACAAAAAAAATATTGCCGTTGACAATATTGCGTGAAGTTCCTTAAGACTGTTTGTTGTCCTCTGCTAAAGGTTCCTTAAAAGGAATTCGTGGAACGTGATTTGAAAATCACCATCTCAGGGTATCTATACGTTATGACGAGTCACACGATTGGATAAACGTACTGGAGATACAATCCCCGCGAAGTATATATCAAATGTATAAAACGTCCCGAAGAAATATCACGAAATTGGACTCCGCGCCGAAGTGTGAATGAATGTACAAAATATTATGTTCGGTTAACGAAATAGGGTTGAGAATCTCGTAAGAAATATCTGTAAAGAGCTGATATTTTTATAGACTGTATTACCATTGCTCAACACGCAACGTATAGACTGTCTAAGAAGTTCCTGTTTTTAAGAAGCGGCTCGGTCACGTGCCAAATTCTATATTTATTTGTACATAACACTATTGTAAATATTCTCTAAAATATAAATAAATAATTAATTACAATGATAATTTGACATTTATAAACGTAAACTTTCCTGACAAAAAAATATTAAATTTTTAAGTTAACCCACTATACTTATTCCTCGTTTAAATTAAGTATAGTGTAATCCACTGAAATATTTTACAAACTCGCTTTCTAAAATATCCCATTTCGACTTACTCGATATAGGTATACATTCCTTATAAGAATCCTGACGGATCTCCATTCCCTAAGGAAACGACGTCCTGTGCCGTAAGGAAAAGGACTAGTCGGTATTGGCCCAGTCATCAAACGCAGGATTAGAGCAGACGAAGTGGCCGCGATAAAACATTAAGAATTTTGGATAGGGGAGTAAGCAAGTAAGTACCAAAAGATTCTCCTTTACTCACACGTAGTTAAGCGCCTTAGTTCTGATCTCATCCAGATGGAATTTTTATCCTGCTTTTCCGAAGAAAGTTCCTACTACCCTGTGAGGTCTACAATCGGGACCATCATCGTTTGTACGTGTAATCTAATATCAACTAGTGTCACGTAAATACTTGAATGATTTTCGTTCAATCAATAAAGTCTATAGAATATATCGTAAGAAAATTCATAGTGACTTTTATCATCAAACAAGACGTCGTTACCATTGCTATACCTGGTTGATTATAAATCAAAAAGATCAGTCGCCCCGGGGCTTAAATGCTTCTAGCAAAATCTCTTCTATGCGTTCGTTGAACCTCTCCGCCGTGAATAACACACATAAGTCGTGGAAAAAGTGCGGCTGGTGCCAGGCACCTTACTGCATGCACGTACGACCAAGCAACAGAAAAGTGTGTCGTGACCTCGAAGAAGGTCCCGTTATCCATGCTTCGTCTTCGGCTCTTCCTCCTCAGTCTTGACTGGGAAGTCAAGCCAAGATGATACGACTCCTTGTGTCCTTGACTCTTCTGATCGGTCTTCGCGAAGTTGCTCCTATCGATGATGGAGCCATTATACGTTTCGTACCAATTTTTGGATTGACCTTTTTACCAATTGGATTTACCGCGGGACCCAGGTAAAGTGATTTACGAATTTTTAAAAATTTAATAATATTATTAATCTGCTTAAAATATCCGATCACTTGTTAATTTCAACCCGTGCACTCGACTGCCGTTTCTCGGGCATCGAATATATGAAAAATTAGAAAATTTCGAGTGCAAAGGGTTAATAGACCGAGAGACATACAATACTGCAGCTGATATATTACCGAGCCTGAATGACAGGCATAAAAATCATTTTAATATCGATCGATCGTAATTCTAAATTTTTTAATAAAATATTTACCATTAGGGTGATGACACTAAAGATTTATTGACTTTTAGAATATCATTGATTTCCTAAGGGATTATTTCGAAAAGTCTTCATGAGAATTTTCTACAGATACGTTCCAAAGTGGAAACAACAAGCTTGCGAAGTACCTGCTTCGCAGCATCCAAACTCTCATTACGTCTGCGACGAGGCCGGTGAAGTTAAGTGTTTACCAGGTAAATCATCAATTATTATTAACTAATGCATTTCGATCTTGTTCACCGGGCATGTAACGGAATGTGTTTAAAAATTATTTAAATGTAATATCAATCGATAAAGTATTGCGTTTCGCACTTAGGATGGACGGGAGATTTATGCGACGTTCCCATGTGTCGAAAGGGTTGCGACCCTCTTCAAGGTTACTGTCGCCGTCCCGGAGAGTGTCGCTGCAAGCTCGGATTTTATGGTGAACTATGCGACAAATGCGTAGCACTTCCAGGTTGTCAACACGGGAGGTAAATGACCTACAGTAGCATTTGATGACACCTCAGAAGCGTATTTCCCGAGCATTACTGCTTTCTCTTGATGACGCACGTCTTTTTAGCATTTAATCATTTCTTGCAACCGAGTATGGATATCTAGTACGTTTCTCAAAGACTGCCAAGCAATTGAATACAAGGTGGTCTTCATGATAGAGCAACGGTTAATATTATTTTTATAAATAGATGCAACGTCAGTTTCGAATGCGCCTGCGATCCTGGATGGAAAGGATTATTCTGCTCAGAACCCATTTGCGGCTCTGATTGTCATCCAAGTCAAGGATATTGCGAGAAACCTGGTGAATGCAGGTAATCACAATTAACATTATATGGTAACGATGGTAAACCAATAGAAAAATAAAGCGTTAAAAGAGTTACAAAGCTGAAGTATACTGTTAACATTACGATGCGCAAATTATATGTGCAATAGATGCAGATTAGGTTGGCAAGGAACAAAATGCAAGCAGTGCGCAGTATTACCAGGCTGCGTTCACGGAACCTGCCAAGGACCCCTGGAATGTCACTGTGAGCCAGGGTGGACAGGATTTTTGTGTCAAAACCGTGAGCCTCTCTCTTTTTCTCTCTCAATAATAAATTCTATGCAGACCCTTCTCACTCTAAGAGCATTTGTCCTTCCAGCAATTTGCGCGCAAGGATGTAGCAAAGAGCATGGTGGGTGTCGACGACCCGGGACCTGCAGATGCCGAGTCGGCTGGACAGGACCAAATTGCACGGAATGTGTTCCGTACCCAGGTTGCGTCCACGGAACCTGTAGAAAACCATGGGAGTGCAGATGTCAACCTGGGTGGGCTGGTGACCTTTGCGACGAGAAGCTTACGTATTGCGATAGAAATCCAGATACTTGCAAAAACAATGCTACCTGTATCAGCATGACAAAGGAAGATGGAAACTTCAGGTGGGTATTGGATCTGCATGACAGATGATTTTTTTTAAACCTAAATCTATCAATTAAAAATACTACAAGAAACAATGAGACGAATAATAGGACAATCAAGAATGGAACAAAAATATACTAGGAAGGAATAATACAAATAAATATTATCTTTAGATGCGTCTGTCCAATGGGCTACATGGGACGTCATTGTCAAATTGAGACTGTGGTACCTGCCATGGATTTGACACCTCCAATGCCAGATAAAAATTCGACTCCAGAGCCCACAAGTTCAACATCAGCAAAACCGTACAGCGAAGTGCTCGGGACCGCGACCATGCCTCAAGAAACGCACAACTTCACAGAAGAGCTCGAGCACAAGGATGAGACGGTAGTTTCTGACAATAACGAAGGACCTACCATAGAGCCACTGGGACCCATTGTCATCACAGATGCTCCCACAGTGGATCCGGCAGCCACACTAGGTATTTGGCCTACGGAGCCACCTACCGAGACACCCGTAACCCTCAATGACTCCGACAACGAAGCCTAAAGAGTAAACTGAGATTCTTTGAAAAATAACTTATATTTTCCTTATATATAATATATATATATTTATTTATTTACACGACATATAAGCAAGAAGCAGGTTTCATATCTGACCTGGCTAATTATCTAAATCTGTACTACTCGTTTATACGATTCGATATTACGCAGAGATATCAACTTCGTGTCTGATCCCAGCAGGAAAACTGTCACGTGCATACAGTTGATCTTACTTGTAATTGGCCAGACTAACAATTTCGCACGTCGAACCCCCCATGAGTCAAGAATCACGTTTCGTTATAGACATAGGTAACACGTTTTCATGGAGCTGCTGTACTAAGTGCATGACATTATTAGGGCACGACGCCATTCCTGCTCCACGAAGAACGCTAACGGCTAACCAATAACGAGTATTCGAGAACTAAGGATATAGTATAGCGAGTAAAAATATTCGTATGAATTTTCGAGAAAGTAGCTAGAGAAAAAATTAATCGAAATGACGTCACAGTTCAATTGCCACGCGGTAGGTGTCTACGTATAAATATCCTGACAGTGGGGATACCCTAGTCCAGATTGGTACCCCACATAAACTCAAACTCTCTGCAGAAAGGTTCCGCTCGAGCAGCCACGTATCCTATGTACGCCATCGACTACCCACGTAACCCATATAGGTCTCGTACATTACGTAACTCATATATAGATATAGAGACACATTATACCGCAACGAGCTCCGCAATGCAACTGGAGCCGTTTTCGATGAAAAATCAAAGTTCCGGCGAGTACCAACTTACTTGCTTGCCTTTCCGCGCCGTTGTATACAGTTACATTATGGACTACATATTTCCATACGCGTACATTCGTTTACTTCGTTATCCTTTATTCAATTCGAATATTTCGTTTACATCGATAAATCGAATGACGATCGATAACATCAGGTTGACAATTTCTTACGTCAATCGTTTCGCTTCCTGATAAAATATTTTACATACTTTCGTTATACTATATCATAATTTATTTTATCTACGGTCCTATTACATAACCAATTATTCGATTAACCATTATTTATTTATTAGTTTTAATTATTTTGTTCGTACTTGGGGCGACAGTCGCCAGACACACCGTTACCAATAAAGCTGTATAAAAAAGATTCTTTTTCTTTTTATTATTACTTATTTCATGTTTCAAGTGCTAGTAACCATATACAGACCATTTCACATGCGGTCTACCGCAACAAAAGTCCGTCGGATGACTATATGTTTTCAAAGGAACATGTTCCGGCCTACTCCGACCGCGATAACCTACCCGCCTTTACTGCCTGCAGCTTTGTGCTTTATTATTTTTATTACCAGAGTCGCTCATACGCGGATAAAGATATCAATAAAGATTGCAAGACTGGCCGTATCACGTAGTCGGGCGTTCTCACCGTCAAAACAATGTTCCGGCTCATATACGAGTAGATTCGTTACGCAGAAGTCGACTTTGGCATTATCATTTATGAATTTACCAAAAACCATTTATACATAACGCCGAGGAATTTTCAAATACTTTTCTTTCATGTAAAATCAGTCATATGTGAATATACGTAAGATATACTTGTATATGCGAGAATCCGTATTATGACATTAAAAAATGAAATCGCATTAAAGATCGAGTGATGCAAATCGAAAAAAAAAACCACTTAATGATAAAACGCTGATAATATATAACGCCCCATTTGCCGATGGCCCAATCGTTTTTCTGGCGCGTGTAATACGTAACAAATTCGTAAAGTATTACGTATATGTTAGAAGTTGCTCCTTTCGATTGGTAAACACGTCTCACCATCGAGACTCGTCCAAACTTCACGGGAAGCCAAGAAAACGAAATACCAACAAATACATCGGATAAATCACAACAATATAGATCGATGGGTTGCTTCTAGTGGGAATTGACCCAAATACACGATATATATATACATATATATAAAATATAAGATATTGCATCATAGAGACACACGCAAAACCGTAAACTCCCAGCGAGAGAGGCTTTGTACGGCTCTTGAGGACCATTCGCACGGAAGCAAGGAGGCACTCGTTAAAGCGATAAAACTCCAACGTATCGCGAGCTATTTCTCGGGATCGAATATGCGAGAGCGGAGAAACTGAAGGAAAGGGACGCCGAGGAGAACGTTCGTGAGGGAAGGGCCGTGCGAATTGTGCTTACATACATTTGTACCCAGCCTTCCCCGCGTTCTCGAGGAAGAAATCGACGAAGAAAAGGGGCACGTGTAATATACGTAATATATACAATAAGTGCCCTACATATATATTCCATATGCATATACCGTGTATCGAAGGTACATACTCGTTTTCCCAGTCGTAAAGCGCGTGATTAACGAGTATCGTTTTGCAGTAGGACTGCCTTAGGAGCCGCTTCTATATCTTAAGTGCAGTACCCTTCACTGGATTCCACACTTGAGAACTGACACGGGGAACCACTTGTCAAGATCGCGATCTTTAGAACGTCCAACTTATCCAAAGGTGGATAACGGCTCTCTATTGGCTGCTATAAAATTCCCATCTCCGTCGTAGCCAAGTGCATGCATGCAGACCTCAAGATGCACGTGTCTACCCTGGGTGCCTTGGGTCGCACCAGATGTCGCTGTCATTGCAAACGCTCCATTGGACAATCGGCTTGAATAGTTCGTCGGTATCGCGTGCACCTTCCAATTGTCGGAAGGTCGAACACACCTGTAATTATGGTCTGGACTGTGGACGCCCTTAAATGGCTCGACGGCCAAGGAAGGGTTCCTGGAACGAAATCATTTTCACGTTGGCTTCCTTGGCGGCGCATTGGAAAAAGTCATAGATATTTTTTTCAACCATTTAGGCTCGGATGCTTTGGGCTGTTTTCAGAATGTCATTACTTCCTGAGATATTTAGCAATTATTGGTATTGTGCTTTGGCACAGTCTGACCACGCTTGGGTTATTACCTTTGTTAATGATTGCTATCGTGATCGTCGCTAAGGAATGACCTGGTGGTCTGATGGACGTAAATGACGCTTACGACTGTGGTCAACCGGTATGATTAGGTCAGAATATGCTATGGAATATTGAGGAATTATAGAACTCCATGGGTATCAGCAAATCAGTTACGATCGTTACGATGGAACATAACCTATGCTGAAGTCATTAATGAATAAAAGTATCAGTAAATGCATACTTGCTATGTATAGATATATATATATATCAAAGCTTTTGCAATACGCAAGAAAACGATCGCGTGCACACCTTTAAGTTTCCTATAAAAAAATTGAACTGCTTGGGCGGATGAAGGAGTAAATAAAATTATAGATAATTATTATACACGATTTCGTAATGAGACAATGACAGTCACCCGTAGCGTTAGGATGACGATTACATGCGATCACGTAAGTGATCAATCGCTGTAGAATCTAAAGCTATCGATTAGTCAATATCAATGATAGAAATAGTTATCTTTTAATAAATATCGAATAATGTAACGTAGCTCGTTACGTCGTCCAACTTGACCTATTCTATGCAGCACATAACCTGCTTAGCGTAAATACTTGAAAGAACGCCTCACTACGTGGTACGAGTTCCCTCAGGGCATATTCACTGTCTTCGGAATTTACAGGTTACGATGTAAACTCTCTGTCACGGTCAGGGCGAATCAAGTGCTGGAAGTCATTCCAGATTCTTAACCTTGCTATTGTCACGGAGGTTCAACCGGCCATAGGAACTTGTAAGAGGTCGTTTACGATTTTCAATATAGAGATCATTGGTAATGACAATAACGCGTGTACTCTGTTTTACCATCGGGGTTAGTTATTTTCATAAATCAATATGCCAACGAAAAAATCATTAGTCTTACGTCAAGTGTGCTTGTACAATAATGGTTCACTCAATCGTTGTAATTGATGGTTTCTTAATCGTTAAACTGTTGCCTGCCCCTTACTTACCTAGAGATACGATAGATCGATTCGAATCTTGATCGGTAAAACGTTATTTATTAGTCTACCTTGATAATACATGATACACTGTCAATTCTACGGGGCCTTAACGTTACGGCTGAATCCAGTATGTGAGGTCGGTCTGCAGTCGTGTAAAAGTCCTTGCGAAGAATGCGCACTGGTTGCGTCAGGAGCAGTCACGAGGAACGTCCTTATGCATGGAACGGGCTTGGTCTCGCTCGAAAGTACATATTTCGGCAAGGAACGCGTAATCACACTTTTATATACGCACATTTACGCACTTAATCACACGCACGTCTTTTCCGGGACCCGCCCGACCATGCAATCCAGTCGCGTTCATCTTACGTAAGGGGGGATCTTGATACCGCGTTATAGTTTTCACTGGCTCGCTACTGACGCTGGGACTATTTGCGAAAAATTGCCAGACTTTCCGATCCTTCTCTAACGCCGGTACTGAATATTTTGGGAATTTGAAAATTTTTTACTTTTGTTGGAAATATATTTTATTTATCTCTCAAATCGTATTCCGAGTAACGTATTAAAGAATTGTAGAAATTTTCGAATTTTTTTATTTTTATAATTAAATCCTAAATTTGTCAATTTCAAATTATCTCTCTTTCGAGAATTTTTACATTCTATACATGTGTCATTCATGGGTATTCGAAGTAATACGTGGCCTGGAAATGATATGACGCAGTCGTCGCAGCAGTGGGCGGCTTTCGAACTGCCTTCTGGATGGCTGTGAGAAATGGAGCAACAAGACTGTTTATGCAGCCGACACACTAGGAAGTGTCGTATTTTTTCTCGCGGCTGACCACTCGGCGACTTCCGGTCTCACGAATTCGTTTCCGATCCGGTTGCGTCATTGGAGTTTTTTGTTAAATGTACCTCATTAAGGAACATACGAAATTTTTTAGTCCCAATCAGCCCTTTTCTTCGGCCGTTCTGTTATTTGGGTTGGGGAGGGAGATGATGAAGAAAATAATGGCAATTGAATTTGAACCGGATTGCGTAACTCGGTAACACCGTGAAATCTCGCAGAACAGCATTACGCTCACTTGAGCCAAAATGAGGAATTCACACTTATGACTCATACGGGCATGCAGATTACCAATATTTTGTAATCCTAACGACGCATGACCTATTGTATACGCTTAAGTCGCATTTTTTGAATTTCGACAATAGTTATGGTCTAGTTAAAAAAAAATGATACTATTTCATACTCTCCAATACTTGTTATCATATTACTTATTAGATCCGATATGTATATGAGATATACGTAGAACACGCAAAGCGTGAGAATATTATTGCTAAGTGAATGCTAAAATTTTTAAGAAAATAATATTAGGCTGCATAGTTGGTATATCATTAAGTATCGATACGAAATTGATTATAATAATGAAAAAATGTTATGGGAATTTTGAAAAAAAAATTGTTCATTCCTTATTGTTTCCTCGATGCTGCTCTAATTGCGTTGCTTCTGGTTGTACGGACGATTCACGTAATTCTGGCGAAAGAGAAAAAGTTGGCACACTTGCCACGTCGATCGGTAGGAAAATAAATCGCAAAAATAAAATTCTTTACCGAATATAATTACGCGAAATCAGGTTCGCCTTTTTCTGGTTAAGGTGTAGGTACTGTTTATCGTTAATTGGATAAATACCTTCGTTCGCGTTGCGCTCCTACTATTCATCTCATGATGAGAATTAAATATGGCAAATTTCATTTCGAAATCATTAATTGCCAATGGTAAGATTATCGATAACCTATAATACACACGAATGACATCATCAATCAGAAAGACAGAATATTCAGACCTAGTACTATTCTATATGCCTCGTATATTCTGTACCCAAGGGTTCGGGGATCGAGTCTCATAATTAAATCTGCGAATGGAATTGAGCATAACCGTACAGTTTTAACCGCTTCGACTACCTAAACACAAAAGAAATAGTCAGCGAACTCGTTAAGACCCACGATACGATACGATAAGCTTCTACGTAAATAGACTATTTAACATATAGAACAGCAGTTCACGTTTAATATGTTATACAACATAAGATACATTATAGATATTACTATAGATCTTATGTGCTCTACTGTGGGTAAATAGTATATAGGAGGTGTGGCGATAGCACACGGGACAGCTATTGGCTTCCTATTGGCGGGGTGTTCAGATCAAATGAAAGTCAATTCCCTATATAAAGGGTGGTTTTACTTCAATGCATCAGACCAAGTGTAATTTAGCAGTCAGATCTCGTACTCAAAGTATTGGAAACGCAGCCGTCATGAGGGTCCTGGTACGTGGTTACTATATGAAGCAGTTATAAAAAAAAAAAGATTTCAAACTTTCATAATTTTAAAAATGTTGTCAAAGAAAAAATATACATTCACCGAAAATCGAGTATCAACATATTCCTATTAATTTTAGATCTGCGTCCTGCTGATCTCACTGGTATTTGCCGAGGAAGAGAAGATTGTAAAGAAGCGTGGTGTGTTTGGTTTGGGCTATGGTGGCTACGGGGGCTGGGGGGGCCATGGTGGAGGCTACGAAGGTAGTCATGGAAGCATCCACACGATAGCGATCCAAAAAACTGTCGCTGTTCCAGTGCCACATCCGGTTCCATACCCTGTTGACAGACCCGTTCACGTTCCAGTGAAGGTAAATAAAACGACATCGAAAAATCTTGATGACAAGTACAGGCAAAACTAATTAAATTATTATCGCAATAATAGCAAAAGTCAAACACGTTAAATTATTGGCAAACTCAACAGACATTCTAACTCCTAGCAGTCACTGTAGATCATGGATCGAAGCTGATACCAATTGAATCAACCTTCCGAAAGCAATGACAAAGTAGTTATCTTATCGTGTCACAATTTTTTGGAATGTCGCAACATGAGAAATTATCAATCAACTATTGCATAAAAAGTTCAATAGTATCAATAAACTTGTTTTACATTCGATATCTATATGTTTCAGGTACCAGTTGTAGTTCCCCACGCAGTCCCAATTGCTGTTCCAGTTCCCCAACCCTACCCCGTGGTCAAGACCCAAACTGTCCATGTTCCCGTTGACAGACCATACCCTGTCAATGTACCCGTAAAGGTACCCGTACCTGTGCCAGCCCCCTACCCTGTCAAGGTAAGATTATTAAAATCAGTACGATATATAAAGTGTCCTATTACAATTTTCTAAATCTTACTATTTTTTTTAGGTCCCTGCTCCACACCCAGTTCCAGTACCGGTTCCTCACCCAGTCCCCGTCGCAGTTCCACACCCGGTTGTCGTTAGGGAACCGTACCCCGTTCTTGTTCACAGCCATAGCCACGGACACGGATACGGACATGGATTTTAGAAAAACCATGAAGCATCGTAGAAAAGAAAAAAAATCATCCAATCGGAGCATCGCTATCATCGTGAAGCAAACCAACCAAAATATGTTTCTTATCATAGTATCTAAAAATCATGAAATAAATCAGTTTTGTAACGTTTTGTAAAAAAACCGTAATTTTTATATACTTGATTCTGTGCCGATTTCTGATATCTCACGGTAGAATTTAGACGAGTGGCGTCTCACGTATCACTGGCAATTTCATACTGTACGAATATAACGTTGGTCGATCATTAGTGACGTTAGGCCCAAGAAACTTTAACGTACGAAGATCTTCGACGCCGTTTCGAAAGTAAAATCTCATGGAAGAACACTAATTATGTGTAAATGAAATGTTTCGACATATCCTATACGCGACAAGGGCATGGCGTGCTATCTGATATTGCGCTACGGATAAATCTCATGTGGAAATTCTTACTATGTGATATTTGCGGTTCGAACCTTGACTGCGATTTTAAATGCTCCTCCACGTGCTAGATCTTCGAGTCTCCCAGTTTCGTATGATTTTAAGTCTCGCGTGAAAGAAGATACTATTTTCAAATTTTTCAACTGTTTCTTAAAATGAAACTCGGAATGAACCTTTCAAGGTAATGCATAATGCATAACATATGTTAAATTCTAAGATAATAATTTTTCTATGTCTAATATTCTCCATCTCAGAAAATATTCTATTAAATGTTAGGATGATGGCCTGTTGCTTCTAGCAGTGTATTAATTCACGTGAAATATCGACTAGTTGGTGCCAGGTGGAAAAATATGGCCGTTTGGCCATTTAGCCATCCGGTTTCGGAATCCGTCGTACAACATCGCGTCGCCATTATCGAAACGACTTTCTTCCGCAGGTTGCCGAACGGGCAAGACGGACACATCGGTAAATAAGAAATTTCCATTACAATGATTCGTCGGTAATAAGAGGGTAGGAGAGTATGAAATTTCGTCATTTTGCAATAAAAAATTTTTCTATTGCGCAATGATACGTGAGTCCATCTTGTTGTTGGGCATATACCAGGCGGTAAGATCATGTAAAAGCCGTGTTAGTTTCCGGTGTTGAAACCATTACGACTTATGAAATTTATGCATACAATTTTTAACCCATTCTCGTCGTCTCTTCCTGTAATCCAATCTACGCTCGGTAATCGGGCTTGTGCGTCCCAACGTAGGCTAAACGAAATTGACAGTTTTATTTGATTTACGATCGACACGTCTCTTGCGAAATTGTAGTTTTCGTCAAAATGGTGGCTCTTCTTTTCTTTTTTCTCTTGCATCATACCCGTACAGAGTTCCCCATCAGATTTGCACAGGGACTATAATCTTAAATTTGTATGTTGATTCGTGGTCTGTCGAGTAGGTCTGCTTGATAGACGTTTATTTCATAACGAACCAGATCATAAATCCGAAACTCTGTACTTTCGCGTACTTTCTTACCAGAAGTATGACTGTACTTTCCGAAACAACTTATCGCGTCCGAAAAATTATGTCGATCTTGAATATTCCGGATGCTGATATAGCTTAGCCATTTATTCTCTATTAATATGAGAATTATAGATACAGATGTTATTTCAAATTTTTGTTGTTTTCATTTAGTCTTTTAATTCGTCCGTGAGACTGTTCCTACCTGAAACACTTTTCATGCAAATCTTTATGCAAATAATGGTATTTAATAAAATTTTAGTAGAATCAGTAATGCTTAAAAATACCGATCATTTTCGTCATCTGCTAATCCTGTTTCTCATAAACTAATTTATTTATCCTGGATCAAACCTAATGTATTTTTTGTCGGTACAGAATCGGTATTTCCACATAAAATTAATGATAAATAGTTGAACCAAGCAGTTAAAATTCATAATAAGGTTTTATTTACGGAATATAGATGAGATAGTAAAATTTGCGTAGGTCTGTTGCATCAAATTTGAAAATTACGTAAGCTTGACATTGAAAAATGCCATATACGTCTAACGCGAGTTATATGTAGGTATCTACATAAAAAAAATATTGAACTAACCTCCAAGTGGATTGAATTATATACGTCAGATATCTCAATTCCCAAATGTGAATGAGATAATACCTATTATTTGCAGATCTTCAATTTTTCCAGTTTCATCTGAAAACCTGTTTATGTATTTAACTTCCAATGTCTGGAATGGTCTCAGTATTTCGCATAAAAATGTTTCCTTAATGATACAAACATTCATCGAAATTGCGTGTCTTGTAATATTTAGATTTCTTTATATAAATTTCGCAGACATAGAGGGCGATTCTTTTTTCCTCAGAATCGGCAATATGTTAAAAAAGTAGCATACAAATATTCATTTAATCATACGTTTGTGACCTCGGAAATGCAGCCTACATTCACCAGCTGCTTCAAGATCGCAATACAAGAAACGATTTTTGCACTCTTCGATTGCGAAATGAAAAAGAAAAATTTTAGCACGTAATGCGTACAAAATTGGATTCTCATAAAATTTCCAATCGAAAAGTCGCTCATTAATTGTTATAGATTACTGTTTCGTAATGCAGCTCGACAGTTTCGTAAAGCAGAATATTAGGTAGCATTAATATTGTTAGTTAATACCGACTGAATTTTCAAAGAGCATCTTAAAATTTTAATTGCGTTCACATATGAATCTTGTAGTAACCAAAGTACATGCCGATCCTGTAGTTCTGATATTTACAACATATTTACTTATTAATATCACACGTAATGCGTAATCAGCAGCCATTCGTCGAACGGCTAAAGTATGAGAGAAAATATTCTGTATAATCTTTATTAGGTACTTTCGCTACATAAAATTACAAATTGTCGATAAAGAGCGTAAATGCGCTACCTTAATGGCGGCCAACTCGTTTAAGTTGGGCTAATGTATTTTTTATAAAATTGCCCCAAGCATCGCATAGCCCATTGAGAAGGATGATATAGGTGATAAATTGAAATTCAGGAATTTTACTGGAGTAACGTCAGAAGCAAAGATTAAAAATAGTAACTAAAAAAGATCAAAATTGTACATGTCAAAAATAGAATTCGCAAATGATATAAATTATTAATTAAGAATTTTAAAAATCCGACTTATCCTTCATCTTCAAATTACGAAAGTTTCTACAAGCTGTTTATTTCTCCCATTCCTTTTTTTGAAGGTTCGAAATTACTCTTGCATTCCTTAATGCGTGTATGCACTTGGCTTCGAAAACAGCAAGGTGCAATTGCATCCAGTAGAAGTAAGGTGTACTTAAATGTACGGACACGGTGTGGTTTAGCCAAGAGAAATTCTGAAAGATCCGAAAAAAAAGAAAGAAATGTTTAAATTGAGGATCCTTGACCACGTGCCGTTTTCCGGAAACAAGTACGGGACCGTAGTACTACGTAAAGGAACGAGCCAATTGGATAATTAATGGTCAGATCTACAATCTCGATACGAAATGCTGCGAATTTCGTTGCAAAGTGTAAGTGTGGTCGTCCGTTGCGCAAGAAACGAGAAGCTTCGCATGTGTGGATTTCGGTCCTTGTGTATTCAGGCCCCACGAGACCCTCCACCTCTGGAGGGTTTCCAACCGTATAAAAGAAGAGGTCTTCCCGATAGTCTCCAGTTGCAAACAAGACAAGCACAGCAACATGAACGCTAAGGTAAAAATTACAAATTACATAAATACAGTGTATCTCTTGCATCGCGAATTTTTAAGCTTACCATAAAAATTACGATGTCACGTACGCAGATAAACTGTAAGGCTGGACTGCATATAATTTTTTTCAAAAGGCATAAATGCAGAATAGTCGATTAAATGAATCTTCCTTAGTTGTAAATAAAATTTAAATATTTGTTTTGCGTTAAAACTTGTAATGGTTCTTGGACTTTTCATGACAAAAGAAATTTCAGTATAACGTGAGCAAAATAAATGAAATCTTTAACAATTTTTAGATCGTCATCTGTTTCGCCCTTGTGGCTTTGGCTGTCGCCGAAGAAGTGAAAAAGGATAATAAACCAATCGATGCTAAGAAAGAGAAGAGAAGTAATTTGGGTCTGGGATATGGTTACAATTATGGATATTCGGGACTTGGTCTGAATTCTGGATTTGGAATCGATGGACTTACTAGCTACTCAGCACTTCCATCTGTTGGACTCAACCATGGAGTCTCCACCGTAGTGACCAACGAAGTAGCAGTGCCTGTGCCACATCCGGTTCCCGTACCTGTTGAGAGACACATCGCAGTTCCTGTCAAGGTTTGTATTAACTGACGATAATCCAACTAAAAATTAAATCAAAAACTAGTTAATTGTCTGTCGAACAATTCATAGTCAAACAATATTTTTAAACCCATATATATTCGACTATACGGTGTAGCTGTTTATATTCAAAACAAAGAAACATCCCACGCGATAATTACTAGTAACGAAACATTTTTTGCGCAAAGAACAATTTACATGTCAACTCGAGAAATTTCAACGCATTCAGAATTAATTAAATTGTCGCAAATAACGCAAGAATATTTAGCACAAGGTTTCGATCCAAGCAGCTTCCACGAATAGAACGAATGAAGAGACCTTGTTTCCTTGATCACGCTCTAGTAATCGCATATTATTTTCGATACTGCATCCACTGTAGCTTCGCTAACCAATCACAAGGAGAGTGGAGCTTAGAGCTCTTCATCCTTCGAATGTTCATATTCACGTCACGTTGAATGTCACAGAATTCCCACAACCCATTGCCGCGACAATCGCAGCAAATATCGAAAAGTATTAATAAGATTAAATTTAATCGTACAAAATTGACATTTAGTGATCAAATAATATTTAATATTTTTATTCTTTATGTTATTAGGTCCCATACGCAGTACCAGTCGATCGTCCGTACCCAGTTCATGTACCTAAGCCATACCCCGTTGAGGTTACCAAACACGTGCCTGTTCCTGTTGACCGCCCTTACCCAGTTCCCGTAAATGTACCCGTCAGAGTTGCCGTACCTGCTCCTTACCCTGTCAAGGTTCCCCAGCCCTACCCTGTCCCCGTCGTCAAGCACGTTCCCGTTGCTGTTCATCAACCCATTGTCGTTGAGAAATACGGCAGCGGTCTTGTTTCTGGCTACGGCTATGGCGGATGGTAAATGGACTATCCCTCGAAGAAGCCGGGAGCATTCGTAGACGGTGACTGTTCTATTCAATTCTACGATGGCGCCATCTGTCCGAGTCTCTATAAACTACATGCTACGTGGAGGGACTTGGTGAGGTTGCGATCTATCACTAACTACGGGATTTAATTGAACTACAACACCGTTATCCTCTCCTTTGGAAAAGGACTATATAGACAACGAAGTTTGCTCTTTAACGGCCTCAAGTACCGTCAACAAGTGTTCAACCTTTCATAGGCATTTTACTCAATATCGAAATCTACTCGGTACCTACATTTTTTCTATGGAGATTTATATTTTGTACTACTATAATTTTTCTCATCTTTGTATACTACTTTCGAGACTTCACAGGGGTACGCCTTTGTGGTGCAATAAAAATATTTTCATCTAATCTGTCCGTGATATTTATTAATGTTGATTATGAATTAAAATTTGGAAAATTATTGAATTTCTAAAAAGATTCAAGGTAAAAAATTCAAAAGAATTATTCTAGAACAATGTTTACTATATATGAGCTGCTCATTTGCCAAATCGATTAACACAAGAAAAAGTTGAAACTTATTTTAAATATAAAAAGTTAAGCATGGAGCAAGTGCTTCGGTACTAAAAATAAAATAATCTGAGAATGGAGTTAATCGCTTTGTCCTACGAACGCCTCGTATATCGATTTTGTTGCGAGTGAAAAAATATTTTTTTTCCAATAATTACAATTCCAATTACAATTGGTATAAGAGCCAACAGAGTTACCGATAAATCTTTTTAGAATTCCTCACACCATATCTTCATCGGACATTAAAATTGGACACTTTACAAGAAATTGTTTCGAAAGTATTGAAGAAAATGTCAGCATAAATGTATCAAATAGATACCTAATATTTAAATGGTCATCCGAACTACTGACAGGAGTCTTGTTACAAGTCGGATATCACAAAAATACAATAGTATCGTCTTTCTATCACTTTCTACTTGTAATCTCTTATTACAGCAAGTAACAGTGCCATACTCCAGTTCCTTGACTCTAATAATTTTAGCAAAGCCGTTGGTCAATAGGCGACCTACGACAGATCATTCATTCGGACTTTTCTAGACAAATCATTCGGTCCACGTAATACCCGATATAAAGTACCGAAACTAACCTTAGAAAGCGAAAGAATTTATTTCTTCACTACTAACAGTTTCGGTAAAAACAACCTTCTAGTAGCATTGGCAGATTTTGATCTCTATATCACAACATTGATAAGAAGTCTTACGATCGTTCTGCTTGACTTGTATCGATCTCTACGTAGAGGAGTACGTTAAACACAAAATAAGAAAAGAACTCCAATTTCGAAAGTGAAAGATTTTATTATAAAAAAAAAACAACATATAAAACAAGGTCCCCAAAGACATCAACGATATGTTACAAACAAAAACTCAATGGTGACTCGGTCGTGGGTCGATCAATCTCTATACAGGGTGTCCCAGAATTACCCTACCAACGGGGAATGGCGGTGTTCGGGAGGCACCCGCTTGTAGCTTGTTTCTTGTTTCCCATAGGCATGTCTTCGGCTGACGTCATCCTGCCCAAAGCCACCGAGAAACAAAAGCGAGGGAAGAAAACTCAGAGTTCGCAGGTACCTACGTTTCTGTTGACGCCTCCCTCTGATTGGTCAACTTTGACCTGCTCCCATTTAAAAACTATGACCTTCCGGACAAAAGGAAGGTCATTTTCGTGATCAGTGGTGCCTCCCGAACACCGCGATACCCCGTTGGTTAGGTAATTTTGGGACACCCTGTGTACAGGACGTAGAAAGGAGAAGGAAAGTATCAGGATGAGGATGAAGATGGGAGGTGAAGGTATCGACTTGTTCCAGCTTGGATGATTGAGCAAACTCCAATTTTAGTGCTGGGCCGTGTAATCTGGTTGGGATGCCTGGAAGTGGTCATGTTCAGACTGACCGTAACCAGCATTAGACTGTTCATGACTGGCATGAGGTCCCTGAGACTCAACAGAGTAAGTGTTGTAGGACTGAGCTTCGTAGCCGCTGTTGTCGGCACCACCTCCATATCCGCCCCCATATCCGGTCGATTCGCTATGTTGAGGGTAGGGAATAGGGTGTGGTACCGGGTAGAACACTGGCCTGTTGATGGCAACAGGATGAGGAACTGCGACCGGCCGAGGCACCGGAACCGGCTTGGAGACCAAGACGGGAACCTGCTGGGGGAGTTCCACTGGAAACGGCTTAGAGACTTCGAACGGCACGTGATGAGGAACTTTCACTATCTGCGGAACTGGAACTGCCACAGGATGGTTCACAGGCACAGGAACGGGAATGTGGTGTGGAACCTGTCGGCAGAGAAACGATGATGCGTGAAAACTTTTAAAGATGAATTAATCAGATTGATTCTGACTCACGCGTAAATGTCGATTATCGGACTTGTCACCAATCATTGTAAATTATGGCCGATTAAGCTCAATTATCTTATATTACGTTACGATCAATGTTTCTTATATGTTTTTTTTTTTGAAGGCTTACCTTCACCGGGTAAGGCACTGGAACTTTGATCGCCACCGTCTTTGTAACCTTGATCACCTTCGTGGGAACTTCTTGCAAATGTACCGACTGGGATAACAATTTCGGTTGTATCGAAAGTTCGTGACCTCCGCCGTATGACGAGTAAGAGGCCCTCGTCATGACTAGAGTCACCGCTAGTATTAACTGCAATCAGTCATAGAGATACTTTTATTTTGTGTAAATCCAAAATTATGCTTTATTGATAGAAAATTTCTCTCGACCCAAAATACCGTAGACTTCTTGAAATATCAAAAAATTTTGACTGGCATTTAACGATACTCTACTACACAATAATACTAATGTTATTATAATAATCGAATAACAATAATATATTATAAAAAGGTCAACTTCGATTAAAAACTTGGATTGATCTAAAAATGTCTAAAAACAAAAAAGAATTCCCTATGTCAACGATACATAAAATTTTTATGCAACAAATGAATATCAAAACGATTGATATCAAACGAATGAATATATAAGCGATTTTTGGTCTCCATTGAAATTCACTGTCAGGGACTTTTGATATTTCCGGGATATAAGGTCACTTTGATTATCAAGATACGTTATGCGGGTCACTGTATCTCTCGACGGAAAACTTACGAATCGAAACATGTTTTCTCGTTTAATTGAGTTGGTGTTTCCAGTGAGAAGAACTACACTGACAATTGTAGAGCGGCCTGTAGCTTATATACGAGGACCTTCACCATGATTCCCGAAGAAAGCACTCTCTTTCCAACTCACTTACATTCGCGAGTCTTCTCTTTTTTCTTGCCTTCGAGTTCGACGCCCGACTCACTTCGCGCTCGAACCTCAAAGAAAGGTCCTATTTAGTTACTGCTTCGCCAGCGTTATCCGGGGTGTATATTGTATATATTACAGACTCCTTGTTCCTCTTCGACTGTATGGAAACGTTCTCCCAGAGATGTCGGTATTGGATGCCCTGAAACCAATGATAAAAGACACTTCGATTACTTTCAGTTTCACCTTTCATTCAAAATCGTGTACAGTTATTTAATCTTAATGGCACTTCGCCTCGTAGGTATCAAATAGATTCAGAGTCAAAGAAATGTAAGGAGAATTTTGATATTCTATGTTTTAACTTAAAAAAAATTGTAAGACGAATTTATTTATTTTTTATTGGATTATCTTACAATTACTCGTGAAAGTTCATACAAGATGCTTGTTACGTGTTGCAATAGCTAATCGAAAAAGGTACTTTAGAGATTGTATATGTGAACGACTCTTGGGAATGGATTTTCAATGGAATTGTCATTTCTCCTTTCGTTAGTGACAGAAAATAAGAGATATTCGGTTGGAGGAGAATGGCGAAAGGACGTGTGTACTGTCAACCATTTCATTTTTCTTTCTGATATACGATATCGTTAGTTGAAACCCAATATTTATTGTGTATCGAATCACTGTTTTGTCACTCGTTCGTTTATTCGTTAAATTGTATTTTCTCCCATAACAAATCACAAAATTTTCTGTCAGGGATTACTTATGACTTACGAATGATTTATTAGTCCAATAGCTTTTGAAAATTTAGTATAACCAAATAATCGTGGCATTATATATACTTTACATTGTTACAATATTTACTACAAATACAACTTTGAAATAATTGTAATTCACATTGCTTATACGCGTCACGTGCTGTTACGCGTCACAAGACAAAGTGCGTTTACTATATAGACCACTAGTGGTGAAAAGTTTCTTATAAAAAATAATAAATAAAAGTATAAGAGTAGTTCGAAATTCGAAATCTTTAACGAAATCCACTATCTGCGAGAGAAATTTTGATCCATGATATTCTCCACCTATGGACCAAATTTCTCCATTTTGCATATTAATTCAATTCCAGGCAAGACAAGTGCATTAAAATGAAATATATATAATTGCCATATAAGCTGTTAATTATTTGTGAAATTTGACTTTGTCTTCGTAATTATTATTTTTTTAAACATAATGATAGGACATGTACACCTTAATTTACTTTTATTATTATTATCATGTTGCGAATATCCACATTCCTAAGGTACAACTATACCTTCCTCTTTTCCTTATTATAAACTATAATAGCTTTCATGCATTAGCAATTAAAGTCTCTCTTACTCTTACTCTTACTGAATGGTTTCATTTAAACGATTTCCAGAAGAAATGAAGCACAAGGAAATCCGCATTTTGGACAAGTATACATAAGTGAAATGCATAATATACATTATTTAATCAATCTTCAAAGTCAAAAAAATTTTTCAAATTCTCAATCAACGCATATAATTTACTTTATTTAATGTAAAATAAATTACGTAACCGAAGCGTAAAACGGAAGTCAGTAAGTATGCAATCATTTTCCACACGGCAAATGCACAGCCACTTAAACGAGATTGTATCTCAATTATGTAGATACTTCCCACTATTACTCTGAAAGTACATACAGGGTAAAAAATTTAAAGTATATAAAGTATACTTTTTATATATATATATATATACATATAAAGGATATAAAATTGAAAGTATATACAGGGTATGTTCTGTTACCTAAACTTAATCTCTATCGACAGATATAAGATTACCTTTCAAATTTTAATGAAAAAAGGAAAGTTTTTAATATATGATTTGAGAATTAACATGAAACTGAATAATTTTTATTTGAAAAAATTTTCAAAATAATGTATCGATTGAAAATTATATAGGATATCCACGTTTATCTCATATTGTATGTAACGCATTTTCGTAATAAATATTTTGCTTTTTTTTTAGATTTTTTTTAGAGATTAAGTTTAATCATGTAATTATGCAAAAGATTAAAATTCTCCCTAATACTGAATGAAACGCAATAACAAACGAATCTTTGTTTATCATAATTTTCGAAATATTAGCCTGTAACATTTTTAACGTTACACCCTATATATTTATAACAACAGGTATACATATGCGACTCACAATCAGTGTATAATAAATATAATTATATTTAAGATTTTTGATCGATTAGATCGGATCAGATATTATGTTCTTTCGATTCAGGCCACTTGCAATAAAAATAGCGAAAAACCAGTTAGACTGAAAAGCAAAAGTTAAATCGTTACTTATTTGATGGTCTTTCTCCTCTTACTTTCGCTGAAAGGAGGAGAGTGGTTCTGCTCCAAAAACATCATCGCTCACTCGCCAAATCACTCTTGAGCAAATCGATCAAATCAAGATCAATGTCACGTCGTAAGGATAGTAGCTGTTTGTTCCGTAGCTGGAAAAACTAAGTCTAACAATCGACTTTTACTTTAAATTAAAATGCTGATGATCATAGATCACGGGAGAACCAAGTAAATTAATGATAGCCTTCACACCGTTAACAGTAAAGCTTCAGCTCGTTAAGAGAATCATTAAGCTACTTCCGGTTACATTAATGAGAATCTTCAGTTTTTTTTTATTCATCGTATCTTTTTGCCAAAATCTTGCAAACGTCATTTAAAAATTTTACAATCATGATCATGTTATTTTTATAATGAATAATTAAATATCTAGAATAATGATAATTTCCAATGATAATTCTCGATAACTTTTTATAGTTCAACAAATTCTGGTCAAACTTTTTAACCATCCATTAATTAATTTTTATGAAAAATCACATGACTCCAGAGTATAGAAATGAATAATAGAATAAGAATAGCACGATTTTTACGTAAATTGAATATTAAGTTTGAATAATTTGCAATTTTTCATTATCAGGCAGATTTATCATTTGAAATTGATAAATGTCTTTTTTTAAACTATCTTTTTTATTCACGCCTTCTTCCTTATTCCAGAAACACATTCACTTCTTATTACAGAATACAGTAACTTTTTACCCCAAATGTCAAATAACATGTAAAAATAATTTTGATACGAAGATTCACAGGAATTATGATTTACAGTGACATTTAGCAGAACGCCTATGATATGGCAACCGGGTAAACAATAATGTATTCAAAAAAATATATCAGCAGGCTAACATGGATTATAACTTTGATTATTTTAATAATCAATCCAATGACAGTTTATAATTTATGTTCAAAGGAAAATGAATGCTTTCACCCCCACAAGTAACCAAAACAACACGTGTGCGACATTTAACTGTAATCAGTATACCATAATGATCCGAAGTTTATTCGAATGTGGTATGAATCAAGCAAATACTTGTATTGTCGAATCTTAGATCTTTTATGGCAAGATTTCAATGAAAAGTTATTAGAATGTTGGCACGATAAGAATAATGTAACAGCGATGTCGTTGACGAGAGTGGCGCGCGGTTTTACTAGACTTTTTTTGATAGCCAAGAGAAAGGCGCCACTATAAAACAGCGATGCTCGAAGTGCAAGTTAACATTCTAAAAGAGAACGGCGCCTAGTAGAACACGCCTGTAACAACGATGGAGACAAAAAATGTCAGATCTTAGATTCAACATTTTTCACATGGAACATAACAATGGAATAAGAGATTTCGGTAAAAAAAAACAAGAACAATACCAGTTGTACTTTGATAAAACAAAATTGCTATAAATTCATTGCCACTTGCTAATTACTGTACTTCTTTATGTATATGGTGCGCAAAAAAGTGACTATGGATCATCGTATTTCGAATACAAGTTGAAATTGTAAATTTTCAGTGAAATCATACTTTCCTTTATTAACTCTCGACATCTTAAGATAATATTTTTTTTTCCCTAGCTGTTACAATTTCAAAACAGAACTCGGTCCAATATTTTTGATAGTATAGATGGTTTACATTTAGGAGGACAATCAAATATTTTCCAAGTGACACGATTTCTGATGAGCCTGTAGGAACAGATACCTCGCAATATATGATTATCTTGATTCCATTGAATCTTAGATAAACAAAAATTGGATTACAGAATGAAAAATTACAAAACTTTATATTTGAAAGAGATAAATTTCATAGTTATTATCTTAATCGGAATTGTCCTTTTTCCCAGGTTACCTATACATCTGAAACTGATAAAACTGATCCCCATAGACTATTCGATTAAATAAATTCATTATTGATTTTATGGTTTTTCCAAGTTGATTGTATAGCCTTATTCACGTACAGTGTTCAACGCGATGTATTCTACAATGTTATTTTATCGCAAGATAAATTTTCCAAAAATTAGGCGACAATTGTTCCTATAAATTTAATCCGGATTGGGTAAGCATTCAACAAGGCATTTGGATACACACATACGATTTTGGATATTTGTCATGTGCTATTTTTAAAACGGATGTGCTAGACATCTGCATATATTCCTGTACCGTCTACATCTGGAACTTGATATTTCTTGTAAGCTTCAATTCAATAGGTTCAGCTGTTTATTTTGCCCATAGTTATATAGGCGTGCTTGTAAAATACCCAATATTTTGAATTTTGAATATAAGCTGTGTTGAAATTAGAAATACTGGAAATACATAAATGCTGATGTTCCGTCTACATCCGGAATTTGATATCCCCTATAAATTTTAACGCAATCTGTTTAGTAGCTTGTTTGGAATTTTGTATACAGAATTTTACGTGCATACAAATTTTTTTTTTATGGAGAATACATAACACACTCCCACTTCTCCCTTGCGGTCGTACATAAAAATTAATAACACGCTATTGAACATATTCAACGCCTCTTTTTTCTTGATTTACAGTGTCTGAAAATGGCGACTGTAAATCTGTAATTTTGTTGCCCGAAATTTTGGGCTTGAGTATAAGTAATTAATCATATTTACAACAATCGTATAAATAAATATATAATCATAGTGGTTCGAGCATCTAAGATATAATAACGTGATTATAATGATCAGTGCATATAAATTTATAATGAATATGATTTATTCATAACTAAATAATTCGATTGCTTTTTGCTTGTAATATAAAAAAGCATCAGCTCATTTTATAGGTAGATTAATGATATTTTTTTAATGTCTCATTTATCCTTGTTCTGGGAACTTATGGCCTCCAAATTAATCAAAGTAATATCGTTATTTACATAACGTATGTATCATTCTTTTACAACATTTACGTGAACATTTAGTATTCGTTAAGTCAGCACCATGGAACTGGTAAAAAAATACGAGAGAATATCGAACCAAGAACGTGTGAAGAAGACAGCAAACATGAAATCCGTAGAACTGAAAAAAAAATTGGTAACTCTACTGTCTATTTTTACGAGATGTAGAATAAATAGGATAATAAATGGACAAATCAAACCAAACGATTTTCAAGGTTTGGTTTCTAGCGTGCGTTTCGTAACTGCGTGGGTCTAAGCGGTTATTTCACCTCATCCTTAGATAATCGAAAAGTCACTTGAAATATCGAAATATTGAGTCTCGATACTTGATATTCGAAGAGGTCTTATTTAGAGGAATACGTCACTTTTGAACTCGAGAAAGAAAAGGACCCCATGACAAAACGTGTAAGATCAATGAGTGTTCAAAGGTTGATTAGTTCACGAGGTCGAGCATTTCGAAAAGTGTCAGGATGATTGACCGGCAATGAATGGCGGAATTATTATTAGCATTTAAAGGGGGAAGCAAACTGGTTTCTCATCCTGAGAAAAGCTGCCATATTACACGTAGTACACAGTATAGGTAAATGTACACGGCGACTGTATATACATTCGCGTGCAACGAGTTATGCAGAATTTGACAAATGGGTAAAAATGCATAGACCTATTGAACGAATATAATTGAAAGTTCAAGAACTTTTTGAAAATTAGAATAATTGAAAGGTTGTTTATTTGACCCAAGCATATGGTCACTATGTAAAATAATACGTATTTCGTAATGCTTGATATTAATAACTTCTGAAGAATTCTACGTTCTGCATAATTGCATTTTCACTAATCGATATTACAAGAGATACTCGTTAGGTTAAATTCTTTTTTGTTCGATACCTGCCACTGCGACAGGTGTAGCAGAGCTCGGACGGATATTGCGAAAGAGCGGTTTGATTTCGTGAAATTTTTCGTAATAAAATTGAATTCATAAGCAGTCCCATATTGGTTGACATTTGGTTTCCAGATTTGTCAGCTTGCTATAGCCTAGAAAGAAATAATTGATGTTGTTAGACCCGTAGGCACTCAGTCATGAAGATACATCATCAGTATAGTTATTATAGATTCCGTCAAAAAAAAATATAGGAATATAGAAAACAGAAAAAAATTACCAGAAAATTATTTTTAGGAATCCAAGGATCACGGATTTTGAAATTCATCCAAATCTCTTTTAATTCGTATAAAACCTGATGACCACAAACGGAGATCTAAATATATATAATTATTATAGGTTAAGGTGGGTAAATAAAAAAAATTGTTCTATGATTCTATGGTTCTATGATTTATATTTTACTCGTGACTGGGCCCTTTAAACACCCCAATGTCTACGCGCCTGAAGGTAAGCACAAAAGAAGAATCATGTGTTTCCTTTTACTTACTATGTGGGTACTGCACAGAACTGCAATATCATATTGAATTGGACCATTTTTACCTGTACGGTAGTTGAAATAAATGTCTCTTATAGAATTAGCCTTAATCGTTATTCGTCTTTATTCGAAAGGGAAAGTGAGCAAGTACGTTTAAAGGATTTGTAAATTGTTTGGACCATTCATAAAGTATGAAGTACGTTACACTAAATTCATTTAAAAATCATTTCTTTCAGATCGTACGTCTGCACGACGACATGAATGTACATAGCTTTGCGATGCTTTGCAAGACAGAGTATCTAAAGAATACAATTATTTCGCCACAATTACTATTGTAATATACATATATTACGACAACGCTATTGTATTAAATTGTCGATACCTTTCTATTGAAATACATATAGTTATTTGAATACGTTCTAACCTAAAAAAATTTGATGCCAATTAAAGATGCTGCTAAAAAAATATTTGAATACGATAGTTATAAATATTAGTCGCTCTGTAATAATCAATGTTTCGAAGTCATGATACAATCTTATCACTTCATAATGAACAAAAAAAGTTTTTTTGTAACAAAACACAAATCTTGATAACTAAATATCACAGGCTTAAGTAACATCCAATTCTTAGCTTAATTGCCAATTTGATTTCAGTTGATGTCAATAATATCCCCTTAATGATAAGTTATTTTACATAAATTATATATTAATACACTACTTTATATAAATATTTATATAAATTTATATAAATATGTAAAATATACTTAATACTAGACTTTAAATATATGTTTTCTAAAACTAAAATAACAATTAAGCTTAAAATATTATTTTTTTCATGATACAGACATTATTGCAGTATATACTTTACTAAAGTACAGGATACATGATCTGACCTAAAGTAAGTGTCAAATTGATATATGTTTAGCGGAGTATGAAAACTCATGCAGCATAATATTTTTTTTTTAATTTTTACAAAAGATATCAATGAGTTATGAGGATCTGTACATGCATATAAAAACCCATTAAAACTTTCTCGAATGCAGTTCGAATTTAACGTTGCTACCGACAACGTCGTTAATGGACGCCCGTCTTACCAGAGATAGGAAGATGCCATACCAAAAAAAATGGTATACTATCATGGATTCCATTTTGAATTATTAAGTGTATTTGCAACACGAGGCTTGTCTCCGGGTACGACGACGTATTTAAATTGGACTCACACATGGCCATGAGAACTTGTAGTATATCCACAAACGTTGAAATGGTGGGAAGCAAATTGAAGCAGCAAAACTCAATTAAAAATCTAGTTCTGCCAATGCCATTGGATTACGAAATGATTTGGGAGGAGCATCACTTTGTATAAAAGGTCGAAAGGACTCGGTATCTTTGCTCAACTTAGCACCAATCTTCATCCAGTCAACATGAAGCTCCTACTGGTGGTGAGTTTTCGCGAGTTCGTTAATCTCGTTATGATTCGTCCCAAGAACGAGTAAATAGTTTCTCCAAATAAAGATATTTTATTTAGAAAAATCGCGCATAAAAATAAATTACGTAAAATATGAAAACAAAGAGCCGATGAATCTTTTAAATCTACGAATCACTATTATTTCACTTTATCAATTATTATAGAATTTTAATTACGTACCATAAAAATTAGTCGAATTCTGATACCTATTATTTTTTTATATTTTTATATATTAAAACCAACGCTCGGTATAAAAATTTTCCGCGTATTTTGTTCGAAAATCGTTTTCGTTAAACGAGACTCGATGAAAAAATTGATACTGCAAGTGTGTTAAGACGAGTGAAAGCTTCGAGTAAATATTAATTCAAAGGATGCAGCAACTTTTCAAAAATGTCAACCGGCTTCTTTTATACTATAATATTCAATCGGAATTCGACTTAAATCTATTAAATTATGAATGGTGAAACCCCATACGTAATATTGCTTACATAAGAAGTTCAATAAACTTGTAATGGCCAATGAGATTGCATCAGAGCCGGTAAAACGACAATCCGCAGATGAATATATGTGAATGGATGACATATAAAGAATTTTGGATGCTCAATTACAAATGTCAGCGATATTCGTTAATATACGAAATCTGATTATTGAATCATTTCTTAAGGTCTGCCTTCTCGGCGTGGCCCTAGCTGCTCCAGCAGACAAACAAAAGAGGGATATCCTGCCTGGTGATTCTCGTTACAATAACGTTCATCATCATTATGATCACACTCTACATGAGAATGAAGTTGAAATTGCCAGAGCACTCGGAGGATACGCTGGTTCATTCTCCGTACCTGAGATTCAGTATGGACCGCCAAACTTTCTACCTGGTGTACCATTGACGAACAGTTATTTGGAACCAGTAATCAACAACGTTTCCCCGGCTCCAGTAACTTCTTACGGAGTTCCTCAGTTCAACGTTCAGGTAAATATCTTTTCTTAGCCATCTTTATGAATTATCTTGTTTTTTATTACTTATCGATTTGTAATCACTTTCGAATCTACAGAATACGGAACAGACCAAAACTGCTCAAGAGTCGCAAGGATCGTCTGTCGTAAAATCCGAATCTTCGAGCTCCGTTGAATCTTCGAGCTCCGTTGAAACTTCGCAGGAGAGTTCGTCTACGGCCGAGTCTCAAGATGAACAGCAAGCATCCAACAAAGGCTCTGAAGAGGAACAGACTGTCGTAATTAAATCTACTCCTCGGATACAAGAAGCACCTCAAGGTAAGAATTTCACGAATAATTTCAATCGTAAGCCTACTTAAAATATGGAAGGTTTGTTTAAAATGTAAAAATTTGATAATCGTAAGTCACGATGATGACTAATTGAAAAAATTTACTCTCGTTAATAGTTTTAATAAACCAGTGGTGTAACATTAGTATCTAATGACCAATGATGCCGTAATTGGCTAATCAGTTGACTCGAATTGCTTGTCAGTCATATGAAATAATTCTCTTTACTTTTACTAGCTGACGCCGCTCCTGCTCCCGTTGGCCCAGTAGCACCGGCCCAGGCAGTTCAAAGTAGTGCTGCCAAAAGTACAGCTACAGCAAATAGCTTCGGCTCTCTCGACAGTTCCCTTGGAGGCTCATTTGGATCATTCGACTCATTTAACTCCTTCTACAACCCCAGCAGCTTCCAGTCAGACTTTTCAAGCTTTCCTAGCTTCGAATCTCTGAACAATGTCAGATTCGATGCCTCGATTAACGCCCCAGCGTCTACTAGTCAATCTGTCGTTGGATCAAACGTGGCCGTCAAAAGCGAATCTTCCGGAAATGCTCAAGCAGCTTCTGTGGGATCATCATCCGAGTCAACCTCAGCTTCATTTGCAACAACTTCCGGAGTGAAGCAATCGATTCCTTCTTCGGGATACATTTCGCCATACAGCGTAACTGCTGCAGTGAACCAGGGCGTCCCACTCAGAACGTCGGACACCCACGTTTCGGTACAAGTTCCTCAGCCATACCCAGTGCCAGTGACGAAGAACGTACCCTACCCTGTTCCTGTACCCCAACCAGTCGAAGTACCAAAACCATATTACGTGCGTGTTCCTCATCCAGTTCGAGTTAGCGTAGACCATCCAGTTCCTGTTGAAGTTCCACGTGCTGTTCCTTACCCAGTTCCTCAGTACGTTCAAGTCAAAACTCCAGTGCCTCAACCGGTTCCAGTTCCAATTCCTCAACCCTATTCGGTAGACACTGACTTTCAATCATTCCAAATTCCTCAACATCATCTCAAGCTAGACTCCCCCTTCGTTGTTCCAAGCCAGTCTGTTGACATTTCCGCACTTTATTCTACACCCACGATATCTGATTCTCTACCTTCCTTCCCATCTCTTCCATCACTTCCATCTCTTCCATCTTTTCCATCTTTACCGTCCATTCCATCGATTCCATCAATTCCTTCTCCCCCATCTAACGCTTCTAACGATGACAAGGAATCTGTCTCTGTCGATGCACTCAAAAGCCAATTTCAACCTTCCCCATCCCCATCACCATCACCGGCACCTGCACCTGCAGCTGCACCTGCACCAAGCTCGTCAAGCTCTGCGAGCGGATACTCATCTTCCCAGGAGTATAGCCAACCCATTGGCTCAAACGGTGGTTACGTCTACTAACATGACTTCGTAAAGATGAAAACTCCATGAAAAACGAAATTGCCCTATTTTCGACAGAGCCTAACCAGCACTCGTTGAATAACGAACCGTAGAAATAATTGTTTGAAAAAGACCATCAATGATTACCTTAGTCCGATTATTACCACCATAACAGACAAAGTCGTCAATTGCTGCTCAGCTAAGAGAAAAATTCACTGTGTAACCTCATGAGGACCTTAAACATTATTTTCAAAATGACTTCTTGACAAAGAAGTATTCTGAAGATGAAGCTGAAGAAAAACTCGAAATAGGAAGAAGATCTGATAAAATTTGATCTTTGACATTTTTATTGGATTATCGCCTGAGACGTGCAAACGGTTTTTTTGTAATAGGGATGAGAATCAAGGTAGATAAGTCAGATGAAAGGCGCATGATAATTTTTTTATACGTAAATAAAATTTCTTTATAAAAAACATAAATTTCTACCTAATTCTATTTTGATTCAATATTTGATATTTCTCATTTACTTTGTTTCATACTAAACTTACCACAAATGACATTTTTTTTCGGGATTCATATTGGATCCTTTTGGACAATTCCAGGCTTTGCTGAATTCGTGTGAATTTTTTAAAACTTCTTTAAGTCTTACGTGACCGGGACAGTGTGAATCGAGGAGCATCCATTTTAGAGAAGCCGGTGTATATGTTTCACACCACAGCTGAAATAAAGTGTCCATTTACGATTAGCTAATACTTCTCATTATCATACTAATCCGTTTGGTTTTGGATTGCTGTGTCATCTGCCACATTAAGTATATACTGTATAAACATTTTCACGCAAAACATTCATTTTGTTTATGGATGTTACAAAAAAAAAACGACCAAGGACAGAGAGGGAAAGGAAGTTATAGTTAGTATAGTATAGAATTAATATGCTGAAGATATTTAAGAAGAAATAACACGTAAAGAATCTTGACTCACATGAGCAAAGCCTAAAAATAGCAGCTGCTCATGAGTTAGATGAGTGAATCCCGGAAGAAGAGACTCTTGGCCATGTTTGGTCACCCATCTTCTATAAGCAAGGACAGCTTCTGTCAAACCACCATTATCCGCTATATTTTCGCCCAAGGTCAATTCTCCATCCACGTAATCGTCCACCTGCGTGAAAGACAATGCCAGTAGTAATAATAATAACAACAACAACAACAACAACAACATTGCGAGTGGCGTAAGTAGAAAAACAGGCCGGAAAGACATGCCTCTATTTAGACCTGTTCCCTCTTACGCCCATCAGAGAATCAAGAATTTAGATTATAAATTAAGAGTGATTTATAAGTAGGTAACTTAAATAGAATTTTACACTTAGTAAACATTACTACATAGGTTATATTCTGATGGAATTATTAATATAAAGAAAAGGGGGGAAATTCAAAATTTCAAAAATTAAGTTCACCTCCTTTTCATAGTAGCTACCATACTGCTCCACGAAGCATTCAGCTCTCTCTGTATATTCAAAAATAGTCATGTTGCTCCACCACTGTCTGAGATTCCCATCGCCGTCGTACTGGCGGCCGCTGTTATCAAAACCATGGGTGAGTTCGTGACCTAACACGGTACCAATAGCACCGTAATTAAGAGCCCTAAAAAACAAGGATGAAAAATTCTTTTAAAAAATAATCATCTTCAGCCAGAGATAAATAAATCGAAATAAGAAGACATCTTAAACTTTATTACGTCTCTTACTCGAGTCCCAAGTCATAGAAGGGGAATTGCAAAATCCCAGCAGGAACGGCTGCGTCCACGTCAAAAGGGAAAGGTGTCATTCAATCTGTTCGTTCGATCGTATTCTTTTTTTTTTATCTAATTTTGCAAACGGAAGTGGCAGGGGCACAGCGCGATTCTCGAAGATTCTCAGAAAGACGAAAAACCGGTTTACGCGTTTGGCAAATTGGCCTCCGCACGTTTAACTCGGGTTCCGTAATTGCGAGTTTGCAATGTACCTACTTATTTGGTTCGCCTGAAAGGTGTGAAAGGCGTTCACATCGGTGGGGTCGGTCGCCCAGCTGTCAAACAATAAAGCACAGACTCCGTTTACTTAAATTCAATAAAATTTCGTGTCTCACAAGATTCCATACGATTTTCAAAGACAACGAAACACGAACGTACTACGTTTCGTTGGCAAAATTCTCATCGTGAAGACTCTCGAGCTCGTATTGGCTTCTCAGGTTTACGATTTGCAGCATGTTCTTCAGAAATGCATCCTTCAGAAAATCTATCTAAAAATGAGTCAACTATAAAATCCAATTACCAAAAAAGTAATAAATAAAACCTGTACAATATGACTCGTACACCCTCATAGTATTCGTCTATCTCTCCTTCCTCGAACAGCCAATTCGGATACCCGATCACCGACGCCATCTTCTTATTCTTCTCCAAAGTCGCAATTTTCGTCGATCTGTCCATCCAGTCGGTACTTATCACCAAGGAGGCGAATGACTCTCGAATGTCCTCCACCATCTCTCGAACCTTTGGACCCTTCTCTTTATGAAAATCCGGATCCACAAACAGCCACGACACAGCCATACCTGAGGACCGCACGTTATTTGGCGTATCAGCAAATAAAGTTCAACTACATTCATATAGGAGAATAATTGACAAGAATCGTCGTTTGAAATAGTATTAAAAATACATAAAACTTGAAAAAATAACTACATAGTGTAAAACTGTAATAACATCGTATGAAACGTATCATGTGACACGCGATTCATTCATATCATATGAATCAAGGTCATATGTATAAATTACAGTAAATAGATTAAATGCTTTAACCATCGTTATCAACAATACCATATTTTCTGTTTTGCTGAAATAAGGACACGATCGAAGTTGGAATGAGTGCAAAATTCATAATTTCACTAACCCATCAGCTGATTGACAGCTCGTGCGCAATGAAGCGACCTGGAGTCAGTTATTTCCACGTCAATTAACAAAGATAAATGGGTCAACCATATTTTTCGAAGATTTTCCGAGGAATGTGGTACTACAGTGTCTACGACGACCCACCAGATAACAGTTTCTAAAAAAAAATCGATTTGTAAATATATATTCAATGTATATATAATTACTACCAACTCGTACCTAAGACTACTTCATCGGCCGCAGCTAACAAGACTGCCAATTTTTTTAAGTAATCCAGGTTACCAATTAGCACTCGGTCCTTGCTCGTAAGGTCCAATTGGGAATCGCCTTTGAAAAGTTCTTCAACGTACGGTCGCCATATTTGCCTTGGTGTTAACGTTGAGTTTGTTATTTGCACGTATTCGTCAGTCATCTTTTGAAGATCGTCAACGAGCATGTAATCCTCATCTTTGAGATCTTCATCGGAGCTTGTCTCATTGTCATCAGAATGAACCAACTGAATAAAGAATTTTCTTTATTTTTGAACTTTTCCGGTTTACGTGTATACTTACGTAATAAACGATCTCGCTTAGCTTGTAAATATTGTCAACTGTCTGTCTCAGTTCTTCGTCGCTTATATTTTTCATAGTATTAACAGAACAAGACTTTGAAGTTCCGTTACTGATAACGTCCTTCATAACTTCGTACATGTATATTTTTTCAGGACTCGAGAGTCCCTCTTCAGCGCCTTCAGGTACCTCTTCGACCTTACGCATGCTTTGCTTCACCATCTGCAGTCTTTTGTCCAATTCTTTGTCGCTTTGGAAATTATTTTAAATTAAGAAGTAATTTCATATGAAAATAATGATAATTAAAGTTATTAGATTTGTGTTAAAGGAAACTGTCTCACCTTGGAAGAGGACTGCTTGTATCTGGCGTGTCTAGGATTATAACATTCCTGCTTTTGTTTCTTGGATCGAGATATATTTCTAAACCGAAAAATATATCTCGTCCCAACTTTTTTTTAACCCTTGCCATCTGAACCAAAAAATTGCCAGTCCCGCCACTGAATGCAGCAGGTATTCGTGGAAGCCCCAAATCCTCAAGCAAATCAAAAAGTGGTGACAATCCCAAAGAATTCATTGAATCTGAAAGAATCGACACAGTAAATTCGTACCAAGTTTAAGTATCCTTTATCACTCTTGTCAATTTTACAAATAAATCAGTGTTAAACGAACCCACATCGTTGCAGCTCTCATACAATATTTTCGCTTGTTCGACAGCCCATGGTATTTTGGTAGTTGTATTTTTTTTCAAAAGATCTCGAATCGTCCTGGACACGCGTATGGAACGTTCGCTGAACCAGGAATTTGTTACACTGGATTCCGGCGTCGGGTGTTCCAATGGCCATCTACCACAAACATATCTAAAAACAATTTTGAAAATTGATAAAATAATATTCCATCACCCACAAAGGTAGCTTGCAATCAATCTCCGAAAAAAGTATACTTTTCAAAAAGCAAGGAGAACCTCTTAAAAAATATTACTCACGTGTAAAAATCATCGCAAGGATCTATAGACGTGTCCATAGATTCTTTCAAACTAGCAGCTAAGTAATGCAAATTTAATGTAAGAATGAATAATCCACGTGATAATGCACTATCTGATCGTCTTATAGCTTTAGATAATTGTTTCTCTATATTCTTACCTATTCTAACGCAATTTTCAGTGTGGCATTGATCCAAATTCCGTTTCGATTTCATATCTAAAACATAGGTAAGCACTATAGAAGCGACAATCGATATACCAGAATAAAAGGAAACCCTTAAGAAAAATAGTCGTACATTCTAACAATAAAAACAATAATTTAATACGTACAAAGGACAGAAAGTAATATCACGACCAGCAATAGGATAGCTACGAGTAAAGCTAGAAAACTGGTAAGTAAACCGATAGGCTTTTTCCTCCTCTTAAAACTGAAATATAGAGCATCGATTAATATAAACTATATCGATTTTAAGAAAAATGTCTCTGCATGGAATTAATAAACTTTTTCTCTATACTTATTACGTATCAGTCATCAACTGTCTCTTACTACGTATCCCTTGATTTAATTGGAACTAAATTTGTCTCGCTGCCGACAGAGTACACTGAGAGTGCGTCATTTTCTGAAATTCAAAAAAAAATTTCAAAATACCTTTCTGCCTATCGTTAAACTAAATTTCATATATGTATAAATTTAAGCTGTCCACATCAGTTTACTAAACAATCACTACGTTACAACAGCTAAAAATGTTAATTAAAATCGACACCGTGCCTGGTTGTTGAATGCTTGTTTGAATTTATTTAAACATTAATTTAAATCCTCTGTCAATCTAGAATTTCCTAAAGTCAACGGAATCGTACACGAATACTCACTGTGTTCGTTGTTCATGCTGAATGGCCCAACGACCGGATCGAACTGACGACACTGAACATCGTGGCTGGACAACCGAGTGTCCATACATTCACATTTTCCCGGGGTCAGTGGTTCTCCGTAGTCAATTATTCTTCAGTCTTCTTCGATCGTCAAGTTTTATAGTCCCGGCAGATAAGAATCGCGTGATATCCCAAAAGGACGATGAATCGAGTACGTACAAGTCGTAGATACAAGTAATGATAAGAGGTACGTCAAATAGTCTTTCTCGATAAAAATTATTATTTCGGACATGTAAGAAGTACTATGACACGATTACGTATTCGCGGTACAATTTACTATGAGAAATAAAAGAACTAAAGAATTTTTTATTCATAAGGACGACGAAGTGAAGAAACGTTATTTTTTCATAATGCTCAAACAAGTTTTTCTTGTAGATTGAGTTTTATGAATGATATATGTACACAAATTGTGTACGTGTTTATACCAGTTGGCATATTCGATCAGCAATTGGCGTACAGTACAAAGCTTGAATCGATTGTTTAGTAATGACTAATTCATCAGTTTTGTGGTTTGCGACCTTAGACTTTGCGAAGTACAGTTAGAATTGTAATTATTAAGAACTATATTTGTTTGACAAAGTGGACAAATATTACTTGGATATAAAGTCTCGTATTTTCAACATTACACGTAATAATTTTGTGTCTGATTGTCAGGTGATAAGGATCAATGCATGATGACTTCGTCCAACTGATAACTTATAAACAAGTCCGTCTTGACTATACGTGTCTGGTTAGGAATAAAAAAAAACACGTTATCTCATCCATGGTAGTATAATTTGTCTTAAATAAATGTTTTCCAAGTGACCCCATTTGTTATTTCCCAAATGTATTTTTATGCTCGAAAATTAGTATGCATGCCTACCTTTCCACTAAGTGCTGTACAAACTGCGCCTGTGAAAATTTATATCTGCCGATCAAAGTCCTGACTGAAATTGTATATGGGAAATGGATATCTACAAGACGCATGCTACGTCTATTCAGGTAATTGCTAAGCTGTAACTTGTGCTGCAAGGAATAAACCGCCTTCGGGCACATTCTTTAAATCTCCTTTTCCTTGCGCTACATTCTACGTTCTGCAAATGGGCGTAGAATCAAGAAACTGTAAATGCATAATCATTTCAGCTTGATTTATGTTCAGTTCCAAAAAGAAAATCTTTCCTATAACTCGCGTATCTACGATACCTGAAAAGAAACGTTGGCAGAGTTACTAGAGATTAATTTACCACCTGAAACTGCCTCTGGGAATGCAGCAAGTCGCGTTAACTTTAGGTGGTAGAGCTACACCTGACAATAACTCCATATGAATCTGATACTTGGCCTGTTACAGAAATAAAATTAATTAAGGGCTTGGTCGTTGACACAGCCGTGGAGACTCCATAAGAAATCGTATTTTTGTCTGCTTTGCACAAATTAAACATTAGTAATGGTGTCCATGACTGGTACAGTATCAAAAAGAAAGAATTAATTAAGGGAGTAGGCTCAGTCGTAGACACAGTAATGGACACTCCATAGAAAATCAGATTTTCGTCTCATTTGCACGCATTGTACATCGGTAGTAGGTCCACGACTGCTACAGAATAAACGATCGGACCCAATAATTTATATGAAAAAAAGGAACCAAAATAAATATAAAATAATTAATAATAACTCGCAGAAATTTTATTCTTGAACAGACTATCGATAAAATTGTACCTCAGTGTTTCCGAAATTGATAATTCACGTAAAATATCACGGCCTAAAAAGTATTGATAAAAATTTATTTAAACGTTTCATCAATCATGAGAATTGTCAAATGAAGATACTGGAAATAGAAACGAACACTATCAATTATGCAAACTGTGATAATGAAAAAAAAAAAGATCGAGTTGACACGTGGATGGCTCCACTACATCAACACACTACGTGCTCCTACATCAAACACGGAAATGTATGACTCTAGGTCATTATGGAACACGGTTAACGTAAACGTGTGTTTGGAAAACACGTTTCCTTGGTAACTTCAAATTGATTTGTATCCCTTAGATACTTAACTGACACAGAATGGCTAAGTGCTTGCTGTTTGCATGCCCATAACATTAAACATGATGACGTTAATGGATGCCATTACGAAAGAAACAACAAACCGGAAACGGAACTCGAAGTCCTAGGCTACTAATTCTAAGTGTAACTTCGACACTATTTGAAAACCGAAACTAACTCATATCTTTCCATTGGTTAATATCCTTCGTAAATTTCGTATATTTTTATGTTAAAACTTCGTTACCAAAGTACGTTCATGATTAAGCTAAGTTGTTTCCCCGTAAATCTCTTGCACAGCACTCAGACTGATCTGTAAATGAATTTTATGGCACCTAATGAGGCTCCAATCATTAGGAGACTACAGCTAACAGTAATTGCAAAAACAAACTTCTGGTTGAGTAAAAGCACCCGAGATACCTGATTTAAAAAAAAAAGAGTGTCTCTTGATTCCCTTCAACGACGCTTATGGTATTTACTGTAATTATTGAAAAAATAATTGTTAAAGTGGAATACACATATGGGTATGAGTAAAACTATGATTATCCATTTTATCACAAGACATAAAAATTAAATTTTATTAGACAATAAATTAAAATGTGAAAAGGGGGATCGCATAAGAACAAAAAAAATATACAATAGGGCTCTGACGCTGATGCGTGGTGTCTTCTTCAATATCACATGCCGCACAAGAAGAATACACAGAGTGTCGAAAGGACTGAGTAGAGGGGGTGTAGAAAAGAGAAATAGATTTTTTAGTTCGAATGCCAGGTCTGTGGCCCTTGGACAGTCCATCGATCGCCGAACTCATTCCCAGTTCATTTTCACCTTCTAAGATGTCATTTTCAAATTTTCATTGCGAATTCCGTAGTTTTTCGAGATGCTCTATAGAAACGTCGCGTTGTTTACCGATTGTATTATTCTTTCCTATGAGATGAACTAACAACGAGTGAATTTTTGCTCGCTGATATTGCTCGACTCCATGTCTTGTCAAAAGAGCATCTGAGAATATCATATAAAACTATACAGATTATTTCTACTTCGCACTATTCTAGAAGGGAGCTGCGAAATAGCTCAGCAGGACCAACCATGAACCACCATGGACCAACGTGAACCAGCAAGTTCAGCGATCAGCCTGTAGAAGCTTGATCTACCATGGATGAACCGGAGCAGAAACGTGGACTGGCTTAGCAACGACGGCATGCTTGGCGTATACTGGGGCAGGTTCTGGGGCGGCGACCTCAAAACCTATTAGATGTGGAGTATGGATTTTCACAGGTCCCGTAGGCAGTCTGACCGACTGAGTATGAGGCACCTTGATGTTCAATGGCTGAGGATGTAGAGGTGGAATCGGAGCTGGCTGGGGCACCTTTATGACTTGCTGATGGACAGCGACAGGGTGAGCATGGACTATCGGTGCAGCTGCAACCTTCACGATTGGAGCTGCGTAAACCTGGATATCGGTAAAAAACATTGTGCATGGTTAATAATTTGTTTTAATAAAATTTCATTACTGCTTTTAGCCTTTCAAAGGAGATGTATAACTAAGTCTAAGGGGAGGACCATAAAACTTTTCAATCACACGTACTGATACCTCATCGAATCTGATCTTACTTGCTTCCCTTACAATTAGTATTTTAATTTTACCTGATGATGTCCTACTGGCGCAGAAACGTAAGACTGATGTTCCTGTACGTACGGAACGACGTGAGGAGCCGAAGCGTAGGAAACCTATGTTTTTCAGAAAAGTATGTTTGTACTAATTGACTATTTCGACACCTCAAACGTCCGAGCACTTCGACGGTTGAGGTTATGTTTGTAAGACGTGGCATTAGGAGCACGATCACTGGCAGTTATGAGTCGAGTGGTTAAAAATGTCCCAAACGTACCGTTTAAAAGTCTGGGTTACGTATTACAATATGATGAAGAAACTAGAAGTCAGATTGGACCAGGTCCAAAAAGAACCACCACTACGATTCAAAGAAACGCGTTTACGATATGAAGATAATCCAAAAGAATGATTAAATCCTAATAACTCTATGATCAAATTAGGTATGAAACCAAAGTGGAATGGTCGTTACGATGCATGGTACAAATATTCTATGTAAACCTACGTATTAATCTGTTAGTTAATGAAATTAATTGTATTATAAGAATCGTTCGTTACCTGATGAGATGATGCCCAAGGATCAACATACCCAGGGTGCGCCCTGGCGGCCATCACAACAGCGAACAAAACAATCTGTAATGAAAAATACAACAGATACAAAAAACGTTTTTAGAAAAAGTTACAGTTTCAACAATTTTCAAATTTACACACAATAGGTACTCGACGCTAATACAGTAAATTAACAAATGGACCAAATGTTTACATAGGATCCCAAAGTGCTATTCTAAAAATTGTATGTTACTATATTAAAATCATAAAATGGAAAATTCAAATTGTACAGATAACGTCGTTTTGACATTTCGAGCAGATACAGACTCGGACCAATCTCACGATTTGAGTGATAGCAACAAGCAAATCTCTGGAGGAACTTACAGCCAGCTTCATGGTGGACGGTTTTTCTTGTGCGATACACTGGAAAATACTACGTGTCTAAGGGGCAGCACCGTTTGCTTTTATAGTGAGGCCCTGCCCAAGTCTAGGTAGATAGAATGAAGCGGGGGCTAGCGGAATAGCGTATAGTGTATTACATCCAGACCCCTTTCACCTTACCGATCGACCCTTCGGTTCTCCTTCGGAGGCCACTACCCGGGGTACTTCGCTTCCGGATTACGCAGTAGCCGCCATACCGATGCATTAAGATGCCCAAGATGTTCGGGAAGAACATTTTTAACGTCAATTTCATCACTTAACGGACTTGGTTCAGGATCCATCATGATGGTTGATCTACTTTATAAAATTCTCACCTTGGCATCGTTTACTAAGCAGTCTCTTTGCACCTCCCTCTGGTGCATGTGCTCCTTTTCGAGAAAACTAGAAGTTTGCATGATACGATCTTAGCTAACGTGCCCTCAAACTGCAACGTACGTCAAATACAATTTTTGTTGCGTTAGATCGTAACAAATTATTTGTCAATGGAATTTAACATTTATACGACTGGTTGGTAAAATTGAATCTATGATTATTTCACAATGGTGATCATTATTCATAATTATATTAAGGAATACGTAAATCAATCTAGATATCAGCGTACCAAATCTCTAATATTGTCATATCAACTCTCGTTATGCAATTACTATGATAAACATGCCATATGATATTATGATAAATGTACCGTATATATTTATGATAAATATTTATATATGAAGTTATTCCGTAGCGCCGTACCAACAGAAGTTAACCCGTCCACTTGATTTTTATAGTAAGCAAGTTTTATTAGTGCTACAGTTCTTGATAATTCAGTATAACATGTATTTGTAGCCTTTCAATATAATTCTAATATAATAATATATACTTTATTGGAAGTAACGAAAAAATCATTTGCTACTATATTTATTCAATACAACATATAGAATTTATATAAAGAGCAATAATAAATGACAAGTCTTGGTACTGAAATTATAAAGTAAATAGTCAATAAAATAATCAAAATATTAATCAATAAATAATTTTGTTCATAATTTAATAATATCAGCCACTTAAATCATTTGTTTCATTAAACCAGAATTTCGTTTCATAAAAATAACTTTTATAATTAAAACTTAAAATGACCATGATAGGCAGCATTATACATAACACCAATTGTCGTATCTCAACTGATTACATTTTTAGCATTATTATCAATGCATGTAATTATTTAACGAAATATATCAATAATATGGATGGTATTACAAATAAGATTATGGTTCTGGATCTGTGCGTTCCTCCATCGTCAGCGACTGGAATAAATTTTCGAGATATTACCAATTACTTTGTAAACCAATTACCTTGGCTGTTGCACAACCCACACTTTTAAGACACCCCAGTGCGCGGATGTTAACGCGCGAGGATAAAGTTGCAAAATCTGGAAAGTTGAACGATTCCTATTATTTTGTAACGCGTCAGTTATGCTTGGATTACAGACCGTTGACCCAACAAGTATATTGTCCATGTGAGACGCAGAAATAATATTTTTCTGCACGCCTCATAAACGACACGCTCCACAGAACAAATGTAAAGTCAAAATGCATTTGTATTACAATCACGAGGAATTGCTGTGAATAAAGCAGCCATCCCTAGACCTTGTTTGCGTCATTTGACATAATTCATAAACAAGTGGATTTCCATGTATAATATATTGAAATAGTAAGTTAACATTCGTAGAATCGAATAAACAAGTCAGTAACACCAATAAGGGAGGTTGAATAACTTGATCATTATATTCTTACGATTAATGACGATTTGCATTTATCACTGTGAATATTGATTTAAAAATTTGAAAAATTTCAAGGCGACTCGATCTGGAATCTGACGATATACATATGTCACCAATAATCTATAACCAAGCCCCTTGAACATAGTTTAACGCGTACCAGATAAACTCAACCACTTGCAATTCCACATATATCCATAGCAGGTATCCCAACTCCAATGCGATGTAAGAAAACAAGCCATGCGGGATAATAAATATCAAGATAAATTCGTATAGGAGTGATGACTTGAGGTAAAGGATTTGACGTAGTTTAACCTTTTTGAGGAGTGCAAGAGGGAACAAGGTACACGGACATTATAGAATTGATTTGATTTAAAAAAAAATTTTTTTTGCCACCCCCTTCCTTCATCCTCGTTACTTTGCTAGAATGTCAATGAGTGACACCCATTTATTTTCAGTAAAATTAAATGAGTCTGCGATTAGCTGGTTAGGTTCTAAGACCATGTGCTCCAGATTCGAATCCCAAGGATGGCGATTGCGAGACTCCTGTGGGCCCCGAGGCTACACAGATTCCCATATCTGCGAGCCAAGCCAACACTAAAGTCTAGAAAGTAAACTCCCATCTAAACTACGCCTTGGTGCTGGCCATTTAATCCTTTAATTATAGACTGCATGGTCAGTCACGTGGCCAAGGAAGGTTCTCCCTTATTTCAGAATCCCTGATTTTTTAGCTCCCTTGGCTTAAGCACTGCGCGCTCAATCTGTACGTATCGGATGTATCGAAAAACCTGTAATAATTAATACTATTTTACTAATCTGGCATCTTATCTCGTGCATCTTATACACGGAAATTACAGACCATGTATCTTCAAGGGTGATCGAATTTCATATACATAAAGAGTGCACGAGTCTGTTTCATTGGTTCCCGATATATGTCACAGATTGCCGGTAGTCAATGCTGCACAGTTACTGTTATCGGATAAAATTACATGTGTCACCATTTTCTGTATTTCTGTGGCATTTATAAAATCCCTTGGAACAAGATATAAATCAGAGTCGCCACCCTTGAAGCGAGTGACATTACGAATGTCAAAGTGAAATAGCAATGGGGAATTCCCAGAATAGCATAATGGTCTTAAGGTGTATGGAAGCGTCGTGCTCAGACTTATTATGAATCCTTCGTTAATCGGCTTAAATACACGACCATTCAATTCCACTGCAATTATGAAGTGTACGTGCAGCAAGAACAAAAGTCCCCGTCGCCAAAGACAATAAAGTCAATATTGTTGAACAGCGTGAACAGCTGAAGTATCCGAGGCTGAACATTGATCGACAAGAGACTTTTTTTACAAGGTGCGAAAAGGGTTAGCTTGGTCATAACGTTACCCCATAGTTATGCATATGGGAGCGTCTCGACTGAAGTACGTAAAATAAGTATCCCGTACCTGTACTTGGTATTTCGAAGAAAATTCCGTAGCAGCGAACGTACCTTCCTCGAACTTTCATGAGGAGCTCCCGTTTCGCAGATCATAATTTGTCCGGAAGACTGTGTGGATAAGTTTTGTGGCAGCACCATCGCGCGGCTCCGTGAAATACAGCGCCAGCGTCATTACAATGTAATTCGTGATCGCAATGTTTAGCACGGACGGACGCAGCTCATACTTTCCACGCGAAAGTACGAACATTACGCGTCCCGGAAGAAAACATGGCGGTTTGACGTAATGGGAGCGGTGCCTCGTAAACTTCTATAATTCGGCTCGTAAAATTGCGCGATTCTCTTGTGCCGCTGCGCATTTGGAATCCTTTGGATCTTACGTGGCTGTAATTTCAATCTAATGTAATTGGAGGTCTTATGCGCTGATACTAATGGTAGGGTACTGTTCGGAGCAAGGACGATTTTCAATGGAACTGGTTCATCGAAGCTTGTTGCAGGTTACCTTTACTCGCTCGTTTTCCAGTCGCTGAATCATGGAGACAAGAGTAATCTACTCTCCATGCGCTGAATCTTCGAGAGTCGTATCGAGGTATCGAGTGTAATGCATGTACGACATCCGTTGTGCAATATCATGATGCTGTACTGTATCTGTACTGTACCAAACAGCGGACCGAATGACGGCACGATTTGAGGAACACTAATTATTTTTAGAAAGGGGTCGTAATCGCTAAGAGTTACCTGGTTTATATTTTATCGAGGAAGCCGGTAGTGTTTCAAATTTTTCAAGAATGCTTGAGAGTAAGACTCAAAGAATTAAGCATATAGTCACGATGACTTTGACAATCGATATGATGTTTTTTCATCATTTTTAATTTGTATGAAAAAAAAAGGTTAGGCAGTAATGGATTAAGCAGCATGTTAATGGAGATTTGATTAATAAAAAAGCCAAGCAAATTTGTATAAATAAAAATGTAAGAATTGCGAAACAAATTTCAAATTATTGACCAACTTCAATTTTCTTTAATAATATGGGCAGTGAAAGAGCTATGTATAAAGTAGCTATATGGTAACTAAAATTAAGCAACTCACGGTACTGCTGCATTAGTACTCTGCTATTTATTCAAACAACGAACTTTTTTTTTAACGATGGCATAGATTTAACTTGTTTAGCAACCATTGCATCACCTGCATTGTATTGGGTTCTAAGTTGATTGCTGGTAAAACGTAATGCAAAAGTGAAGTCTATGTATGATTTTGTACAACACGAGGAGAGATAGGAATAATAAAATTAAAATATATTTTACTGTTCAGTAAATACTTCTATAACAAAATTATTCATTAATACAAAATGATTCAGATGCATGGTTCGACCTTAAAAATTAAATTGACAGGTTAACCACAGTTGACGTGAATCTCCTGAATAACTGTCTAGGATCATTAATATATACGGAAATTCATCGAATGATTAAATAATTATGGAAACAAGAATTAAAATTAAATCGTATTCAAATGTACGAAACGTTCAAAGTAATGATAACGAGATTATGTTTTGCAAAATCTGTTCTTCAACTTTTGTAATTTTTCTATTTATCTATGTATTTAGGTGTTGCTTATAGCTCGACTTATTTTATTAAATTGGCTTTATTCCCCAGACCAAGACGATTGGCAGATTAGTACCTCGTGGAATGGAATTAGTCTGCATTGATGCACAACAGAATGGTGTGTTCTAAAACTTATTGCAACTGCTCTGAATATTATGCTATCTTTTTTTTTCTATGATATACCTAACAAAGAGTCAACGATTTTCGCGGTTGTCCCAATAAGTTTTTGAACACACTCACAGATGGAGATACAGAGGCAATTGCAAATGGCCGCCACGTCAAAAAATCACATCATAGAAAAACAAAAGTTCCACATTTCGTGTATTTCTGTATTAGCCTAATTTTCAAGTATAATTGTGTACGTAAATATTATCAGTATGTTGTCCGTAGATAGCAACAGAATGCTTCATGAAGAAGTGAGTAAAACTCTGTATACGAGATTATTATTCTACTCGGAAAAACATGTGAAATAAGGTTATCTAACGTATTTCTAAAATAAATTTACCGTGAATTGAACAGTTTGTATCGATTTTGACAATAGGTTTACAGGAATCTTTATAGATGAATTTAATTTTCAAAGCATCCCAAAAATATTTCTTAAATCGAAGTAAACAATACTCTAAATTTGAATTTATCTCACACGTGTTTGAAGATAACTTCCACATGTTTAATATTTTACAGAATATTATTAACCACCCTTGCTCAAGGTTTAAATGCCATAACCTTCTTAGTTCCATATTTATACTTTTACAAACATGATAAATCTGATGATTTATTTAGAAATTCATTATTTTCATTAGTTATATGCATAAAGTGATAAGATATGACTATGTAGGATGAGGCTAGTGAAAATGGATCAGATGAGTATCCAAGGATACCTGTGTCGTCGTTGGATGGTCGTAAAGAATGGACTTACACAATGCGACGAAGCATGCAGGTACAAAATATGTACATAATATTACATATGCAGGTTGATATCAATAATAGTACTTATTTGAAGCTTTGTTGCAGTATCGTTAGATCCGAGTAGAAAGATTTCGATTCTATATTCAACCGAAAATGTTTTTGATGTACCAGGAGGTAGTCCCAGGTCTGTACCTTGGCCCATACAGTGCTGCAAGCCGCTCAAAATTGCAATCTTTACTGGAGCATGGCATAACTCACATAGTTTGTGTTCGACAGGACATCGAAGCTCACTTCATAAGACCAAACTTTCCTGACACATTTAAGTGAGTACTCCCTGCAACTATGTCTATCGTTTACATATTAATTTAATCTATGAAAGATATTTGCGTGCAACTTACAGATATCTAATATTGGATATTGCTGACACTGCCACAGAAAATATAATCCAGCACTTTCAAAGGGTAAAAACTTTCATAGATGAAAGTTTAAAATCTGGTGGTCAAGTTCTAGTCCATGGTAATGCTGGTATTTCTAGATCAGCAGCATTGGTCCTAGCCTATGTTATGGAGACATATGGTCTTACGCAAACGTAGGTTTACATTTATTTGACATGATAAAAGGCTGCATTTAATTCAACTCACAAAGCAAGATGTTACAGGGAAGCATATGCAATAGTACAACAAAGAAGATTTTGTATAAATCCTAATGAAGGTTTCATGGCCCAATTAAGAGAATACGAACCAATATATCAAGCACAAAAGACTTTGAGGAATGGACAACAAAGTTCCGCAAGACAACGAAGCAAACGGACTATCCATCAAATGGATGCAGAACGTAATGAAGACAGATCTGATGCAATGGATAGTTGATAACCGAGATCTAAGTACCAAAGTTACCAAAAGACTTACCATAGACTAGCAACATGAACTATAGGCCTGAAACAGGTAGTGTGTTGGTTACCACCATCTTCCTCAGTACACTGGACTATGAAATGTATATCCTTGTAATGATGGATATACCAATGTAATATACTAATTCCAATGAGCATCTCTTCAGAGATTGTAAGAAAAATACTTTATATGGGAAATTAAGTTAAAGATTTTTATAGTACTCATGTGCTCGACTTTAAACCATGTTACCAACGCAGCTTCAAACAAAATTCAAAAGCTTCAAGTTTCTTGGTACCTCTCCTACAACTATCTTTATACATTTAGAATTGTTCAAGAATAACGCATTGCCTGAATATAGTCCGTCCATATGGTTTCTATGATAGAACTAACTTCAGTTAGTGCGTCAGTCCTGAATAACACTTATATGTAGAACGCATCTTTTTACAAATGTCGAAAAAAGCTCATCCCTTCTTGGATACTCTATTTTTTATTTATTATTCGTTTAAGTTGTTGTTAATCACATGTAATAAAATACATATGATATTTTCAAGTTTCTGCGTCTTCTCAGTCACCGACTGATTATACCAAATAATTATGATTAGTATCGTATGCCCAATGTTAGATAAAGTACATATATTTATTACATTTGATTATGTGAACTTTAGAAGAATTCATTATCATTTTAAAAGCCATATCATAATTGGAATAACCTATCTCCTATGCTTATAAGACTCTCGTCACATTGTCGTTAGTCTTATACGAGTTTTGCAGGAATGAAAATGCATATGATGTCATTTTTATTCTCGTCTTGTAACTCCCATTTCACGGTAACTGATACCTTAAATAGAAAAAAAAAGTTATGATTATAAGACTAGGAAAAAAAATAGTAACTTGCGGACCACGCATTTCTTATTGATACATCCAGAATACCTTGGGATATTTTTTATATATAGGTAAGGTTGCTTTGTAATTGTATAATTTGCCTGTTTGCAAAGGACAAGTAATGCCAGAATCAGAATTGGCACAGGCGTCAGCATTTGGTATCGGAAATGGTACGGGGATGTCCATCAAAATACCGTGCACTACCGTGTTCACGTTTGAAATGTCTCGATCTATAATTTTAGGATATTAGTTCATGCAAGAGCCCGTAAAAGAATAGGTGCAAAGTAAAAAAAAAAGCGATAACTCGCCTATCGTGAAGGCAATGTCAATGGTTGCGTTACTGCCTCGCCTCAAATTGCATGTAGAGGCAGTCTCAGTACAGTTCGTCACAGACACTTGTGTAAAGTTGCCTAATTTGGAACCTGAAAATAGAAACATTGAAAAGAAAATGCTAAATTGAGTATTATGTAAGCGGGATAGAACAAAAAATCAGCATTGCATGTACAATTAAATTCTGGGTTTATATTGCTATACTAGGTGAAAGACTATAATTCATATATGTAGCAACGAATTATACAATCGTTTCAATTCGCATATTTTAGAATTCCTACCTAATAGCACTAGTTGTGTAACATGAGTACTGTCATTTTCATTTTTTACTTTTCAATCTGATACGAAATTTAATCTTCACGATATACATATACGTAATAAACGTAGTCTATTGTTGATAAAATAAAAACAACGCGAAGTATGTATAACCTTTGTGAAAAAGCATATTTTATTTGAGTGACGCGTTTTTATAAAACAACACAGAAAATGCCTTTAGAATTGAGAACCTCTAATGAAACTGCATATCTATTTATTAAATGACTGTTTGTTACTGAACAAAAAAACAATTTAAGCAATACGTCGTTTGCGCACGCAACAGGATACCGCATGAGGGCATCAACGAAAGTATCTAATAAAAAAAAATACAATTTATAACGCGCTTTATCAATGCTATCATTCATTTTATATATTCTTCATAAATATAAAAAGATAACCTTTGATTTGATGCAAGTGTTGTTTTTTGAAAAATCGAAAACTTAATTTATACTATACTACGTTATGATTATCCCTTAAACGTCTTAGCGTACAAAACTATATCACAGAACAATGCTTTATAGTGTTTGCATGAAAGAAGGATCTATGAGAGAAAGAAATATTAAAACTGATTCAAGTTAGTGCAAATACGTGCATATTTAATCAGTTCCATGCAGTATAAAAAATTGTAGAATTTATATAATTTAATCCACAAGTGAATTTTACGGCCTGAATAGTACATCACGTAATTATCTCTATAGTTATTATAACACACGGTCTAATGCATTCTTTCTACTGTTAAAAATACTTAAAAGGGGAGAGTAAACGTGTTAATTTCACTTACCGCAATCTATAAAAGTAGCGTTGTTTAATGCAAAGATGCACAAAAGGACGACTAAAATTTTCGTATACATGTTGCCTGTGTAACTTTCAATTCTCAATTGAAACTGATGTACAGAATGTGACGCTGTAAAATATTTCCACAAGACAACGTGATTCATGCACGACATGTATTATCGGCAGAGAAACAATTTGGCAGATATCAACATACCACAAACTGGGTTTCACGTCACACTAGGTTAGAACGCTGCTTCATTATACGTTGCTTTTGACAAGATATTTGTTGTTAATTCTATTTAAACGTTAATTGCCTTTGACTGATGATATTTATTTTGTCCAAACTTGTCACGTGATGTGATTATCGTCTATACCGACTGGGGTATGTTCGAAATGGCCGTCCGAGGACCTTTGTTCTCTTTTAAACCTTATCTTAGCACGTGGTTAAGACAAAGAAGAGAGTTGTCCCAGACGAACACTCCGTACCACTATGAAAGTACCCCTATCAGCCTATAAAACAAGCAGCGTCCTTTGAAAATTAAATGAGATATAGGATTCACTTTCATTTAAACAATAATGATTATCTGAATTTAATAATAATAAGATACTTATATAAATGTTCAATGACGTGAATGTCAAAAAAGAATTCTATATGACAGCTTACAGTCGACTAATACGTTGTAAATTTTTGGTCGTTATATTACAAACTTATAGAGGCAAGGTCAAAAGATATTAGTATACAGATGGATCGTATAAAAATCATATAAAAGTTATGTTAATCGCATTAGTTTATTTAAAAAATTTTAAGTGATGAAAAATTGTTGAGGGGAACTTTGTTCCTTCATATTTATTAATATTGTCCCGTGAAACATAATTTGCAAGTCTCTTTTTCGTAGTTTATAATTTGGCGCCCTGATGAATGCGAATGGCGTCGTGGCGCTTCCACTTGCTTCCACTGCAACGTCAGTCGTTGCGGATGTGACGTTTGCTATACGCTGTCCACGTAGCTTGTAAAATTGTAATTGAGTGGCTTATACACACGTCAAACAGCACTTCGAATAGTGTTCTTGAACTGTACGCAAGGTAAGCACAAATTTTGAGTAATCATACAACGTGAATCTTTATGTTGCGCTATTATCATCGACTATCTTTTTTATAAAATTGTCAAATGTTATTCGTGTAACCTAAAAATCTTAAGAACATTATTAAATGTTCTACGTACGTCGAATTTAGAATAGATGTACCATATGCAGTTAGTATATATAGCTTAGTGCTTTTTTAGGTTCTACTGCGTAATATTTGCATAAGTTGGAAGGTACTGTATTGCAAATATTTAGGATATGCAAAAACAAAAATGTTGCATCAAAAAATGGTCTATTTCACAATGTTCAGGGACAGTTACTAAAAGCATGGATACGCATTGGGAAATGGTTATACGTTTCTTAACGTTTATTTATTTGGTTGCAGAACTTCATTTCAGAAAATGGATCAAGTGACGAAGCTTGTTGAACCTGGTCGGCAGTTTGCCAAGGATAGTATTCGTCTTGTCAAAAGGTGCACCAAACCAGACCGGAAAGGTACAAAACTTGATACAACTTTACAATAGTTGCTGTATTAATTAAAAATCCAAGTTTAATCTTTATTCTCTTTTAGAATTCCAGAAGATAGCTATTGCTACCGCTATTGGATTTTGTATAATGGGATTTATAGGATTTTTCGTTAAACTAATCCATATTCCTATCAATAACATCATTGTGTAAGTATATTTATGAATTATGACAGTAATTTTGATTTGTCTTGTAGTAACATATTTTCAAATGTGTTAATCATTTAGTAAAATTCCAACAGTTGTAGATAAATTGAATGAAGATTTTTGTTTTTTGCAGGGGTTCATAAACCAATATGAAGAAATTATTTATTGTTAAGGAACGTTAAGATTACTTCCCTCATCCAAATCCATCACTTTTCAGTCCTTAAGTTTATTTATGACTCAAAATTGTATATCATTTGGAATTGATTGTGATTGAAATAGTTGCGAAGATGACGTGTGCATGATGTTATGAATTTTGTAATAAAATAGAAATGGTTGAAAATACAATAGACTTCAGTTCTTTTATTCTAAATTAATAATTTTAGTAGTAAATGCACAAGTTATTTTTACTCATCTAGATTCTTAAGTGATTCAATTACACATGACACAATTATTACTTTAACAAAATATTTTATTAGAAATCTTAGTGACAGTTATTAAAACAAAATAAATTTCACTTATAAAGCATATAACAAAATACTTCTCTAGTAATTGTATGGAAATATAACTGTATTGCATATTTAGGTCATATTTAAACGGTTGTTAAAACTTTTTCTATCGATTCGATTTTTTTTTTTACTTCCCTATTCCGCTGTCCCCACCCACTAATAGAAACTTAAGTAAATGCCGTTCGGGGTGTAACTTATTGCCGTTCTTCTTGACACTGCCAGTATTTGATGACAAACAAGAAAATCGAGGTACTGCTGTATTTTGCACTTCACATAATTTTGATGTTCCCTATATTTTCAATTAATTTCGTGACAAGTTTAAAAAGTATTATTTTATAGGTCAATTTTATTAATACTTAAGAAACAAGTTAAAGAACATTAAACAAGTCTGCAATGCATCTCTTTGCAACGTCAGAAAATTATTTAATCATAGGAATGATTCGTCTATACTGTAAACTATATATTTTCCCAAAGCATGTGTTCTTAAAGCAACGGAATCATTAAATAACTTTTATAATTTATTATCATAAATTTGGAGTTTAGAGAATTTTAAGTTGCAAGCTGCATAAAATGATTCTCAAAAATAAAAATTATATCACAATCAGTTCATAAGTGTACCAGTAAATTTTTTAGTATCTTAATATTCGATTCAAAGCAAGTATTATAGTATTATATTATATAGAAAAAAAATTGTACACGTGGCAATAAACATATCTTTGAATTGAACAATCGTAATGTATAATGTGCACTTTGGGCATTTGTGTATAAATTTTTAATAGCACAACTTGTAAAAAATTATGTAAAATGTACCTCCGAAAAAATTTTCATTGAATTTAACCCGAGCACTTCGTGACAAACTAATACTATCCGTGATACAATTACTGTCAAGCTCTGATAATGTTGTACACAGTGCAATATTTTATTATATGAGCAGCGCATGCAGAACACGCGCCTTTACGTTAAACAAATAGTGAATACACACAAATATGTATAAATTTTATCCTCCCCTCCCTTCCTATGCACTGAGAGAAATAGGGTACTACTTGCGATCACATATTTACAATATAAGTTTGTTACTGCGCTAGCTTGGAGATACTAAACAAGATTTACTAATGCTTATTATATGAATACTAGTCATGAGAATCATAAAAAGCTATGGATGAACTCAACGCATTGTAAAATGTTTTTAGGATTATTTTAATAACCAAGTGTTTATTATTACAATCCATTGTTATCGGGCGAAACATTCCACGTAATGGTTAAGTAGTAAATAGAATTTAAAATTTAAAGATGATAATGACAGAAATCTACAATGTTATAGATAGTCACAAAAGGTGCGTTCCACTTATCGCCCGCAACACTGCCAACATCGTTGTGTCTTTAAATATTAAATGTATTGGATAGAGAAACAACAATGTTGCAAGCGTTGCGAGCGATAAGTGGAACGCACTCAAAGCATTACACTCTAAAAACAATTTTAGATTTCAATAATTCTTAGCATCACAGATATTAAAAATAACGAATTGTATGTATTATGCAGAGATTGTGATATGTATGTACAATGTGATATTGTTAGCAGCAATAGTATCGCTAGATTGCATCGGATAATATATTTTTAATGATATAAATAGATATTTACGCTTAATATAATTAGTCCTATTTCTATACAAAATATGAAATATGTTAACAGGTAGTATTTTTTTACTATTCAGTAATATCTATTTCTCTCAGTATGGAATGAGATTATTCCGAAAGCAAATGAGTAATATAATAAGATACAATATAATAGAATAAATGTGGCGAGCGTATTTACTGGGATTTGTTTATAACTGTTGGTTATAGAAGACAACATCGAAAAAATATATACTTTTATGCACCCATATTACTGTAGAGGCAATAGTTACTTTTACGCAAGTTTTTAAAAAATACGTAGCCCTTTAATATAAATTAATTCTCATTTTTGTAGTGTTATACTTCTATGTAGTATCTTTTCTCTACATACATATAGTATAACAGTACTGCAGCACCATGCTCTTTAAATAAATAATTATTGATTTATCTACTACTGTCCTATATCAAAATTTCCTTAGAATATTGCAGACGAGCTAATCTCATATTTTTATATTTCAAAAGATATTAGCGTATACCATGTTGGAAACATATAGTTGTGTAAGACAGAGTGAAGTTACATTTTTAAAGTGCATCGATATATGTATATACATATATACAAATTAATTTTCCTTTACTGTGATGTCGATAGCACGAAATTCTACGGTGTTGATCTTTTGGATTCCACATCACAAAGGCACAATTAATTAAATATAACTGATCGAATTGATCACACTACATATTGCATTTGAAATAACGAAAAACAACCGTGAATGTTTTGATCAGCCATTTTTTTTAAAGAACCATTTTTTTAAAAAGAAAGAACACCTGAAACGTCTTTCGAACATATTTCATGAGATTCCGTAATTAAAGAGAATTTCATTATAAACATCTCATGAGCTAAGAGAGCAATGCCTGACGACACAATTAGTAGTGTCTACCCGTGCGAAGCAACAAGTCAGAACTAAGTGTCCTCAAATTGAAGCGTCCGCAGCTTTTTACAAGTGGTTACATTCCTCATTCTCATTCACAAGTAGCTTTGTGTGAGCGCTGTGTCACTACCAACTATATGTATAAGCGTAACCAGAGCCGCAAGCGAAACAAATTCAGTGGCCTTCCCTGCGTCCTTATTCAGCTCTGTTCATCTGTTCATATATCATGAATTGTAGAATTGCGATCGAGTGAAGGACGATCCGTGCGGATCTAAACCATTTTGAGGTTAACTATTTGAATGGCTGTCACTAAACAAAGCAGACACTTTCATCTCTCAGTGCGAAAACACTAGACCGCACGAAAACAATTCTATTTTACCGCCACCGAGCCTTTTTAACATTTCTATCGAATTCACGTGAAAAATTTCTTATTGTGTTTTCAGAGACGACACAGATGCTCATAAAGATGTCAAATCGAAGAATACGCCATACGTGGAATATGTATGCACAGGCCTCATTCAATGGGACAGGTTAAAAAATAGATGCTAGTGGAAAATTGCTGTTAACTCTTATATAGTAGTTCCGATTCCATTTTAATCAAAGTGTAAAATTATCGTTGACGTGTTTCCTCATGCGACGGTGTACAAGACGGTATATAGAGTCCGTCAGTCGACGCTTCTGACCGACCGTTGGTGACTCTCGGCATATCCAGCAGTCACGAATCGACACTGGATTCTGAAAACTATATTCACTGTTAGGGCGTTGTGTATTAGAATTAGTGAAACCGACTGAGAAAGTCATTGAGACGAGCAGAAAAGCAGGCTAGCGAAGGCAAGCAAGCGAGAAGGCAGTCAGCGAGGCAGGCAGGCAGGCAAGCAAGCACGAAGGCAGACAGCATCCCCTATATTGATTTCGTACTGTGCACCCCTCCCCTCCCCTCTCCACGTGTTTGTCTCCGTCTCTTACTCTCTCACGCAAACTCCCTTCTCGTTCTCGCGCAGCTCCACCTCGTCCATTCTGTCTTCCTCTGTCTCACTACGTCCTTCTCGCTTCAGCCTCCTCACGCTCTGTAAGATCCTCTCCTTCTCGCCCACTCGCTTCCTCCTTTTCGTCACTCTCACTCTATCCCTGTCTCTCTTTCTCTGTCTGTCTGTCTCTCTGTCTCAGCCGCTCTACACAACACTCGACTCTTCTCCACCCTCTCTCTGCAGAGAGAGAGTACGAGGCAGCTTCTACTATCCCCTACGCGGCGGCGGATCTCCACCATAACATCTCGCGGAAAATTATCCTGCCATCACTTGCCATGTCCGAAAGGGCGAGTGCCGCGAAGTGCGAGACGCTTTCGAGGTTACACGTAGAGAATTTCGTGGCGTGAGACACTGTGTCCTGGGTGAATCAGGATCGTGTGGTGGCATGACTGAATGTGTCAATAACGCGACTGTCATCGCGATTAGGGGGTCACCTCGGATATACGTCTGTGCAGCCGATTCGGTGTGAAACATGGAGATCAAGTCAGATCAGTGCAGTGCAACGGAAGATTACGATTTTCACGCGTCCAATCGTATTCCTACTCCCATCCATATTCCAAAATCGATTCGCATTCCCATTATCGTGAAACTCTCGAATCATACGATAGCGTCACACCTCCCCGGGAAAGACTTTTCAGAAAAATAGTTGAGAAATTTATAGCTCGATATTTTACGACGCGAGTGTAATTGTGCCCTTGTGACATCATTGTGAGACAGGATCAACACTCAACAGGGAGGTAATCAACGTGGTCGAGGAGCGGGCCGGTGGGCCGAAGATTGAACTCTTGAACGTGGCTTCGATAGGCGTGCTCATCGCTCGCGGACGTTCATACTCGGCTGCGGGACCTTTTGCGAGCTGAAAGGGAAGGACAGGTCCGGTAAAGGGAACGAGATAAGAAGAAATTGGCCGTAGGAGGCTTTGACGTTTCGCACGGGGATTGAAGTGAATTCGAGAAGTCGGGATCTCGAGGAAGAGGAAAAGGAGACAACGAACTCATATTGTTGGCCATCTTAGGAATACGAGAGAACAAGTGCTGCCGGATTCGTAGGAAATTCGAGTCTCGGATCGGATCGCAAGTTTTAGCTTCAGTGTCCTTCTGTGTCCGCGTTTGCGTGGGTGCGTCCATTTATTTTTTGTGCTCTTCGCGCTCGGGCACAGTCCAGAAGGTGACGAGCGTGAAGGAATACTCGGGGTAGCAATGGAGGAGAATGAGTCGAGACGTTCCTGGCGCGTGGTCACGACTCCTTCCTAATTCGAAATTAATGCGGCGCCGACGGACGGGATTAAAGGAAGAAACCATGGCTCTGGACACGGCCGAGATTCCATCCGAGGCCAAGATCGATAGGATGACGCTTCGTGGGAAATTTTGAATTCGAGAAGAAATCAGAAAGCTCGATTACATCGTAGAGATGTAGGGGGGCCCGTCATTGGGGCCCCAATGTGCCCGAAATCCTCCCGCCCTTTCTCTCGAACAAAATCATCAGTCATCGAGGATTTTTCGATTTACAGCAGACGCTCGCCGTTAATGATTGCTGATTGTCATTCTCGTCCACTGCACCGTTTATCGTTGTTGCCAAAAATTGCCAAAATACGAACGACGCAACCAGTCTTTCAAAAGACCCTGGAACACGGGGGCCTGGGTAACCAAATTGTTTGTTCGTTCTGATCTAATATATTTAACATTAATCGTTAGTAAACGTTCATATGCGAATTGCCTTAGTATCCGTTCGTAAAGAGAATCGTAACTATCAGTTGCCAAAGTAAAACAGGTTATAAAATAAGTGTCAATGCGTGACGGTCGAGCGGAAGGGAGCCGCTAGTTAAATTCGACACACGTGTCTTAGAGGAAAAGTGTAATTACTAAAGAATTAACGACAACAACAACAACAAAAAATTAAGGAAATATAATCAAAGCCACGTTCTATGTGTAAAGTCATTCTCGTGGAATCAAAAAGTTAAGCAGTTATAACGACGTTACATATTTTCAAATGTTTAGTCGCAGCCAAAGTTTCAACAAGTATTATTAGCAGTAGCCTGAACATAGTATGAAATTTGTGTGGTGTACATAGAGTGTTTAGAAGTTTTCAAGAAGATAGTACAAGATTTTTAAGTGCGGAAGAAAAAAAAAAGAAGAAATAAAGATGGTCGACCTCGGGGGATATATCATCATTCTGATGAATCACAATGGCAAGATCAAACTTTACGGTGGGTAGGACAATTAACTTTTAACGAACCAGAAGCAATTAGTACCTATAAACACTCATTTGACATGAGTTGGGATATTCTGATGGTAAAACAGAGCACCATACCACGAGTGTCGGTCTGGCGTTTATGGGACACTACTACTGAAGTCCCTTCATGCTCATTTTTCTTGGGATCTTCAGAGGTTGCTTATTACCTCTCATAAAATCAAGGTTATACCTTTAACAATTTCAATTACAAATTTTTCTTTTATTTTCCAAAAAAAGCAATAGTGGATAGTCATTACCAACTATTCGCGTATGCATGTAAATAATTTTAAATGCAATATATGATACAGGAACAATATCGCTACCAATGAATATTTTGAATGTAATAAAAAAATAATTAAAAGAACTGAAAATGAGAACTGAACAGTGATTTGAAAATTGTTTAATCTTTTGACATTTTTAACCGACAGTAAATACGATACAATGATATGTGCGCATTAATGTAATATCGACAAGTAATTGATCGTGTCTTCGATCATGCAGGCTCCCCTGCGGATAATGCGGACAGCTTGGAGGTGGGCGACGAGATTCTGGAGGTCAACGGTCGCACCCTGGAGAACGCGACCCACTCCGAAGTTATTCAGCACATTCATCAGGTCATTGCACTGCTATCAGAAAAATTACTTGACTATAGAAAAATGAATGATAGAGGAAAGTATATGTTTATGTGTATACGCACCGTATTCAAATCGCTGATAATATCTTAATATCTGAAACGTTAATTTTTTTCCTGACTCTCGGATTTACGTAAAATGTGAAAGTTCTCGAGCACCGGACGTGATTTTAACACGAATTAGTCTCATTCATATGTCTAGCATCAACCAACGATCGACGTGTCATTTCGAATGTAAACGTTAACGCTGTTAGAGAAAATGATCACGTGCTTACATTACGTACTATGTAAAAAAAAAAGCATAGATATAGCATCAATGATATTGAACATTGAATTGGCGTGAAGAAACAAAAATATTTTATTCTAAAAGCAATTAAAATTATATCCAATTAGTTATATGATAAAAATCGATTGTAATCATAGTCACGTGACTTTGTTAATCTTTAATATATTTTTCTGTCCAGTGCATCAAGTCACGAACAATATGCCTGCGAGTGCGAAGAAGAAGCGGAAACAAAATGGGTGAGGATCATTCTGTTCCTTAAAAGTGGCTGGTAGAAATGCTGAAGAAACGAAGAATAAAGAAATCAAGCGCGATCAAAATGCGCTAATGGGTCTTTAAAAATTTAGATCTCTAACAGAAAAATATCGACAAAACGTATGACTTATACACCGAACAATATCTGGTATAGAGAAAGACTTTAGGAGAGAGTAATTAATACCAAAGGTTCATTGAAATTTGTAAAAATACAACAAATAACAGTTCGAAGCGTAGTCGATCTGGAGCGATCGCTACATCGGCGTGGTTCAAATACGAGAGCGCCGTTTCCTCGGTAAAGTCCGTATACGTTCGTGCGAGTTCGCCTTCGCCAGGTAAATACCCCAGGTGAGTAGAAGGAGGTGGAGGACTCCGAGAGGCAGGCGAGAATGCAACCTTCGAATGTACTCCGTAGTACCGGTATTCGAGCTAGTACGTAATCGTCCGCGATCGCTGAAGCCAGAGTCGTAAGTCAATTTCTGTTCATAAACGAAACCTCCGGTTGGCTTAGGTTCTCGGCTGATTGTCAGTTGCGGATAAGTAAATCGCGAACAGCACGAGTCAAATGACGGTACTAGCACTTCTGCCAGCGAACGAAATCACCAGGTGGGAGTGAAAGCCGTGTGGATACAGTTATCCGTGTTGTGTTGTGGCTCGTGCTCGCTTCTGTCGATTTCCGTCCAGCACGGCCGCCGTTTGCCGCTGCTTCCACGTTATTCCATTCCTGCAGCCTCGGGGTTCTTCCTACAGCGTCTAAAATCAGAGCCGGTTACCTCCTCCTGGTACCTCCTGTTAGAGGCTACTACTCCGGAGTACGTCACGCTGCGAGTATAATATCGCGTCTGATGGTGAATCGGAGTCTCTCCTAAGGAGGGGGGGGGGGGCCCACCTACCTGTCTTGTCTTGGTTACTCCTACCATCCCTCTTGCACCTCCCTCCCTTTCTATACTTGGTAGGTTAACACGTTTACACGTTCTCCACTGCCCTATACTGAATATATACAGTGACTGACCAGTCGCCACCAGTGCTACGCAGTTATGAGAGTTACTCTCGGGGAAGTGTGTGCAAATAACGTGAATACTTCATCGATGATTCGTTATGATCGGTGTGCACGGTGTGTGGCGCGTGATATCCGATGGGCGTATGCGATCTCCTGGACTCCCCGAGGAGCGAATACCCTGTGAGGACAGACATCACGGACACTGAGTGTCTTTGGGAAGAAGAGGTAGGGTTGGACGCTGGTGGTACGCGAAGGGACACAGTGGAAGGCGTAGGATAACCGGAGGAAGGAGGTATTCCACGTGAAAGGAAAATTACGAGGAAGAAGAGGAGGAAGCGCAAGAGGAAACAAAGGGAACTATTAATAAGGGCTGTGTAACAGGGAGGAATCTTATTTTGTTGAAAGAGCAACGCGTGCTAAAGAGAAACAGTTAAACGTGCAGGAGGTGAGGATCCGTTGGTATGCTTAACGATTTGCTACGAGTCGAAACTAGGTCCCTGGTACTTGTGATTGAAATTACTGATGATGTCTTTCGTCTTGCTTGTTCGTGACACTGTACTTCCGGCATGGATTTTCGCTTCGGGCGTCTATTCGTTCAAGACGAATTTACATTGCCTTGGGCCTCAAGCGTCATACGCTGTCTGGTTGGTACACTGTATTAATAGGTGACTATTGTCTTTACAATCGAAACACTGAATACGAGTACCTTCGTCGAAACCAACTGTCAGCGACACACGCGACTGTTTCGTAGCTCCCCGAACGACACTGTTGCAATAATGACGTATACAGTTAGGAAACAGGTTTCGAGCTCAGCTCGTGCTATACTACTTCTCGCCTGGTAGGATCACAACCTTCTAGTAGTATTACGAGGACGCTTCACTACGCGCTCTAGTCACCCCGTATTGTAATTTGACTGGATTTTCTAATGTATCCATTAATCGTCCAAGAGAGACTCGCGTTAAAGGCACATGGCCAAAATTCAATGGCAACTTCATCGACGGGCCAATGGCATTATCTTTGCGCGCGGAAGCTGCCGATAATAGGTGAAATCGACTTTATCGATCTTTCGGGGAATTATCTGCCGACGGTGGACTCAGTAATTTTCTATGGAACCAATACGTCACATCCGGACTCGTCATGATCAGGATGACTTCGTTGAAAAAGATGATCCTTCGCGATTCATGGAAACGCTCATTAACACTCAATTTCGGTTGCCGATCATCTCCTCGTATATGGGGTTGAGTAAATTGGTACCTATTTTTCAATTTATTTTTGTCATAAGCTCACCCGACGAGTTATCTGACCAATGTTGCCGGTGCTCGTACCGAATGCTTGTCGACAAATTAAAGCAGTCGTGTACGTAACGTTTTATTAATTTATCAGAATCGATAGCGTTATCGGAACGGAATAATAGATCAGCAAGTAAGTCTATCCGGCTATGATTTTCTCATGCCTGTCGCAGCACACAACAGATCAATCAGAGCGCGAAACTTGATGCAATATTATTATATTACTGAGTACATGCATACGCCAAGTGCACCCGCATCGAAGCTACACGAAACTCGAGTCTGATTGTGAGTTGGATGGGCGTCTTGCGAAACTGATACGCGGCAAGTATGTGCTGGCGTCAACCAAATGCAGAAACAATTATTATTAGCGTATATGTTTGTCGCTACGCTCGTAATCGTTTACATAACCCGTCCTACGAAAATTATATGCATCGCTCGGATACCCCGCGTTGCGCCATGATTGTATTGCGATTGAAAACTTGTTGGAAACTGAAATTCCACGCGCTCGTCTCTCTCGACCGGAATGAAAATGCACTTTCTCTCTGTTGACGAGTGTCAGCACCCGCAATGCTATTCAGCTGGGATCCTGCCAAAAAGTAGTCGCTCAGGAGTGCCTCTTCTAGTACTGTGCCTCTAAAGCCATCCGTATACGTTGCTCGACGTTGAATCGGGTCTAGAATCATTACAGAAGCTCCTCGACACCTAAAAGAGACTTTGAGTCTTTTCTGAGCATTATAATTAGAACTTGGCTGACAGGTTTGAAAATTGCACGAGACTCCAAGGATTTAACTTTTTTTTTAAATCGAAATCGACATTTAATCGAAAGCATGTATAAGTTCCATGGTACAATGGAGTCTGTGGAATAATATGTAAATTAAAAATATAAAATTCTAATCAATGGAAAGACTGGAAGTACAGTCTGCGGTAGTATCAAGTCAGGTTAGAAAATTTTTTTAAATAAAAAATTTGTTTTTAAACGCGCGTACGCTCGTCAAACTTACTGTAGCTTTTATTCGTTTTACAGCAGATATGGTTTTCTTGGGGGGGGTAAATTAACCAGCATTAGTTTAGTACAAGCCAAAGGGCTGATCGATGCTGCAAACCGATAGACCTCGATACTCGCGGGACGAAGTGCCTTAAGTGCGTTGAACCGCTGCTCTCGCTTTTATTTTTTATCGTCGAGCCACCGGTTCCCAAAATAAACCCCTACACATGGCGGTGCTATCCGTTCCCGGTCCGCCGCTTGCTACTACGTTTATTTTCTAGTCTCGTGACACGTGTACGTGCATACTGACGTCTCGAAGTGTCCACTAGGAAGATTTTCGTAAGGTCGTTCAATATCGGGGGTCAGGAGTTGTTTACGTCGATTTGTCGTTTAGATCGAGTGATCGTAGCGTCGAAGGATCGATCGACCTGTCTGATCGAGAATTAAGTCCCGCGACGTCGATGAGCGTGAGGAGCGAGAGTCAGTTTCGATCGCGAGGAGACAACGCTGGAGTATGGTCGAACGTTGTAAAATTGACGAAACTCTCAAAGTTCTCGAGAAAGTCGGGAGGGAAGATCCGTCAAACGAGACGACCCGCACGGAAATTACCAAGGATGACCGAGTTCTTTCGGAAAATCATTTGGTGCGGCTGCTCCCCTAGCAAAGGATGCGACAACGAGTCATTTACGACTGAAAATCTCTGCGAGGAGACCCCTGTGCTTTCGCTGCTTCCGGCCGGTCGGGATGACGTCCAGGATCATGATGTTGCTAGCCATTTCGATCTCTCGTCTATTAGATTCATTGACGAGGACGAACAAGACCTGGTGGATTATTCACAAGCCGACGGTACTGCATCCGGAGGGAAGAGCCTGCGTCTTATGACCTGTATTTAATGCCAGCAAGGGAATAAGAGTCGAAACGACTGAGTCTAGTTTAATTGTTCGAATTAATTGTAGTGGCCAATTATCATTACAACTTTTCACCGTCTTTACTTGATCCTTCGCGCATTTGTCGCGTTCCATTGATATATCTTTTCTTTTCCTGCAATCAGTATGCAGCGTTGATCATGGTACTCTCTTGAATAGAAATAGAGATCTCGAATGTTTCTATCGTTATCTATTTTGAGAGTGCTTATACGGTGTGCAGGTTCCTTTATACAGAACACTTATTCGTCCCTTTGAGACGCTTGACCTTTATTCCGAGGTATTGTAAGAATCATAGGGTTGAACTTGCATAAGAAAAAACATGCTTTCACGGTATTCGATAATTTTGCGGATTTTTCATAAAATAATTAACTTCTTTTTTCACTGGTTATGATATCTTTGATCTTGTTGGCAGAAGAATTGGATGGACCAAACGCAGGACGAATACGAGACGCCTGGGTCATCGCTGTCGAGAGGTAATGTCGTTTAATTTATATACAAAGTTTGTATTCAATAAATTTATGTAATTAATAATTTAAATGCCTTTTTTAGGGGCGCAAGAGAACGACTTCAGAGGCTCACCGCGCTCAGGAGAATTCAACCACGGGACATTCAAGCCATTTTACATCAACAGGTATTTCTTGCGGCTAGACATCTATTTGTCGATGGCCAATCTCGTTAAACTGTTTATCTACCGTGAGGTGATGACTAAAAAAGTTCAGTTTTTCACCTCGTTCAGTGGAGGACAAAGAGATGCGCATAAACGTAGACGTGGAATCGACACGAAAGCGGTTTATACTGTGTAGAATGCAAAACAAGATAGAGAGTGAGTGGTTAGTTGGATTATGCGCGACCTTGACTGGTTTAAAACTTTTAATGCGCAAACCTAGTGGATTAATATTTTATAGATACTTTTGAAAACAGCAACCAAAACGAGACTGACATTCAGATTTCGCTGTGCCGCTTTGCCTTTCAGTTACATTTGCTTTTTCAATTATATTTAACTTTTACAAGTGATTATCGCACTGTAACATATTCTGCTTACAATATGAATATCGCGTTAGTCATACTTTCTGGCAACACGCATGTGAAGTGTTCTCACCCACTTGCAATTGCTCACCTTTCCCTCGACGATGAACACGGACACTGAGAGGCGTGAGGATGAGGTGGTCAAATCTAGAAATTATTCAAGGTTAACTAGTAAATCATTGGAATCGTTACGTACGTAGAAAAACGACAATGAATATCGCAATATAAGTGAAGATCATTTAACTTAATAGTAAATAGTATCACCTGCGTAACCTACATTTATGCTTCTGCAGCTCTATAACCTAATTTAATTTTATTGATCTTTTTTTTTGTCTGTATAGTAAAATTAATGCAGTTACGATTTTTCACAGATAAGCGAAGGGGCAGCCTCGACGAGTGGATCAGGTACAGATGCGGATGTAACCAGCAGTCAGATCACCGTCACTCTTGCAGACAAGTAAGGAAAACCTGTTATTATCATTTGCATGGAGATTCATGAAAACGTGAAAACACGAGAAAACGAGCCGGTATGTACCGGACGTGGTGATTGCCGATGGTGGACATAGATAACAGGAATATAGTCATTCTTAACACGTATACATAATATGCTGATGCAATCTGCTTCTATTTGTAAAATATATTGCCGTAGGAGTGAAATATTATTTGTTGGTTATAATTGTATATTTTTAAACATTATTTTCAGAGATCTCGGGACAAATGCCTATCCGACGAAGCTAAGCAACGGCACGATTCCCAAGGGGATCCCAAAGGCTAAAGACGCCACGGATATCAGTGCTGCTAAGGAACGAAAAGATATTCTTGAAAAACAACAGAGTTGCCCGGAAGAGGCTAATCTTCTGGTCAGTGGAATATATTTGAAAATCGTATCGACTTTTCTTATTTACTAACACACGAATGAAACGAGGATAGAGATGATGCATAAATATTGTCCATAATAAAGTCTTTATGCTTCTTACAAAATAAATACCGTCCTCAGTCGTATTTGCAGCCGATTTGATAACTTCGTTAGCGATGAAATCGAAATTGATCAAGTGTTATTCAGCCGGAACTGTCCGAATCTCGACTTTGTTATAAATGTTTTGCGTAACATTCATTACTTATGGAAAGATAATTAAAAAGGTCTGGTGATACATAGATTAATGTGCATCTATCGTGAGATTCGCTAAATACATACATGATTCAAGTATACGTAACAAAGATGTATAAAGAGTGTGTAGTATATTAGTTTAAATTTGATTAATTGATTACACATACAAGTTTCATATATTAAAAGCTGCACAAATCATTGAAAAATACAACACGCACTTATTCGGTTTGGCAACGAATTTTTCTGAATATTTGTAATCCACTTAATCTAAATAACTTTCGGATTTCGATTATATATTTGGCTGTGTTTCTACAGACCCCGTTGCAAAGTGCAAAAGTCGGTGAGCGTCGGGCAAGCAGTCCCTTCCAAAATGGTCGTACCGAGGTGCTGATCGGAGAACCGGAGGGTGGTCCAAGATCACCAAGAGGCTCCACATCCTCAGCCGCAAATGAGAGCAACTTCCTAAGTCTATCGGAGGAACGTGATTATCCAGAACCCATTTGCAGGTTAGCGAGAGTAACATAGCTAAATTAAAAAGTAACAATTTTAACAATTTTTCGAAATATGAACGATCCTTTGATTTCCTTTGCATTACTCAATCTTTTATAACCATAATGTGACTGCAGCATAAGATTCGCTGTGGACGTTTAAAAGAGTCATTTCCGGGTTAAGGATCTTCCTCGGTAGGCTAACGGCGTCGTATGTAGTCAGCAAGATTGATGATAGATGTCGCCAGTAGCTGCCTCGCTAGAATTCTTAGCTTACTAAAACCTCTTAAAAAGGAGTTCCCAATAAGATTAAACGAGTTTTCCCTCACAACCCTATATATCTACCACAGAATTGATTAACCGGAACCACCTGAGTCTCCTGTCTACCGAAAGTGCTTTCAGGTTTATCTGAAAAAGTGGCAGTTGAATAGAAGCCATCCATCCAACGTTTCTCTCTAAAAATTAAACATTCGTTTTTCAAGACCGTTTCCTTCATTTCCGCAGAAACGTAGAGTTCCATAGAGGTAGTGAAGTGTCGGTACTCGGGCAATGTTTTGCAAAGGAAAGGGTGTGTACTTGTAAATCGGTGCGAGTGGAGCCTAAACAATGCGTTTTCCAGTCTCTTTAACCTTGCCGTAACAGAGAACAGTCGGGCGGTCGGGACGGTAGGCCAGAGCAGGCCAGAGTGAGTAGCCCTCTCACGTAGAACGAGTGAGCGCAGCAGAGTTGGATGAAGAAGGAAGAAGGGCAGAGTAAGGATGAACGAGGGTAAGCGAGAGTGAGTCAGTCGCTGAGTAGGAGTGAGACAGAGGGAGAGTAAAAGTAGGAAGTAGGGAGTAGAGAGCGCGAGATAAAGAAGGACGACGAAGGCTTGGCAAGCGCATACCTTCTTTAATCCCGTAGTGAGGACGATATAACGATGCATAACCCAGCGGACTGTAGCATGCGGCGTTACGGATCCCCGTGTTAGGCTTGGAACTATACGTTCATGCACGGGACTCATCTTCCAGTGTGTTATAAGCCACGTACAATACCTTACGCTTGTATTTAATCTACAAGTACCAAGCGAGACTCGTGTGGTAGGCCAAGTCTGAAGACTGAGCCGTGCTTCTTGCGGACAAGTTTCAGAGATTTGAATATGTACAGCTCAGGCGCTAAGCAGTGCTTGATAGGATAAGGCATATGCACACCATATTCCGCATTATTATTTTTGTTACGTTAATCAGACTCATACTTACTTCAGTATACGTGACGTATGTAGGTCCAGGATAGCGATGAAACTGCAGAAGGGAAAGTCGATCCTCTTTTACGTTTTTACTTCCCCGGGTGACCAGGAAAATTTGAAAAACTAAAATGGTGCTGTGGTCGCGCCGTGTCCTCGTATTGTCTCTGACCGTAGTAAAACGACACCACTCGCGGTCGATGTCGGTCGCGCAGCAAAAATGGAATCAGGGAGATGCTCTTACAGACAGCCAATGGATCTGACTTTTATGCGAAGCAAAAGTCTCACGATAAGGTTTCTTTAGAAGCCCTGATTTTTTTCCTTGAAAATTTTCATGGACGCTGGCTCTTACAGGACCTTGCTGAAAAGAACCCACCATCTTTAACTTATTCATGATCCGGCAAAGGAAGCGTTCAGGTGCGACTGAATGCGCCCATTGATTCGGCTGCTTTTAACGAGTCGGTAGCCCAAGTGAATGCACTATATATCTTTGCCCTCCTTCTCGTGAACCCTCGGGGTATGCAGAAAAAAGGATGAATATTCTTAAGAGAACCTTTCTGGGATCGCAATAACCTACCCATTTCCTTTTTTTGTGAACTTAGTCGCTGAGAATGAAGGAATGATGACCTTTTTTTTTCAAATTATCTTCTCACTATTACTTTCTGCCCCGCCCCCCCCCCCCCC